ATAAACGCGGAGGGACGCGGCCTAAGAAACCCTCCTGAGATCTTCTTCTTCTCCCGACCTGCTGAGGATCTCATCTTCCTGCCGCTCAGATCTCTCATCCCACGGGCATGAACGCTCCTCTGATGTGCGCGCAGTTGTCTTGGCTGCAGTAAATCCAAGCGCTCCTTGTGCGTAAAAACAGGAGAGTTGATCGCGGCGGGATCGGTCTAAAAACCGAGCAGATCACCTTCTCCGCTCCTCCGAGGAGACATGTCCGCGCTCTGCCTCGACTCCGGAGGATCCTCCCGCCAACACACCGTGGAGAGAGCGGATTTCACTCTCTCAGAGGAGGGTTTTTGGAGTGTGTGTCGCTGAAATGTGGTGCGTCAAAGAGAAAAGCCTCACAGCTGAAGGCGGACAGGAGGCAGACGGGCGGCTCAGATCACCGGGTTTAGGCGGTTTAGGCGGTTCGGATCCGGGCCCTGATGACTGAGAGGACAGACATCTGCGAGCGTTTGTCTGCTACAGGTTTGAACACACCTGGCACCGCCAACTGAGATGTTGCCAGGCTCCGAAACGCCCCTTTTTACGCTCAGCGGCGCCAGTGTCGCTGGCTCCACCCCGCGGTGAGAGGTGGTACTGAGGGTTAAAAACAGAGTCTAATTTCACCTGGAACCTCAATTAAATCTCTGAGTTTTAGATTCATCTGCGTGTCTTTGAACATGTTCGGGACTTTGGAGTCACAGTTTAAAAAAAAAATCACAAATTAAACTATTTATAATAAAAAAAATATATTTATATGATTAAAAGAGTGAATGTATTTATATTGAACACTTTTCTCAGATATTTAAAGATGATAAATGTTTTCTCTGTCTTTTCTGAGAGCACGTGCACTGCCTGTTGCCATGGAGTCACCCTCACTGTCTAACAAGGATGTGTACGGTGGCCCTGTAGGGACATTTCTCAGCACCATAAAACATTTAGCTGAACACTAAAATATGATTTAAACTCACAAAGAGTCCATGAAACATTAAAAATGTATAAACTTTATATGTGCTGATTTTTTTACATCACTTAAGAAGAGGTTTATTTTCTGTACGTTCAAATTAAACAACATCAGATTTATTAAAATTTTACTTATTTTGTTGATATAAAAAGATTTAAAACAAACAATAAAATATGAACAAAAGCACATTTAGAGTCATTTTTGCATAAATAATGTAAAAGTATCCACACATCAGAACATAAAAACAAGATTATTATTCTTAAAAAAAGAGACAATTAAAAATGGGACTTTAATCGTGGACCGTGATCCGTCAGGTTAAAGTCAGGAGAATTCAGCGTCTTTATGTCGAACACGGTGAACTGAGCGAACAGTCTGCCCGATATTATCGGACTAAAACTGAGCAGAACGGGTCAAAGAGGTTCATCAAACTGTTCTCAATCATGCAGCCTGTGTGTGTGTGTGTGTGCGTGTGTGTGTGTGTGTGTGTGTGTGTGTGTGTGTGTGTGACGGGGATAAATCATCAGAGGTGAGACTAAAAAACTCTTAAGACAAACCACCACCTCCTCTGCCACCAAATCATGAATTAAAAAAGGACAATAAATACATATATTTATAAAAATAAACACACACATTATAGATTTTAAAAAAGTGAAAAATTAAACCCCGCCCCCTTTTGTCTGCTCACATTTGAGATTCTTCATGAGTCTCATCCTGAATCAGGAGCAGAATAACTGAACTACACTGAGCATGTAATCCTAATTTGAAGCATGCTGAGCAAATTACAGCTCATTAAGACTCATCATTTGCATACAGTGAGGTAAGTACTCTTCAGGGAGGGTGTTCAGTGACTCCACAGCGCCCCCTCCTGACACAGTGGGAGAAAACCCACAATTTGCTGCTCCAGTTCATCCCTCCCTCCCTCAGGTCTTTGGTTTGCACTTGCGTACCTCCACAGCAGCCCCTCACGCCCGGCTGCGTCCAACCCCGACCGCCCAGCCGTGCGTGAGCAGCCAGAGCACGCCTGAGCTCGTTTTTATGCCTAATTGTCACTGACTGACTGTTTTCTGATTGTTTATGCAGAGTGTGCACATGCAGTCGCCTCAGCGCTGAGTTCATGCATAAACCATCAGAATGAGAAAAGATGACCTTTAATCTGAGGGGGGCTCTGATACGTCCCACCTACATGCAGAGCCTCACATTTGACGGCCTCAGAGCGCACAGGTCCGAACACGAGCTCTAACCTGTGACTTTAAACCGAAGAGCTCTGCCGACTCTGACCGAACCCTGAAAAATGAGTTTGAGAAAAACACTCTGAAATTGAATAAAGTTATGTAATCCAGTTTCATCTGGATTAGACTCTGAGAACGCGTCAAACTTTCAAAACTTTGGAGCAGAATTAGGAATCATTTAATCCCCCAAATCTGGATTATCCAGATCTCAGCAGAGGGGGGGTTCAGCCCGGATTACGGTAATGAAATATCATAAAAACTTAGAAATGACTTAAAACACTTTTATCATGAAGTAGACGGTGCCGAAGAGGAGCACCAGAAACCTCAGGGGGTCATGAGGTCCGGTCCGGACTTTAGTCGTGAAAATTTACGCAGAAATAAAATCAGGAAAAATCACCTGTTGGGTAGTTTGAGTCGACTTTAGCGCCCCCCTGTGGACAAAAGCAGCTGCTGCCCGTCTACAGCCTAAAACCATGAAGAGCCTGAACACCAGTTAGAGCTCTTTTGAGAAACTTCCTGTAAGTGTAGTTTGGCGCCCCCTGTGGACAAAGCAGTCGTCGCTACCTGATCCATCCTGGAAACCTGATTTGTACTGTGTGAAACGTACGTCACTTCCTTTGCTCGCCATCTTTACGACAGTTCAGTAATTCTTCGCCCCTCAAACTCAAAAAACGCTCAAACTCATCGTCCATAATGTGTCGGCTTCTTGTTAATAAATTAAATTTATAAAACAAATGAAATAAATCCCCCCTTGATACTTTGAAAAGTCAGAAAACCATAATTTTGACCAGGTGGTGGCGCTGTCTGTGGCCCAAAAGGTCTCACTGTGCTGGGCATTAGCTCTGGAGACTCCTGCTAACTAGCCTGTCACATCACCAGCTTGTTTCTGAATCGATCAATAGTTTAAATAAAGTTTTTAAGGTGAAGTAACTTTGCGGATCAGGTAGGTATCCATAGTAACGACTAACTGCCGTAAAACACATTGAAATACAAAGAGAGGAAGTGACGTTCGTTTCGCACATGCGCAGGACAAATCGGGTTTCTGGGACGGATCGAGTCGCGACAGTAGTCATGCTAAATTTATGTCTTCTCACCCTGCTGACCTTTGACCTCCAACAGCATCACTTCCTGTGGTTAAATAGTAAAATCTGTTTGTTTCTGCAGCTGCTGGGCTGACTCCGCCCCCTCACATTCATTTAAACCCTCTCTCTGATCGCGGTCCTCGTCTCCGATAACTTCTAAAAAAAACTCGGCCCCGCGCTCAAACTGCTACTTAATGAAAAATGACTGGAGAGGTGTTTAAGTGAAGCTTTGAGAGTTAATTAAACTCGTTAAATGTCACTTCATCCCCGGAGATTAACAGCCGCCGTGTTCAGCAGCATGTGATAAATGATGCCCTCTTTGCTTTTTCCTTAAATACGGCGAGCTGGATGGTGACGGTGACGTCGCCGGCGTGTTGACTCAGAGGACAGTCATATGTCAGCTTCATGTGGTGGAGTTCATTAACTCCAGAAGTGGAGGTGAGAAGCTCACCTTCTGCAGTATTTATGAGGCTGCGGCGGCGGCGGCGGCGGCGCTGGTTTGTGCTCTCTGAGTGAGAGATGTAGGAGTGTGTGTTTAAATACAGAGCTGTAACCTGTGGACATGACGCTGAATAATTCATCACCTTGTAGGAAGAGATAAACACCAGGACTGTGTGTTTGATGAGGACTCCAAACAGATGTAAAAACAAGCACAGTCTGTGTGTTTGATGAGGACTCCAAACAGATGTAAAAACAAACACAGTCTGTGTGTTTTAGTGTTTCCTGTGATTCTGGAGGATTTACGCTGAAGAGAGACCTTTAAAAAATGAGGTTTTCTGTTTTTTCTTCACGTTCAGACTCATGATGGAGCAGCAGCGGTTTTTTAAGGACCATATTAGCTGGATTTGTGCTGGCTTGACATGACTAAATCCAGATTACAGATGGCTTGGCCTTTTAAATCGTCCCATAGTGCGCCCACAAAGCTGTTGTGGTCGAGATCCCTCTGCCTGGAATTACATGAAGCCTGAATCTACGTCTGCAGGAACATCGATTATTTCTCCAAGAAGACAAACCAGTGTGAAGGTCTGAAATAAAAACACTCTATTAACTGGTCAACAGGAGAATTACCGGTACATTAAACTGGTTTACAAAACTATTATGCAGGCCCCGCCTCCAACCGTTACTCCCATGATCCTCAAACTAAAGTAAAGATGCATAACACGCCAACTGGGACAAAGACAGTCGTCTGAACATACCGACTGTTTCCCTGCAACAGAATGTCGGAAAAATAAAGTCAGTGCAAGAAGCTGCAGTTCCTCGAGTGACCACCAGAGGCTGGCTGTCGTCGGCCCCGGTGTGTACGGACCTTTAGACTTTTTAAACATGAGCAAAGGGGTCAGTGTCATCTTGACATCCCTGTTTTTAAAATTAAAATAAATTAAAATATTCACAATAAAGGGTAAATTCGTCTGTTAGGAGTCAGAATAACGAGTTTTTTGGGTTCAAAGTCACTGTTCAAACTTCTAAAGGATGAGACTGTGAAGTCCACAGGTGGCACCAAATCATTTTGTTTTAATCATCCTTTCTAAATTTGAGCAGAACCAAAAAATCTCATTATTGTGACTCTTAACAGACAAATTTACCCTTTAATGTGAATATTTTATATAGAAATTTTAAAAACAGGGATGTTAACCCTTTCACTCCTGTTTCAGACATTACAAACTTTAATATAAAGACGTCCGGTGTTGTTGCTGATGATCTTGTTTGCTTTAGTAGATCATAAAAAGACATCAGGATGAATTTAAGTGTATTTCACAAACATGAAAAACTCCTTATAGGAGCTTTAAACACAAGGAAATCAACTGTCTACAAATAAGACCGTCTAATCTACGATGGTTTTCTTCTGGAACAGCGGCGTTAAAAGACTCGTGACCAGTTTATCAGAGTTAATGTTTAATGTTTTAGATAATTGCTACGTAACAAAAAAAGGCTCTTTAGACATGCTTTACAGAATTTACAGGCAAACAAGGTCCAAAAATATATGAAATAAAGAAACTAAAATACAACAGTAGAAAAAAAGCAGCATTGGAATATTGCCGGAGCAGTTACTGCTAAACTTTGGTATAAAGTCACGGAGGACGATCAGATTCGCTCCACCTTCGACACACGGGTCAGGAAATATCAGAGGAGTGTTTAAATTAAAGGGAGACGTTGGGAATGTGCTGAACTGGTCATGAAAAGAAAAACATGATCAACTCGACACTTAAATTCATATTTGTATGAACCTCTGATCAGACAGACTGATTTAATCCTGGTAGTGTTACACTTTGTGAGGCTGCAGCAGGAGGAGGACAGCGTCAAACTCACTGTTGAAGCCACTTTCAGCATGATTGACTCATAGTGTCTGAACTTTGTACCATCGACGATTACAGACAGAAGGATAAAAATCATGTTTTGGTCAGTTTTAAAATAATGCCGTAGTGCTGATTGTCAACATAAAAACAAAAACAAACCTTTCACAGTCTGCTTCAGCTTAGAGTACCTAATGAATCGACCGCTGAGTCATGGAATAAATAAACCGAGTCTTTGAATCACGGAAACAGGAAGAGGAAATCACAGCTGATCGGATGGGAAGTGCAGCAAACCGAGAGGATTTTTAAGAGCAACTCGAGACGGTCGACTTTTTCACCTTTTCAAAATCCTCAGAGCGATTTAAGAGCTGACATCTGAGATAAGAGTCCAGCTGTTTCATTATCTGTTTTTTAAATATCATTATTATTATTATTATTATTATTATGTTTCTGAGTAAAACTCAGAATAAGGCCGAAGGAAAAGGACTGCAGCTCGTGGAGAACTTAGATTATGTACACAAACATACATACATGTAGAAAATAACACGCTACATTCTCATGTTTCACAGTCCCGGGTGAAAACTGAGGCGCAGGAAGGATCATGATCTTTCTGAGGGAGGAAAACAGGATAAGAGGGGTCACCGCCGTTAGACCAAGTGCCTGTAAGGTTCGATATGAGAGGAAACAAATCAGTGCATACTGGAGAGAATTAAACCACAGAGGGGAAAAGATGGACGACACGACAGATCCAACAAGTGAAGCCAAGTTTGGCCGTATTTTGATCTAATAAACGCAGATAAAGTGGTTGTGAATTCAATTAGCAGAGCTACATTTAAATGATAGAGTTTTGATTGACAGGAGGGGCGGGGTGTCAGCTCCTCAGGTCCATCAGCTGATCAGTTCAGCGCCTGTGGGGGAGGAGTTACGGCTTCATTTTTGTCCAGTGGGAAGTGAGGTGTCGTCCATCTTTAAATTCAGTCTGACGGAGGTCACTGCGGGCGTTTGTTCAAAAGGCCATCAGACGGACAACCAATAGGATTCGACCTGCGATTGTCACATGTGCAAAAACAAAAGAATGACCACTTCCTCTCGACGAAGGCAAAGACAGGAAATGAAGTTCTGACGATTTTCTCTTTTTCACAGAGGACAAAAACAAGATCAGATATTATAGGACAATTATATATATATTCATATTTATATATATTTATAGATTCATAATATACACCACAGGCTGGTGTCAGTGTCTCTGAAGTTTGCATAACAGGAGAGCAGAGTTTAGAGTCGCTCAGGATGGCTGCAGGAATGTGGGCCAATTCAGTGTTTGTCTCCTGACCTCAGACTGCTGGTCAGTTTAACCCCGCCCACTAAAAAGGGGCGTGGTCGTTTCTCCTACAGTTGTGTGTTTGTAGCAGGAGTGAAGAGACAGAACCTCGTCCCTGCAGCAGCAGCAGCAGCGGCGGCGGCGTGGACTGAGGAGAGACTCGAGCGTGTCTCAGCGTGACGGCAGCCTCTGACACGGCTCTTCAGAGCATACATTCATCACCTCCTCATGGAAGAGAACTGAGAGGAGCGGAGGAGGAGGAGAAAAGGCGTCCTGCAGAGGTGGAGGTGTCAAAGGGGAGGTCACTTTAATTACAGATCCGTGTCTCCTGTCAGACACAGACACAGCAGTCTTTCCACAGTGGAGACCGTCAGTCTGTCCTCTGGAGACAGAGGAGAATGTAAACATACAAGAGAGCATCTTTGGCAGAGAGTGAGGAGTCTCTTTGGAGGTAGTGGGGGGGGTGAGGGGGTGAGGTGGGGGGCTGCAGCTGAGAGGAGGTGTAGTGTTCAGATCCTATGTGGGAGCTGAATGCTCCTGAGGGGGGTTAGTCCTGTTAGAGGCACTTCTGTGGTCCTGCGTGTGCTGGCTGGAAAAACCACAGTCCACCACCGCTCCACTCTGCTCCTCCTCCTCCGCTCCTCCGTCTGCAGAGGAGGACAGAGGAGGAGGAAGAGGAGGAGGTGTCCTGTGGACGGTGACTGGGAGCTGCTGGGATGACGCCCCTGGGTGGGAATTTGATGATGGATCGTCCCCTTTACCCCAAAAAGACCTGCTGAGAGAATCTGTGAAAAACAAGGAAACCATCAAATAACTTATTATTGTTGTTGTTTTTATTATTATCATAATTATTTTTATTATCATCATTTTTATCGTATTATTATTATCATTATATTATTTTTATGATTACTATCATTTATTCTTATTATCATTTTTATTATTTATATTATTATTTTAGTATTATAATCATTATTTAATTTTTTTCATTATCATCTTTTTTATTGTATTTTTTATTATTATCATTATCATTATTTAATATTAATTTTTTATTATCATTATTAATATTATTAATATTATTATTCTCATCATTGTCATCATCATTATTATTTTTATTATCATTTTATTTTCTTCATCATAATTATTATTTTTTAATTATTATTTTTATTGTAACTCAGAGCGTCAGCAGGATTTCAGATCCATCCTAATAAAAACGTTAAAAAGTTTTTTTTCTTCGGTGTGTTTTTTACGTTTTTAAACTCTTAAATATGGAAACTGCAGAAACTTAAACTCCCTTTTCTTCGGTGTCTTTAATCCCAACAGACAGAGAGATTCATTAAAGAAGAACCTCCATAAGAGGAGATTTCAGACTCTGATCTTCTGTCTTTCTGTTTTCAAAGGTTAAAGGTCAGCTGTGAATCCGTCTACCACAGAAACTTGCATGAACATCCTCGCTAACCCTAACCCCGCTTCAAACAGTGAACATGACCATTACCATCAAATCTCAGATCCTGGGTCAGACTGAAACCTTCGTTCGTACAATTTTCTTAATGTGGATGAACCTCCAGAGTTCAGAACCTCAGAGGCCCCAAAGGTGATACCAGTGATGAGACAGGAATTAAGCACCAATCAGAAGCGGGTCATTATCAGAACAATAACAGTTTCAGAGAGCGTCAGAGCCGGTGGATAAAACGACCCGCTAACACTGTCGTCCTTCTGCTTCATGGAGGTCACCTCTTTAAAATCAGAGAGAACCTCATCACCACACGGTTTTCATAAAGACCAGCAAACCTGGACTCTGGAGACGCGGTTTTTCACTGATCGGCGTTTATCGTTTAAACGAACACGTTTAGACTCTCGATCGCTCAGTGACGTCGCCTGTTTGTTTGTGTGTTAACTTGACGTTCATAAAAACGACTTTTCCACCGCTGTTTCTCGTCTTATCTCAGCTTGTTCGAGTTTCCTGGAGGATAATAACCTTTAAAAAAAAATGTTTTACTAGAAAAATCCCTCGTCTGGATCTGGATAAGAAACCTCGGTATAATCACTCTGGAGGAAAACTGTGAGTCGACTCACCGAAGCAGGAGCGAAATTTAAAACACCCACAGAAAAGAAAAGACGAATGTTTATAGAGTCGTGTTCAGCCACAAACCGGGTCAGGTCGGACGCCATAGTTTGTCCTCAGAGGAAGGATAGTGTCACCGTCTTAAATTAGGAACTCTCACCGTTAGTGTAGTGCTCCGGGGGCGTGTGGCTGCTCAGCCTTTTTTCGTGCGAGGTGAGAAAGATGGAGGAGTCCTGGTTACTAATGAGGCTCTCCAGAGTGGCGTCCTCGTGCTGAGCGTGCCCGCCGAAGCTCTCCTTCAGGCCCGGCAGACTCTTGTCCAGCGGGTCGTCCTCTCCCAGGTAGGCGTAGGGGCAGTAGTCTCGTGTGCGGGAGTAGATGTTGGCGTTGTCGTAGCAGTCGGAGCAGATGACCAGCGGGCCTGCTCCGCCTGGAAGGAGAGAGGAAGTATCTCGGTGAGAGTCCCTCCACATAAACTCGACTTTTCTACATTTTTAGATCCAGTGAAGAGGATCAGCGAGTTCAGGGGTGATTCTGACGATGACTCCGTATTTATCACGTCTGATCTGAGCTCATTAAAAACACCGTCCTGCTCCGTCCGTGGTCAACAGATTCTCTCTTCTGTAAATTCAACCATCTATCACCACACTGGTGCTAACTTCACTGTGTATGTATTAGTGTTGGGTGGTATGAACAAAATCTTACATCACAGTATGACTTCATCTCAGTAACAGTATATATATCTCTGTATGTTTCTTCCCTGTAAATTCAATTAATGTCTTAAAAAATAAAAATTCTGTCTCATTTGTTCATTTTCCTTTTTAAACTCTGATTTTTATACAAATACAAACTAAATCTCAGACCAGTCTGGTGATTTTTGATCGTCCCTCTGGCGAAAGTCTGAGAGGAGCTGCTGCAGTTTTAGTTTTTGGTGCAGCAGGTGCGTCACGCAGCTTTTTTCTCTCATAACAGAGTTTGGCGTGTTTCATCTTTAGGAGGAGGAAGAGGTTGTTGGTGTTTCCTCCTCCAACAACGACAGACACACCACACACAGATTTTCTAAATCCGAAGAATCTCCAGACAACCGATGTCACGACTCTTCTGCTCTTTTTCGGGCTACCTCCGTTTGTTTGGTACCGCCACTAATCTCTGCGTCCGCCATGACCACCACCGGAGAAGCTGTTTCTTCTTCGTGGAAACTATGCCAAGCAGTCTGCTGGACACGCTGGTGATTATAGGGAGCGCACCCAAACCTGACCAATCAAACGGAGCGAACAAACTCTGCATGACACGCTGGTGAAGATACAGAAACGCACCAGAACGGATGTGCTCCGGGTTTCCTGTTCCTGTGAGCGCAGACGACTAAACACTGACTCAGAGAGATAAACGGCAGAGAAACATTTCTACACTTTTAAACCGTCACAACACTAATATATGTATATATGCGGTAAAAGCACTTGTTTTTGTTTTACTTCAGATATTTAAAACCACCTTCACCTGCAGAATTCTGCATATGGACTTGTCTTTCACACACTGACAGATTACCGTGTTTTTCACACGATAAGGAGCACCATCAATAAATGCACCTATTTTCATACATAAGGTGCACCGGATTATAAAGCGCATTAATCCAAACAAAACAGTCAATAACTCTGTGAGGCTACAGTAGCTGCAGCGCTCTGACAAGCCTAAAGGATTGTAACTGCGCCTCATAGTGCAAAAAATACAGAAACACAACAAAACAGCAGGTTCATGATCCCTGAAGAACAGAAAAGTCTCTAAACATCAAAGTGTCAGAAGTCTAACACCCTCCAAAGCCCACCCCCTGTAGGTGGGTGACCCTCACCTGTAGGAAGTCCCGACAGCCCCTCTCTGGGGTCTCCGGGGTGGAAGCTGCTGCGCCCCGTGAACAGAGAGCCCACCCTGCAGTGCAGCGTCCCGTTTCCCTCCGTCTCCACCTCGCTGCCTGCGTCTCCGTAACACATACCTGATAATTAAAGGGAGTTTATGTTACACAGCAGATTTAAGCAGAAAGGTGATTTAAAGAGACATGAAAACATCCTGACAAACAGCCGGAGAATCAAAATAATTATTACAATAATAATATTTAAAGAGGACAGTTTATAAACTCAGACTTTATGAGGCTCATGCTGTCGGTGGTTAAACAAACATCAGCCTGTGAGGAGATCATTACCTTCACTCTGCGCTCTCATGTCAGGGAAGAAAACCTGTCAGTATGATACAGTCCTGTCTGAGTAACAACCTCGGTTTCACCACAATAGCATGATGGCTAAGAGAAGCAACAATAAGTGTCTCCATGGCGAAGGGTTCCAGAGTAAAGATGGTGGACGCTCTGAGGTGACTCACCATCTGTTCCTTTGTGCACGTATCCGTTGGAGAGCGGCGGCATGAGCTGCTGGTGGCTGCCAGCCTCCGAGTTACTGTAGCCTTCCTGAGGCTCCGACAGAGTTCCCTGAGAGGAGAGGTAGCTGGGGATGTCTGCGGGCAGATTCATCTCATCTACAACAAACACAGACGTCTTCAGTGACTCTGAGGAAATACACTCAACCTGATAATCCAGATACAAACATCAATAAAACATCAACCTGGTAATCCAGATACCAACATCATTCAAACATTAACCTGATAATCCAGATACCAACATCATTCAAACATCAACCTGATAATCCAGACACCTCCTCCATCATTCAAACATCAACCTGATAATCCAGATACCAACATCAATAAAACATCAACCTGCTAATCCAGATACAAACATCAATAAAACATCAACCTGATAATCCAGATACAAACATCAACCTGATAATCCAGATACCAACATTTAAAACATCAACCTGATAATCCAGATACCAACATTTAAAACATCAACCTGATAATCCAGATACCAACATCAATAAAACATCAACCTGATAATCCAGATACAAACATCAATAAAACATCAACCTGATAATCCAGACACCTCCTCCGTCATTAAAACATCATTTCAGAGTTTTAAAAAATCCATCTCTGTTAGATAAAACCGAACATGTCTGTCCTTCGCTGATGATGCTGTCGTCCTCTGTTTGCATTCGGCTCACCGATTGTTTTAATGTTTGATTTATTCTTACTATTGTGGATGTAACTGAGCATGCTGGGAACTGGAGTCCAGGACAAATGACCCCAAGGGGACAATAAAGTGTATCACACAGTGTCCTGTCATCTTAAACTGGTTAAAAGTGTATAATCGAGAAATTTAACCTCTTAATAAAGAAGCTTTTCCTTCCTCCACATCTGAACTGTTTGCATCACGACATGATCAGAGTTTCTTCTCAGGAGTCCTCACATATATCTCACTGAGGTCTATAAAAAAAAATGAAATGAACATCTACATTCCTCCGTCACGTGTCTCGAAGGTTTTTAAAAGTTTTTGGTGTAATCGTTCACAGACTGTCAAACCAGGAAAAAAAACGGACATTTCCTCACAGACCTGAACGCCGTACGTGTCTTTTTCTCCACGCAGAGGTGGGTTCGATGGACTGACCTGTGTTAGTGATGCTGTAGTCCTCGCTCTTCCTGCGCATGTGATAGATGACGATGACCCAGACCAGCGAGGTCCCGACTACGCAGCACACCACCACGATCACCACGATGCCCACGGTGGTCCATCCGTCCTGGTCGTACCCTGAGCCGGTATCACAGTTGGGCGAGGGCGACACGCTCAGGTAGATGTGACCGCGCTCCGTCCCCAGAGTGTTGGACATGATGCAGGTGTATTTCCCAGCATCAGCAGGACCGGCGTCCACGATGATGAGGAGCTGGTTGGCTGCGGCGAAGAAGTGGCGCTCTGTGAGCACCAGAGGCCCGTCGTCTTTGGTCCAGTTCAGACGAGGAGCCGGGCTGCCTCCGGCGATGCACTGAAGTACGGCGGTCTCACCGCGGGCCACAGTCCTGTCCTCCAAGGGCCGCATGAAGGATGGCGTTTCTGAGGGCGGGAGAGGAGGGTTTATTGATTTTTGATTGAAAAGGATTATCCAATTATCACGGGTGTCAGACTGTTAATGTGGATCTGTTGGAGGTCAGGATTGTTATTTCCAAATAAACCGTCCTTTAGTCGTCCGGTTTAAGCCTTGATCACAAACTTTAAATGAGTTATCGATTTCATACAAGCTGGCGGCTTCACCTCACATGGCGGCGATGACGCCGTCTGATCAGTGAGAGACGCCTGACTCAGCAGATTTAAAGGCTGCAGACGTTTCACTGCAGGTCATAAAACGAACACGTGATACCGAGTTTAAGGGTCTCATTAGGATCTGCTAAAGTCTGAGGACGACCTCCAGATCTATGAGGACGTCTCAGTCTGTGTGGGCGTGTCAGATGGGTTTTGATTGACAGCTCCCTGGCTCCTCTCTCCCCTCCAGGATTATCGGCGTACCGCAGCTTTATTTCTTGGAGACTTGGCCGCCATCATCAGACGCTCTGCGATCTGCAGCTTCTTTAATTGGTGAGTTTCTAAGCGCTTTGTTATCCTTATCAGAGCCAGCATACGCCGAGTGTTGGCTCGGACGCACCGATTGGCTCTCAGAGCTGTGAATTAAACGCTGAGTGATGGCTTCATGGCGTTCGCCACAGCTTTATAATTGTGGAGCAGAGCGCTCCTCACAAATCTCAGCAGCCCCGCTGAAATACGACCATTAAAGTTCTGGACCGGCTCGCAGCTGAAGAGGACGCCTCAATGACAGCCGCTCACAGACACAGTGCATTCTGGGAGAAATCGTGCATATATCTCCTTTAGCTTTCAGATCTACAGCTTAAATACGAGGGCATGACCAGGACTAAACCAGACTCCTCTAAATCTCATGAGCTGGGATTGTCCCCGTCAGTTTTTACGGCTCCTGGACCGGATCCACATTTTTAATATTGAGCATCTGCCTCCACTGAGTCCTGATCCAGGACTTTGATTTGCCAAGATATCCGAGCTGCACAACGTTTGTCTTTTTTATTAGTTAGCTTTGTTTCCAAAATATCCGAGTAAACAGAATATCTACAAGATGTTTGGGTGACGTGATTTGTCTCCTTGAGGACGTAAAGGTCCTCTAAGTCTCGGCCGACACCGTCTCTGGTTGTTAAAATCGATGAATTCGACCAACTTCTCTGAGATTTTTGCGGCTCTCTTGAGGACATCAATCCTTTATTTTACAGTCCAGAGGTTGTCGCTCCAGCCTTTTTCTGTACAACCTGAATAAACGCGTCATATTTAGTTGAATCTTGAACACAGCTCTACTCCGACTGTCTCCTCCTGCTCCGATCTTTCAGGCAGTCTGTGTTTTCAGCTGATCGATGTGTGAGTCATGACTTTCTTCTGAAGTAGCTACAGTTAGAAGGATCAGTCTGTAAAACTGCGGTCGGTAACAGCTGACAAAAATATGACGGTTGTTGTTGTGATAGTTGCAGATCTACAGCTTTATTAAAGAATTACTGGATTGTGAATCTGGATTATAAGAAGTATTTAAATCCAGAATAAAAACGGGTTTGGTTGGTAGAAGTGACTCTGGAAAATAACCTAAAAATGAGGATGTGTCATGAGTTACAGGTCTGAACAGGCGGAGTGACTCAGCTGAAACGACATCAGTCAAAGTAATGATCAGTAATCCTCTCGGTTAATCAGGTGTGTGTGTGTGTGTGTCTCACCCAGGACGGTCAGAGTGGCGTTGGCGGACAGGCTGCCGGCGGCGTTCTGAGCCGTGCAGCTGTACACCCCCATGTCCTCCGTCTTCACGTTAGCGATGAAGAAGATGTCGTCGTCTGGCATCACGTGCATCCTGCGCTCACGGGCGGCGGGGAAGTCGGTACCGCCGTCCTTCTGCCAAGCGATCTGAGGTGACGGATGTCCTTCAGCGGCGCACTCCAGCCTGGCCATGGTCCCGGTCCGGATCGTCAGGTCCATGGGAGTCTTTAGAAAGGACGGCAGCTCTGAGAGATAAGAGGACAGAGAGTCAGGAGAAGACGAGAAGTAAAGTACCTCCATCCGGCTGAGATAACGGAGCGGCTGCTGATAAATCTTACAGGGTCATTATGTCTTCAAACATTTCTGTCTGTGTTTTCAGGAGCAGGAAAATATGTGTGTAAAAAATACGGAGGAAAAATTAAAACCACAGCCTGAACTGGTTTAAGCCCTGATTCCTGTGTTCACAGATATATGATGATTTCTGAACCTGATCCTAGTTTTCCAACAGAAACAGAGGATTTGTTAAAACCTGCAGATTTCACCCAGACAAAAAAAAACCTGCATCATGAATTTCTGACATTTTCAGATTAGAAATAGAAATGTTATTCTGGGATGGGATTAGTATAAGTAAGCAGGACCTCCATCCCCCAAACTGACTCCAGGACCCTTCATTTACAGTTTCAGGTAAAGTGTGTCACATCCATCTCCTCTTTAACCTGACTTACATTTGCATTTCACACATTTTAGTTCATTTTAAAACTCAGTTTTAACTCCAGTTTAATGGAACAAGCTTTTATAGTTTTGTTTAGTGCCGTCAGCAGTCAAGAAAAAAAAAGAGACCAGAGAGTTTGAAGACAAACTGTCAGAGTTGGCCTTTTTTTTTTAATCCAAATATCTATTTTGATAAACTCAGGGGTCCAAAGGAAGTTAAAGTGTCAGACATGAGCGCCCTGTTACCATGGAAACAGAGAGAGAGAGAGAGAGAGAGAGAGAGAGAGAGAGCTCATCACTCGCTCATTTACCACAAGAGGATTCACACACACACACACACACACACACACACACACACACACACTCACACACACACACACACAGAGCTCTATATGAAGACAAAGTCATCATCATCATTTCCTGCTGTTTTCAAAATAAAGTTACCAACCTAAGAGAAAAAGAAGAACAACCTCCTCTGATGAAGACAGAGTCATCTTCATCATCAGTTCCTGTTGTTTCAAAATAAAGTTACCAATCAAAGAGAAGAAGAAGAAGAAGCTCCTCACCGTTGACGGTCAGCTTGGCTCTGTTGGAGTAGTTGGAGCCGAAGTGGTTGGAGACCACACACTGGTATCGTCCCTCATCTGTGAAGTTGACGTTGAGGAGGTGCAGCACCGTGGTGTAGATCAGCTCCCCCTCCTGGTAGCGGGCGTAGTTCTGCACCTCTGCGTCGTACAGAACCTCGCCATCTTTCCTCCACGCCGTGGTCATCGGAGAGTCGCTGCTGCTGGACGCTATGCAGCTCAGAGTCACGTTGTTCCCCCGCAGCGCCACCGACGTCTCCGGGTGGGTCGTAATGAGAGGTTTGGGGAAATCATCTGTGGGGGAGCAGAGACAGAACGTCTGAATTCAGTATTTCTCGTCTCAGACATAAATAGACGTAGCAGCAATAAAGAAGAGGGAACATTTTCAGCGCCGATAACCAAAGAAGAGAGAAAGAAAGTTTGTGTTACAGAAATAAAAAGTGTCAGAGTTATTTCTATTATCATGGGAGCGCTACAAGAGAGAGAGAGAGAGAAAATAAATCAGTCCTGTGATAAAAAAGGAGAGAAAACAAAAGATAAATTCAGCTTCATGTCTGTTCGAAAAACTTTAGGAGTTATTTCTGCATTAAAAAAATGAACAAAACAAGGAGCAAATGAAGCGGGATGAGTGTTCCCCTGATTAAAGGGACATTCCCCGCAGTAATCCAGCGGAGTAACACCATGTCCTGTTCCTCTGCAGAATGTAATCTAATCATCTCATATTTGTTTGTAACACCCGCTGATAAAAACACTCCTCCGTGTCCTGGATTCACGTCAAACAGACTGAAAAACAGCAGAACTGGACTGACCACAAACAAACTCCTCCGGGCTGATGGACAGGACGCTGCGGCCCAAGAGGCTGGCGGGATGAGCGCAGAGGGCGGAGACGGACTGCAGGAAGGGGCTGTCCGTCAGCCAAGGCCCCAGCCACTGCATGTGACAGTCACACAGCAGGCTGCTCGTGTTCAGCAAGCTGGGAACAGACAGGTATTTGGAGAGAGGTGTGAAATCAGATTAAGTCTTCAAAGTAAAAAAAGGATAAAAACCTGCAGAGAGATTCTAAAGGTTTCTTAGACCGAGTCCCCTGAGACACAGCTCTGAATTTAGAATTGATCTGTGGTTGTTTATACCAAACTTACGTCTAAAACTTTAAGACAATCTCAAACATCAACACGAGTGACGATCAAAAGCTGCAATAGCAGTTCATTAAAACGTCCATTTAATTGTCTGTAAAGTAGAATTAAGACCCGAGTCCTGCTCCAGACTTTCAGTAGAGGGAAAGTCAACTGAGTGTGTGAATTAGAGTTTCAATGATTTTAATAAAGACAGGAGCAGTGATTCACCGCCTCCAGAAACACATTTTTAATGACTTTACACCAAGATAAATCTTCGTTATGAAGGTGTCGCCGTTTTGTCCCCCAGCTCAGTTATACCAACAGTGTTGAACTCTATGACTGCGTCAGGGTCCACTCTGAGAGGAGCTGGGGTCTTTCTTTAGACCCTCCTGAAGTGGGCTGGCTAAACCCCGGAGAAATAGAGGGACTTTGTTTTTTTTAGTTTCCAGAGTTTTTTTTCCTTTCAGACTTGAGAGACGGTCGCCTGAAGGCAGAAGCTGAACCGCGAATATCTGCCCGGGCAAACGCAGAAAGATCGCCTAATGACTCAGAAATAACTCCTTTTTTTTTAACTCATCTGAATCTTTTAAAAAGTGAAGTTTCCTTCATTCACTGCTGAGACACACTTCAGTTTTTGAGATCTTAGTCACAGAATTATGTAACAAAGATCTTAAATCCCACCTTCATCCTTTAATTGCAGCGTTACTTAACCGACATGTTTTACCTTTATATAACCAAAGCTGAGAGGAATACTGGCATACACTCGGACTGTGGGATCGTTTTTTTGTCTGTGTACTCACAACACTTTGAGTTTCGTGTGGGACAACGCCTCGGGGTGGATCGACATGATGCCGTTCTTGCTGAGATCCCTGCAGAGAGGACAGAAATACAAGGAGACACACCTCTAAAGTGATTTACAAAAAAATCATGATCCAGTTTCACAACAATAAGACAGCAGCAGCACAATGGGATTAAGAGCGATCTACAATCACTCCGATGTGTGGGAGTGTGGAGGTGTGTTCACTCACAGGTGCTCCAGCTCCTCCAAACCCTCAAACGCTTTCTTGGTGATGGATTTGATTTTGTTCCGCTGGAGGATCCTGGAGAGAGTCAAGTTATTGAAATAGTTAAGAGCTTCAAAGTTGGATAAAAACTTCTGAAAGTAAAAGTTAGAATAAACTCGTAGGTAGAATTTCACATTATAACACGAAGGAGGGATGAGAAATGGAAATACTGTCATCAGCACTTTTATTTATGTGCAAAACGTTACGTTAATAAAAGATTAACCTTCACACCTGTTTTATAATGGGACTGATGTGATGCTAACTCGCTCAGTTATACATGGTTTCTTCATATTTATCTGAAACTCTGGTCTGAGTGGTTGTGCCCGCTCTCTTCACGTGTTTTAGGTTCATGTCCAACTGTCACTATAAAATCTTTAAATGTTCCATAAAGAGATCTGACTAAAGCAAACGTCAACACCGAGAGCTTAAAAACACCACAGAGTATTAGGGCCACATTAAGCAAAAGAAAATTAGACTTTGAGATTAAACTCATTAACTAACGAGAATGAAGTCGTAGTAAAGTTATCACTTTACTCCATGAGAGCCATCCACATTATCAGAAGTATGATAATTATTTTATTAGAACTTTATTCTGGTAAATTAATGACTTTAATCTCAAAGTCTTAATTTTTTTTCTTAATGTGGCCTAATACTCCGCTGTAGAAAAATAAAGACCAAGGAAGCACTTCACACATCTATAAAACGAGACAGGTGCACTTCTCAGTCGAGGCTCAAAAACTGCAGCAAAATAGCTCAAATTTTTTGAGCCTCTACTGATTCGTGAAAAAATCTTGGTGATGACAAAAACTTCTGCAGAGTCCTCATTTTCTAGAAATCAGACACAGCCATAATGTTGTCTGTATCTGGATGACGTTCTCTGTTGTTGTCATTCACTGTCATTGTAAGTGTGTGTAGTTCAAAATGAGCTTTGTATGCTTGTTATTAGATGTATATTTTGATGATAGATGTGCCCTTTTGTACTAAATATGGAGATTTGTTAATAAAACATGTCTGTTTTTTTCTTACATTGTAAACTTATCTCCTAAAACACATTTTAAAATACTGATTTATTTATAATCGATTCACAATGTTCTGGATTTCTCTCCTGGACATGTGGGTATTACTTTAGACTGATGTCACACAAACTGTTTGGTTGTTTATTTTCTGTCTCTTTGGTTAAATTACCCGATGATGATCTTGTCCCTCTGTGTTTACGCGCGTGAGAATGGGATTGGTCAGGGAGAAATGACCACTCCCTGTTTAAGATGGCCTCTCTTCAACAAAAAACTGTTTGCCTGATGAAGGTCTAGAACCGAAACGTTGCAAATAAATGATTGACTGCAAGTTGGACAGTGTGCGGGAATCCCTTTACTAGAAAAATAAAGACAAAAAATCTTCATAATGTCCAAAAACAAAATACTTAGCGTTGAAAATAATCGTGTTAAAAGCCTGACTAAAACCTGGTTTAGAGCCTGTTCTTAATTCATGCTCACTGACCTACTATTTTGTACTTATATAACCTAACATACATTTAATATTAAGTCTCTTAAAGTGTGTCTGTTGTGTGTATAATTGTCCTTACAGTGTGTTGAGCTTCTTCATCCCCTCAAACACACCGATGGAGTCTTCGATGGCCCAGGAGATCTCGTTGTTGCGGATGTCTCTGAAAAACAAAAACAGTCTCGTTTCAGAGGAAAGGTTTGGTTTTTGAGAAAGCACATCCAGGGCACATTATCTCCGCTGTGTTTGTCTGCCAGTGACTCTCAGTTCAGAGACTAACTATCTGAGACGCCGTACTTCCACAGCGTGTCACAGTTCGCTGCCCCCGCTGCTCTGATGAAGGGAAATTAATTGGCTCTGTTTAGAACCGGGCCGGTTCACGGGTCCGCTGGAAGCCCAGAGGGTCCTTGTGTTTACAGGACGGGTCATGGGCTCTTTTGTCTCTCTTTCCTCATGCCTGGCCACCTCTGAAAGAGCTCCGGCACTCTCCGATCCTTCTCTCCCATGAAAGCTCCCAGGATGGTCAAGCTGGTCAAACATGACCCCCTTTTTCTCCCTGCAGCTCAGGGATTCATGCAGAACTCTGAGTCCCCGACAGATAACACATTTGTGATGATACTCTGAGCCGCAGCTGCACGTTTTTTTTTCCCACAGCTATCGTAGCAGCAGTAATATGTTTTCTACTCCTCTGCACATGAGAAGGAGAGAAGCTGTATGCTATAAATGTAAATGATTTATTCTGTGGTCCTGATACGGGAGCATTAACATCTTTATAGAGACGGATAACTTCTCTGATCCAAAGTTAATCCCTTAGGTCATAAACGGAGTCGTGCACAAATGTTTAACAGCGTTTAACACACTGAAAAAGAGATGTCTGATATCCTCTCTTGGACTCAGCTGAAGCTGCTGTTTTTCTGTTGACAAGGCGCTGAAATGTTCTGCATTTTCATACGCTGATATTAGTTTATTTCTGCTTCATGAAAGTCAAATCTCAGAGAAACCGGAGGGCTCCTTCTGCCCACTGTGACAAAAGATCCCATCTCCATCTATTGGCCTCGGGCGCAGCGACAGAGGAAATCTCCGTCTACTCTCTCCTCTCTGTGCAATATTACAACCACCACAACATAACCGTGTACTGCCTTTCAAATATATTATCTAATATAAACAGTGGGTATGCATTGTGTTTGCAGGGGATGGTTCTGGTTAATATCCAGGATGCGGATATTTTCAGACTCATCCTGATCCAGAAACATGGTTAGCTGGGAGCAGGCTGTATCTGTCATCCTCACAGAGCTGAGGGATGATTATCATGAATTCACTGATTTTCTCAACTGTGTTTATTTCACCGCTGCTTTATTTCTTTGCTTTGTTGAAGACCTGAAGTCAGGGCCGCTGACGGGTTTCTCTCTGACGCTGACTTGTTCTTACTTTTCAGAAACTCTAAGTTCTGCTCACGACTCCTGAGATGATGCACAGGTAAATTGGTATTCCTGAAGGAGGGTTGTTTGGCTCCTCTCTCCATCACCTGCGATTCACAGGAAGGGCTCCACATCATTAGTGGCCGGCTGGACCTGATGCATGATTGACGGACTCTGGGCAGGCTGATTGCATGTTTCACTGGTCGACTCAATCCAAGTTAAAAAGGAGCCTAAAGGGACCGTGCTGCCTGTAAATCATGTCACACACTTTTAAATCGTTTTCTAGAGATGCTGGAAGAGTTTCAATGAGGGAGTTCGGAGATTTACAAACAGGAATCAGTTTTTAAAAGTACGAAGATGGGATTTTCACAAGTTTAAGGAGCAAGGGGGTTTAATTATCACTTATTATTGTTCTGGTTTTGTTAAGTTTATTATAGAAATGCAGGTTTTGAAGTGACTCAGTATGTTAAATTGTCAAAGCTAAATATTAAACAGCTATAACATCCAGTAAAACCTTTAAAAACAGGGAATTCATGTTTTTTATTCAATAAATATACAAGTGAAGTTCAATAACTAAAAAAAATACAAAGTATTAAGTTTGTATTTTTCATTAAACGATAATTAAAATGATAAAACTGGATAAAAACATTAAAGGATCGTTGAAACCACTGGCTGTGATTTAATGCCAACCGCTGACAAACACTTATTTTGACGTCTGTTTCTGACAGGTCAAATACTTCCACACAGCTGACATGTTGGCGCTCGCCGTCGGGGCGTGTTTGCAGTCAGCATGTACACAATATTGATGCTTAAACACAACGGCGAAATATTTATACCCGCCAGCACTGATAATTATCAAGTTATTACAGATTGATGCCAATTTAATGCCAGTCATCATGTGCATCGCGAGTGTTTGCACACTCCGCTGCTGCTCTAAGGTCAACAGTTCTTTCTAAAGGGAACGCTGTGTGTTTAAGAAAAACGACACAGACCAGCAAACCGCGCAGCACAGACGCTTCCTCTGCGCTGAGAGCCGAGCATTTGGCATTCGTTTGTTGAAGCAGGGGGGATAAAGTAATTAGATATGTTTGGTTAAAAGACTGAGAAAGCCAAAAAAATCCTTCAACCATCACAGCAAAATCCAAAGAGCTTAATTACCATCAATGATGATTCTGGTGGAAGAGAAACCAGCAGAAATCAAAGAGATTTAGAATAAAACCAGACACTGGTACAAGAGGAGAAGAGGATCACAGGCAGGGTTAAAAAACACACTAACGTCCAGGAGGAGAAAAAACTTTTTCAGTTCCTCTCTAAAAACCAGAGCGCCCTCCAAACCCATCACCTGCTGAGCTTCTGTCCAACTGAGAGCTCAGAGAATTACTCAGAGGAGATGAGACACAACGCTGACGTCAGACTGAAATAATGAGATCCAACTCTGATGTTGGCAAACTTCATTTGTGTCTTACTCAAATGTCAGATGACAACAAACCAAAAATGAGTTCATACTCCGTTATAGACCAGCTGATCCGTCCTCCATTGACTCCAGTCTTTATCGTCTTTAACTGTAAATCTATATCTGAGTCCAAACAACAACAGTTGAACAAACACTCCACCTGCTAAAGAGTTTCAAGTCAGAAGAGCGTCTGAGGAAAAGACTCTCTGATGGACTTACTGCCTTAAATTTCTAAATCACAATTCATGCTGAGACGTCTGGCAGTTAAACAGGAGACACAACGAAGAGAAGAGGAGCTAAGACTAAACATATGATTAATGACGAGGAGGATTAGAGGACAACAATGACTGAGACCTAAAGTACTGTGAGTGAGTCAAGTCTACAAGATTACTTGGGAAAACAACAAGACAAGACGGGATCTACACATGAAGAGTGAAACAAAGGGACCTACTGTGGTACGCAGCCTTCATGAGGACGCACAGAGCCAAGAACAAGTCAGGACTTGGTTATTTTTTCACACACTGAGCTTCAGTACACGTCTTTATCAGATCAAATAGGTGTCCCATCTCTCGGGTGGATATTTTGGAGGTGTAGTACTTACAGGGTGCGCAGGCTTGCCAAGCCACTGAACACTCCCTCTCCCAAATGGCTGATGGAGTTTTCTCCCAGGTTCAGGTTCTCCAGGAGACCTAAACCCACAAAGGCCGTCTCCTCCAGTCGGGTTAGATGATTGAAGGACAAGTCTCTGCAGAAAACAAGCAGGAGTGTGGTGAGGAAGAGTTCAGACAGTTACTGTGTTACAGGCAGAGGAAGCCGGTGTGTTAATGCAACAGAACATTCAAGAGCGATGCTCCAAATGTTGGAAATTGTAAGAAAATTGTTAAAAAGCACATCTAGTACTTTCACCAGAGGCGAAACAGCAGTGATTCAGCTCCAGAGAGCCCACAGTACCAAAGCAGGATAATTGTAACATCTCTGAGCACTCACAATGAGTCTAAGAGCCCGGGGCTGAGGAAACAAAGTGGGGACTCTCAGCTGGGTTGGGATTTTAGCTCAGAAGCAAAAACACTCACAGTTCTTCCAGCTTTTGGCAAAACTCCCAGGCGTCCGGTCGGATGATGCCGACAGCATTCTGGCTGACCCGCAGAACACGCAGCATGCGCAGGCCATACAGCCAACCTTTGGCGACCTCGGTTAAGTTGTTGTGCTCCAGTTCTCTGAGACGCAGATGGGAAAACAAAAAAGCGAGAACATATCATCTCATTTTCTTTTTTTTAATGCATTCACTTCAACAATTAGGGATGACAGTCCGACTGATGTGTTCACATCTCTCTCTCTGCTTTTACGTTTTTCACATCCAAACGTTGTGGTTTCATAATCACCGATGAAACAGTTTTACTCACAGTTCTTCGATGTTGTTCAGCCCAAAAAAGGCTCCGTCCATGAGCTTGGTGATGCCGTTCCTCTGCATCTTCAGCGACCTCAGTGAGTCCATCCCTTTGAACGTCAGGCTGTCCACGATCTTGATCTTATTTCGCTTCATTTCACTGCAGTCAGAGTTTGCATCAATTCAAGCCCAGAGAACAAACTTCAACCAATTCAAACACAAACCTACAATCAAGTCCAAGTCTGAGAAAGCTTCAGTCAAATGAACGAGTCAATCATTCAAGGTCAGTCAGGTCAAGAGTTAAACCTGGTGGTTAGCTCTGTTCTGGGAGCTCCCTGCCTTTCCACTTGTGTGTATGAAACACCAAAGCCTGAGGTTAGGAGATCACACCTCACCTCCGCTTCGTTTGCATCCATGTGAAGTGAAGGCAGGGAGAGCAGCAGAGCAGATATAACACATATGACACCATTTGAAGGTAATCAGCTGATATGGGCTGACGTCGGGATCAGCAGCCTGAACTAACACCACTCTAATGTTTACATCAAAAACCCTCGATGTGATTCATACTTACAGGAACTGCAGCTGTGGGAGTCTGAAGACTTTGGACGGCAGAACCACTAATCTGTTTCTGTTCAGCTTCAGCACCAGCAGAGAGCTGGAGATGTTTTCAAAGCAGCCGGGCTCCAGGACGCTGATCTTATTGTTACTCAAATTCCTGAAATAGACAAGAGCAGAAACATTAAGAGGACATAAATGTTTTCTTTGTTGTTTCACTTAATGTGTGTGTGTGTGTGTGTGTGTCACTTTGGACACACAGATGACACACACTGAGTCACAACAAGACCGAGAGGAAATCCACCACAACAAAGTGTTTATGAAGCTGGAGCACGCTTCGCTTTTGTGTTTTAAATAATGATTGAAAAAGTGCTGTCATCCTAATGTTGTTAAACAAAGCTCTCTACTGTCTCATGATTTAACTGTATCTAAGTTATTCAATCATTTTAAACTACTGTGAGGAGGACAGGCAGTTATTACCTCCGCCAAGGAGGTTATGTTTTTGGTAGCGTTGGTTTGTTTGTTTGTTTGTTTGTTGGTTTGTTGGTTTGTTTGTTTGTTTGTGAACAACTTTAAGGAGAAAGTTACAGACGGATTGACCTGAAATTTTCACCAGAGGTGCGTCTCAGCCCCAGGAGGATCCCATTACATTTTGGTGGTGATCCGGATCGCCTTCTGGATCCAGGAATTTTTTGAAGGATTCTTTATCATTGTGAGATAGGGCAAATTTTGGAATTTTTGCATTTAACTCTATAAAAATGTCCAGAGTCTTTCGTAAAAAATTACACTAAAGGATCTCAATGAGTTTTATGAGGTGTCAAAGGTTGATCCTGATCCAGACAAAATTCCGGATACTGTGAGCTGCTTGGAGGCTCGGAGGTCTGCGCTTTCCGAGTGCTTTTCTAGTTGAAATGAAATAAGGTTACAGTAACAACACTGACATGAATTCAGTTTCACCCATCCTTCGTGGATACATGCATCCCTTCAATGCTCTCTGTTTTCTCACGTTGTTCTTGTAAATTCATCCGTAACAAAATAAAATGAAAATGAAGATGTTTTATAAACATGCTCACAGATATTTCAGCTGCATCGAGGGGAAGGATCCAACTTTGAGCTCTGATATGGAGTTAGAAGTCAGGTCCAGCGTCTCCAAAGACACATACGGCTGCAGCTGATGCATCAACAGCTCTGAGATCCGGTTGTGGACTCTGAATTAAACACATAATCAGAAAATACATCTTTTTAAGTCATAATGTTCGTGTAATAAATGTGTGTTTATAACAGAAAATCAAACAACAAGAACTCAAAAGCCCCAAAATTTCATTTTGTTCCTTTAAACGTACAATGACAGCGAGGTAATGTTCGTGGAAACGTCTCCAAGGTTGGGAAGGACGGTCAGCTCGTTGTGGTTCATAGAGCTGAAATGAAAATCAAAACAACGTGAACAGCAGAATAAAAACATTATTTTTGGATTTTTACTCTGTTTAGATTCAATTTCAGTCAAAGTTCAAGAAATTGGCGCCAAAAAAAATGTAAAACTTTAGACTTTGGATGATTGTGGTTAAGGATCTCACAAGAGGTGGGTTCAAATGTTAATGCAGTATTAAAACGTCATCCTTGCGGGGGCAAATATCTACAATAATACCCTGTGTACTAGTTTTCCTCTCTATTTGACTCACTGTTACGACTTCATGACTATTCATAACATATATCCTGCTCTTTACCGTGTAGTTTATTTGTTTGTTTTTTAAACTGACTGATCAAGAAAAAAAAAGAGAGAAACAGCTGAAACAGAGCAGCGCGAGAGCCTGGGTGTGTGTTAGTGAAGCAGAGGGAAGCTGCAGCACGGCTACAGGGAGGGAGGCATAAAGATTCATATAACTATGAAATAGAAATATAATCCTGAGTCCTCCTGTTTGACAGACAAAGACTGTGTCATTAGTCCGATCTGTATGTGTATCACAGACAGCCGATTGGTGACATTTTCAAAAAATCAGCACAGACAGATATCTGTGTTCATTTCATAATAGATCACAACCGCAGAAACTCCAATCAGCTCGTTCTCTTAAAAGATAACATGTTCAATGACAAATATCTTACAGGTGCTGACAAGTCTGATCTGTTAAAGCGTAACCGTATAGAAAACACTGTTATTGTTATTTAACAGTAATAGTTTATCAAATGCAACAACAAAGAGGAATCAGCAGTAAATATCAACCATCGGCTGACCAGCTCTGCAAATATTGGCGTCAGTATCAGCCACTACGGAAAAAAAATCCTCGGCTGATCCTGACATATGAAACCGATTTTATCCACCGATCTTATCGACCTCAGCAAAGGTCCGAAAGTAAAATAAAAGACTAAAGGAACTGATATAATTTAGTCGTTTGGACAGCAATACTCTAAACTTTTCGTTTATCTGAGATAACTAACTCATGTACAGTTACAAACACAAAAAGTTTGTACTGTTTCACAGGTATTGTTCAATGTTTTTCATTAACATAATATTGGAGCATCGAAGGTGCATGTTGTCAGTTATTTTTTTTTTAAATCGGTATCAGCCAAAATCGGTATCGGCAGATTAAGCTTTTTAAAGGTCGGCGACCGGCCAGAAGATTGTGATCGGTGCACCCCTATAAAACTCCTTATGATAGTTTAAGTTAAATGATACTTGATGTAATATTCGATCAGAGAAACTGTGTCTTCCTCCGCGGTTCCTCCTGGTTTTGTTTTGGTGCACACCTCGTCCGAGTAACAAATCAGAGCTAAGGGATCAGAAAAGGACAAACTTCAACACAGGTCCTGTACTTACACTTGGGTTATCCCCTCTGGAGGGTCCATGGGGGCCGCTGACAGCCTTTTCCTATTGCAGTCCAGAGAAAAGACTTCATCCTGCCCTTTCTCACAAGAACAAGGAGCAGGACAAGTGCCTTCAGCCCAGGAACTTAAACTCAACAGCAAGAAGAGCAGGGCCGAAGGAACGGGCCAACCCTCCGCCATTTTAAAACACTTCCTCCTGGAGGCTACGTGGCTAACTCGCTAAACTCGCACCTTAACAGTCACAAAACCACCATTAAATTATTCCCTTATCTCAACATAAGTCAACAGACGGCATAACTTAAGTGGACGGTGCCATGTTTCCTGGCGGAACTGTTAAATACAGTTTTCCCGAACTTGCGTGAGGCATCCCCGCACTGATTTCTTCCCCGAGCCTGAACTCCTTCCTCCCGGAGCGGCTAAAGCTAGCTCACCGCTGAGCTGCTTTTGGTCCCATAAATAGTCCACTCTCTACCAGACGACATCGGTTTCACTCCATAGTTGATCAGCTTTTGTCAATATCGATCCAAATGAAGGATTATCCGTCTAAAACGCGCCGGTTCTTCATATATTCATCACTATTTTTCTGTCCCGAAAGAACAACAAAGCGCCTGGAGTTGATGACATAGGATATCCTTCATCCCGCCCCTTTCCAGCACACTTACGACAATTCGTTTGGTCCGTGAGCACGCTTGTCAAACATTTGAAGCGACGTGATTGGACCTCCATTAAATGTGTTTTTGTGATAGTCTCCACTGTACACAGCAGAAAAGTTTCTCTGAACTGCTTTTCCACGATTTAGTGAGCTTTTTCACAGCCCTCTGGTTGACTGGGGTAATTTCAGACGAGTTTTAGAAACTATTGTGTTGTCATTTATGTTAGGGACAGAAGAGGCTCAAGACTCACCTTTTTAACCAGACTTTAAACTAACTGCCTTTTTATATTTCTCTTATTGCAAATGTTCATTTTTGGTCAAAGTTCTTCATGTTTATTTAATGTCATTTTATTAATTATCTCTGTTCTTAGTCTTTTTCTTAATTCCCGTCATAGAGGTTTTTACTTCTTTTACCCCTTTTACATGATAATGAGCTCTTACTTATCTGCAGAGGTGGGAGTAAGTCACTCATGTGCAAGTCACAAGTAAGTCTTAAGTCATAACCATAGACTCTATATACTATACCCTAACCCCAACACTATATTCTTTATACAGTCTATGATCATAACCTTCAAGTCTCGAGCGAGTCCAAAGTCACTATGGTGAGATTCAAGCAAGTCCAGTCGAGTCATTTCTCAGGTCAAGTTAGTCACAAGTCAAGCTATACAAAATTCTGATATCTAACACAGTCTCTACATTTAAATCAGTGAAGACAGGTGTAAATAAGTTGAATTTTATTTCAACATTTACAATTAACACACTGAAAATATTGCAGCCTGCTTACAAACCTGACTTACTTATAAACGTATCTGTCTAAGGTGCTTCTTCGTGAACATTTCTGTGCACAAAAGAAATATTGCATCAACTGAAAAGCACAGAAAATGAAAATCAAGTCTATAAAAACAAATAAAAACATATTGCTTGAAATGTAAACATTACTGACATAACAAAACATTACACTAAACAATGAAATCTCATTTACAAAATGTTTTTCTGTTCATTTAATATTATTGTCTTGTTTTAGTCCATCAGGTTTTAGTCTTTCTTTTTACCATTTTTATCTTTTATCTCCAGTGTTTCCCAAAGGTTGCTCTTTCCTCACGTAATGTCTCGGTGTCAGGCCATGTCTCTTTAACAATATATCTTTAATTCTTACACGGTGTGCACTCGTGTGTGTGTGTGTGTGTGTGTGTGTGTGTGTGTGTGTGTGTGTGTGAGTGAGGGTGAGTATGTGTCTTTGTGTGTGTGTGTGATGTGTGTGTGTGGGTGGGAGGGTCGGGTTTTATTGTTGTTAATTGTTGTTTTTAGCCTCTGTGAGGCACTTTGAACTACATTTTTTGTCTGAAAAGTGCCGTAAAAATAAAGTTGAATTTGAATATGTAACTCATACCTTTTTAAATTAACTTCTACATAAATTTTAAAAAATGACACATGTGGAAGATAATTTGGCAAATGCCTTTCTGCACCTTTTTTTCTCTGTAGAAACATTCAATTGAAACCCCATCCAAAAAGCCCAACCTGCTCAATATTCAATTCCTGTCACACCCTTCACAGGGTTAGAAATGCCAATAAGGATCATCATGTTTTTTTCCTCCTGCTGCAAAATAAACTGCCAAAACATGTTTAATCACATGACCACTCCTGTCTCACATTACAAATTTGTACCACAGGTATATTCAGCCTCACTCATTTCACAGTCACTCATCAGAGGTGGACAAGCAAAGAAACAAGCATGTCTGAAGAAGTTTACCTCAGCAGTGAAGCTCAGCACCTGCCCACGAAGAGGAGAAGAGTGACTCCAGAGTATCAGCGAACACTTCGCCTGGACACTGAGACAACGCAGAAAGAGGTCTATGTTGTTGGCACCTGTCTGAAAGCAAGCCTGAACAGGTAAAATGAGGATGGGGGACAAAAACTCAGGCAAAAATACATTGATGGATGTTATTTATTTATGTTATGTTGTTTTCCTTGTTGCATGGCTTCATATGCAGCTTCAACAGCAGAACCGCAGACTACATTTAACGTAAAGTCGGCTTAATCTAATTAAACAGGCTTTAATGTTATGATAAGCTTGAATGCAAAACCAGCATGTGATATTTGCCTATGGTTATATCATTTTAAATAAAACTCACAGAATGGTAAGTATTGTAGGACTTGTAGACAACAGCACTTTTGCATATGTGCACAAAAAATAATGATAAATGATTTTCAGAGTGTGTAGAAGTGTGTGCATGTGTCTGTTTGTGTGTGTGTGAAAGGCTGTGTGTCCCCAAAGTTGTGTTTATAGTTGTTTCTTTTTATATGCATTTCTGTCCGGCACACATTTCTTTTTATTCAATGGTTTTCATTTCCCGGGGCAGCTGGGTGTGTCAGCGTAAAGTGTTTTTTGTTGTTGTTTTATAGCTCAGGTGTGTCCTCATAAATTAATCTTTGATGGACCTGAGGTAAGATCTGTTTACCCTCTTCATATTTGTCTATTCTGTAAAATTGAGACTTTCTTTAGAACCGTCCTCGAACATGAAACACCCAGATCAATTTATACACTTCTTCAGAACACTGACTTATTAAAGCTTCTTATTAAACAGACTGATCAGTGTAATTCATAACTTTTACTGCCTGTACCTGCTGTGATAAGGCAGATATCAGACCAGATGATATAAATTTTACTTTTACTGTTACTTAAGACTGTTAAGCACTTGCAGGAGAAGTCTGAGTAAAGTCCTTAAATGCACAAATACTTCTGTTGTTGTAGCTGCAACAGCAAGGACTGCACCGTGAACAGGAAACGCTTGACAATTTTTATTGATTTCAATTGTTTATTGACCCTGAATTTAACATTCTGCTTCCTGCTGCTGCTGGTTTGGAAAAGCTTATTTGGGGATCTGCTGTAGCCTGCAGGCAGGACGAACGTCTCTCTCTGGGCCTGATTGACTGAAAGAAAAGGGAGGTGGGCTCGGGGGGGGGGTTAGTTAGTTCCTCTACACCGTTTATATCTTTAGTTTTTAAAGAAGAACTCTCCAGTTCAAGTTATTCAAGGCTTTAAAACATTTATAGATAAAAGTAAAGAGGTATCAGTCGGTAGGCAAGTGCCATAAGTGGGTGAGTCCAGGCCCCCGGCCTGATACACCCACACTGTGTGACATCCATATTCCACATGATGTCCTCCTGAAAGTCCTCTCAGATAGTACGTCTACGACCCACAGGAGGAGCAGCGGTTATTGCTGCTCTTTGAAAGTATCGTCACAAAGTCAACAGTTTCTCCTTTTATTAATGAGTTCAAAGGTCACAGTAAAGTTGGGGTTCATTCTCACTCAAGTCCATTAAACTCCTTAATAACTTTTTCTTTCTTTCGCTCAAACTTTAAGAAAAAACAACAAAAACAACTAGAAACAAAAACACTGAACAAAATAATACATATGTACAACAAACAACTGTACATGTCAAAGATAAATTAAACTAACATGTTTGTCAAAAATAAACAGTTTGAGAAGGAACAGAATGAAGCAGAGAGTTTATCTAGTCCTGCCCCCTCCCTGCAAATTAGAGATTAAAAAAATCTAATTATATAAATGACAAAGATCTGAATAAATACCTTCATATTATACACGAAGATATCTGCTCAACCCTACATAGGTTACTAATAATGTTTGCATATCATAATAATAATCAGTGTTATAATATTCAGAATTAACATTACTTCTATGTAATCAAGTATATTTAATATAAAACCATATTTTTGTTAGTTTACTTCTAAAAAACCTTCATTAGGACAGTGAAATACTGTACACAAGGAAAATGAAATATTTTTTTTATTTTAAAATACATGATTACTACCTGTGCAATACAGAATGATACCTGACACTACATCGTGCTATTGTGTGTGTGTTTGTGTGGGTGTGTAAACACCGTGTGTGCGCGCATGTGCGTGTGATTCCAGTGAAATTGTTGCTTTGCATATTCTTGTTTTTCTTGATTTTACCTGCAGCTGGACCGAGTTCAGGCATATTTTCCCACAGGAACGATAACGTCAATCCTCTTTATGAGAGAAAAAACAGGTTAAAACTTTATCCTGTTCAAGGTTGTAGTTCAGGAAGTGAGGAATAGCCTCGCTCGGACACCACCCTTCTCCATTCCAGAGACAACAATGACTCCAAACACCGAGCTATTTCCTTAAAGACAGAAAAGAGAAAGAAATGAGACGAATTTGGATAAATGTTTGATATCGTGTCAGGAAACTTTATTTTCTCTGTTTGGAAATGTTTGTCGATGCAAACTTGGTCTTTAAGAAACATTTCCCCTCAAGCTTTACAAAGTGTGTGTTTGTGTGCGTGTACACAAAGGTGATAAGACATATGATAGGGGTAAGTAGGTGAGGAGGCGGGGTTTAGCGTTGAGCTGACCAATCAGAGGTCTTTGAGTACCTGTATCCTGTTATCACCTGTGTTATTATCCTCCGCTCAGACTACAGGAATGTAACGGCAGCCCTCTGTAATAATAACGGAGCAGTAGTCGGTCATTTCCTCCCGTCGGTATCGGTCGGTCAGTCGGTCAGACTCAGCAGTCATGGTTCACAGCCGGACGATCAGAGTGGATGTAGAAAGTGTGATAAACGTCGTGTACGTGGTGGGCTCGGAGCTTCAGGTGAACCTGAACAGGTAAACTCTTAACAACACTCACAGATACATCTGAATATTTAATTTCTTTAATTTAATCTGTTTTTTCCACCGTGTTTAAGTAGTTTAGTCTTTGTAGCTCAGAATTATTCCTTACATTTTTAATGTAAATTACTGTGAGGATGTGAATATATTAAACAAAACCCGCCAAACAGCCACAATCTGGACCTAAATGGTCGTAGTATTGATAAAAATATAGTTTTTAGGCTTCACCAGCTGTTAAGCAGCTAAACACACACGGCTCACCTGTTTGTCCTGTAAGGTCATAGGAGGATTTCAGCTCCTCAGATCTTTCTCTAAGTTATTTAGGAGACGTTCTTCCTATCATCAAAAATTCAGTTTTAGTTTCCAAATTACTTTCATTGTTATCTTGAACTCTATCTTCGGTACAGCAATATTTGGTTCAAAGAAAACCACTTGAATAGTTAGAGCCATCATATGAAAGTTTGCGCACACATTCACACGCCCTCATCAACACACGTTAATTCAGGTTGTCTGTTTGCTGATTTACAGTGGTGGAGCCAGGGTAGATATGGGTGACAATGGCCCAGGCCACCCCATTATTCTACTATTAGAGTTAAAAAGATAACCCTCCACACACACACACACACACACACACACACACACACACACACACACACACACACACACACACACACACACACACATACACCCATGCCACATGATTAGTGCACTTTTAGATGTGAGTTAAATGTGTTTAAAATAATGTTTTGGCAGGTCAAAGACAGAAGCTGAAATCACTCTGATTTTTTCTCTAAAGTGGCTCATTTTAAACAAACAAGTGTCTCGTTTCACCTGAAATTAGTTACCAACACTTAAACTCTTTTGATTCCAAACTCACACATGTTTTTTTACATGTTTATATATTGATTAATCTTAAAGAGACTCAAAGAATTTTATTTGAAAAATATCGACCAGATCTCAGGTGTAGCTTATTTAATAGTCTTAAAAACAATTTGCCAGTGAGTGTTTTATTTAAGCTGTTTTAATTGTACTTGTACGCAGCCTGCAGTCAGGGAAATTCAGCATTGTTGTGGAAGTTTAATTGGTATCCTTCTCTGTGCAGAACAAAAGCCAACAACACGGTTACCGTTGGAATCTATCACTACTATAATGTTTCTTTAAATGCTTACAAATGCTGCCTCAGGGTAGGCGTTTGACAAAGTAAGTAATAACACACGACTGAGCTGGTCTCTAACTTTGACAGAGATTATTCATAATGCTGAAATACATTTGTTGGATGGTAGGACACACACAGTCACAAGGTTACCAAAAACTGACAGAGAGAGAGTTTCAGGTTTAAGTCAAAGTCTCCTAAAACCAGATCAGGTCAGTTTATGATGAACGAATATCTAAAGGTAATAAAGATGAATCCACCGGTCCTTTAGGACATGAATCATTAACCTCAATAAAACTTTTTAGAGGTGTAGAGTTAAACTGATGTTGGTACAGCTGAAGTTACAGTCTGGTTGAAAAAAGCAGATTTGTAAAAATACAGAAATAAACACAAACGTTAGGGATATCTAATGATTGTAGTATGATTCAATATCATCAAAAAAATTTAAAACGCTCACTAAGTTTAACAAAATGTGAAAAATGTTCAGGTGTATCAGTAAGTATGAGTTTAGTTGAACTTCATTTAGACTAGTTTTTTTTTTACCAGCCTCCTCTCCTGATCAATAAAAAATCTTGTCTGATAATAAACTTCAACCAGGCTCACCTTCTGATACCAAAGATCAATACATGCGTGTCAGACACACCTGATTTAACAGCCTTCTGTTATTAATGAGGAATGTCTGATTTGTGCATCCACATTATCCGCTCTTGGTTTTGCAGGAGTGCCCCACCCAGCTCCAAGTTCTTCTCGGTGAAATGTTCCCCCAGTGTTCAGTACAGCATCACCCCGACGCCTCAGGAGACGTCCCACCTGTCCCCCCTCCTTCTCCATGGAAACCAACTGCTGCTCATCAGTATGAGTCAGGCCAGTGATGATCTCAATGACAGCAAGGTAAAGTCGGAGACAAATGCATGTGAGGAAATGTGATGAATAAGCAGCATGAGGAAATGAGCTCCAGGAAATGAGCCGTTTATAAATAAGAATTAACGACCGCAACAAAATTCAAGTTCAACCAGGAACATGTCCGAGTTTACTACAACTAACCCTGAGGAGTTTTTAAACTAAGTCAGAAGGAAGAAGGTTTTATGTTAGATTTAACTTTGCATAATCAGTCTGAGTGTTTTTATCATATTCTTCTTTGTTTTGATGGTTTCTTACATTTTCTAAAACCTTAAAGTTTTTAAAAACGCTCTGAAATGGACAAAAATTTAAAGCTTTTTGGGGTCGTGTTCAGACTTTTCTAGTGTCCAAAGGATTTCAGAATCACAGTTTCATTTTTGACATATAAACATGTGGTGATCTTGTTTTGAAGCTCTGTGTCAGGTACTACGGGGAGAAGAAACAGGTGTTGGGGAACGCGATCCTGCACCTGACTGCTGTAGGTAAGCTTGTCCTTTAGAAACCCCAAATGTGCATAAAAACGACAAATATTTGAGAGTGTGTTTGTTTATGTGTTCAACTGCTCTACAAAGTCAAGACATTAATCATGTAGGCAAACCAGGAGAAAAATCCAGTTGGTCACATGGACAGAAACTGTTCCTCAGAAACGTAGATAGACACTGGTTTGAAAATAAGGGCTGTGATATGAATCACTGTGTTGTTTATTTTGTTCATGCGAAGGCGAAAAACAACATGTTTGTGTCACACAGAGATTTCTCTGGATGTGGACGCCGACAGAGACGGTGAAGTAGAAAAAAACAACCCAAACAAGGTGAGGTTCAGAGTGAAGAAACAGTACAAAAGGATGTTTTTCTCACTGTCATTTGCTGTCCAAAGTAAACTCCTCCTGACAGTTTGTTGTCTCAGTATATCATGAATCTCTTACTGGGCCTCTGTAGTTTGTTCATATCTTCATATTTTTTAGCCGTATGTTGAGCTGAAACAGTCTCATTAAACTGTTTTGTGCCACTTTTTTAGGCCTCTTGGAAATGGGGTCCAGGTGGGCACGGAGCCGTCCTGTTGGTCAACTGTGACTCTGAACAGACGGGCTACAGGCAGCCAGACCACGAGAAAGAAAACATCACCAAAGTGTCGGGTACATTAGTCCAGCTTTGAGCTTTGTCGTTACCATCACAACACATATTTCCTTTTACAAAGTCAGCTGATCTAACTATAAGAAAATTGACTGGTGCTATTTAGTCCAAAAAGAGGTACGTACCTCTTATTTAGTTGGTTATTTATGCTTTTATAGGTCATACAGAGGCTTTGGTGTCAGTGAGCAGTTAAGAATTCATCAGTGTGTGTGTGTGGGGGGGGTGTTAGTAACTTGACTCTTTGTCCTCACACAGATCTGAAGGATATGTCACTCATGGTGCTGAGGACCAAAGGCCCTGCCAAGCTCCCTGAGGGCTACAAGCTCACCATGCACATCTCTCAGAGCGATGCAGAGAGTGTCCGAGTCTTCAGGTCCAGAGGTCCTGGAGCTAAAGACACCTCCTGTGAGAACATACAAGAAGATGATGAAACAGACGTATTATCCAGTTGGCTGCTCTTTTCATTCTTGTCTTTTTAATGTTGTCAATCATCTTCCTCCAGCTGGGAGTATCTTCTACAGCTTCTTTGTGAAGACCTACCCCCTGGTTCTGAGCAATAAGGTTTTGTCTCAGGAGGTGCCTTACTTTGGAGGCAACGCAGAGCTGAACTTTCACGTGGAGGGCCTCAGGTTTCCGGACAAAGACTTCAGTGGGTTTGTCAGCATCAGCCTCAGTCTGTTGGAGAGAATTGGCATTGTAAGATCTGCATATTTACAACTTTTAAGATGTCCTCCTCACTAGGGATGTTCGATATTTTTGCATCCTGATATATGACAAAGATACAGAAAAATAAGTGTTCAAACTGACTGTCTGTACTCGTGTTTGTTTTGGGTCCCCAGGAGATCCCAGACACTCCTATTTTCACAGACAGAGTCATGTTCAGGATGTCTCCATGGATCATGACCCCCAACACCCTCCAGCCCATGGAGGTGTTTATCTGCAGGTGAGAGCAGCACACTGATGAAGCAGCAGATATTTTTACTTTTGACATGAAACATTTCTTTGTGACGACTCACTGATTACTGTGATTATCTCTTCAGGACCGATGATAACTACACACTGCTGCAAGAAATGAAAAACGTGGTTGTAAAGAGCGGGTGTGAGCTGAAGGTTTGCCCTCAGTTTATGAACAGAGGAGATCGATGGATACAGGTGAGAAAGCTGATGTGTTCAGTTTTTAACATTTTTTATGTCTCATCAGTGAATTTCTGAATTTTACAGAAACCACATCATAACAAAAGAGAAAATCATACTGTCTGTTTCAGGACGAGCTGGAGTTTGGTTACGTGGACTCTCCTCATCACCACTTTCCAGTCGTCCTGGATTCCCCTCGGGATGGAAAAATGGCCGACTTTCCTTATGAGGAGCTCCTGGTGAGAGACTGTTACTCACATTTCTCTTCAGATCCCATGTAAGGTAGTGTTAGAGTAGTCAAGTCCAGGACTTAGACTCGAGTCCAACTTGAGTCCTGTTTGAAGGACTGTGGAGTCTGACTTGTACTTGCCAGCTCAATAGCCAAATGACCAATCAACAAACCAACCAACTAACTAAATAACTAATAAACCAACCAACCAACCAAATATTTCACCAACCAACCAACCAACCAACCAACCAACCAACCAACTAACTAAATAACTAATAAACCAACCAACCAACCAACTATTTCACCAACCAACCAACCAACCAACCAACCAACCAACCAACCAACCAACTAACTAAATAACTAATAAACCAACCAACCAACCAAATATTTCACCAACCAACCAACCAACCAACCAACCAACTAAATAACTAATAAACCAACCAACAAACCAAATAACCAACCAACTTATAAACCAACCAACCAACCAACCAACCAACCGATAAACTAATTAACCACCCAAAATAAACGAACCAATCAATCAACCAACACATACAGTGACATTTGTGTATCTAAACAGGAACAGAAACAGGTTTTAGTCGGTCTTTGGCTGCCCGTGCAGCACCCTACAGAGGAAAAGTGACAACAGCTCTAAGCTAGCTCGCTTATGTTTACATGCACACAACTGTTATATGGACATAGTAGTAGGTTTGAATTACACTAACTCTGTTATAACTAACAGTAAACAACTGTTTCATGAATGTCAGTGAATTTAAAGCCCATTAAATGTGAATACTCATGTTTCTTATACACTGGCAGAGCATTACAGCTGCTCACTGAGTAAATAAACCACAGAACGAGGACAAAAAGACAAAAAGAACAAAAACAGTTCATGAATTAGGACCTAAAGAGAGTCTGGAATAACACAGGAGATCTCCAACCGCTCTCACGTCCTCAGGGCCCTGACTTCGGCTACGTTACAAGAACAGCCCACAAAAGAGAAGTGACCAGTCTGGACTCTTTCGGGAACCTGGAGGTCAGTCCTCCGGTCACCGTGAATGGAAAGCACTATCCCTTAGGCAGGATCATCATCGGAGTGGCCTTTCCTACGTGAGTGTCTCAAAGATCCAGAGAAGAGTCTCTGACTTTTGAGGAGGATGAATAATCCATGTTGGAGTGGTTCTTTAAACTCTGTCTCCTCTCAAAGGGCAGAGACGGGACGCAACATGACCAAAGTAATTCAGGACTTCCTGTGGGCCCAAAAGGTTCAGGAGCCGGTGGCTCTGTTTTCTGATTGGCTGCTTGTGGGACATGTTGATGAGTTCATGACCTTTGTTCCTGCACCTGACAGAAAGGTAAATAGTCTCTTTAAAAGCCCTTAACTTAAATCCCCAACAGATCTCTCAAAGTGTAAACTTATTTCATCTCATTTGAACCGAAATTCCTCCCAAGTCGACTCGTATAAACTTGAATCTGTGTATCTGTTGGTACACAGGGGTTTCGGCTGCTGCTGGCCAGCCCTGACGCCGGCTACAAACTCTTCAAAAAACTGCAGAATGATGGACACGGACAGGCCAGACTGTTTGAGGGTAAGTCTTTCTTTAAAAGATATTATCTGTGAGAAAAAAACGGTTTTAGTTCAGAATATAACTTATCTTCTTTTGTTTTTCACAAAAGGTGTAAAAGATCAAACAACACTGACGGTGGATGAGATACTTGCCGATAAGGGTCACCAAGCTGAAAATAACTATGTTCAGGTGAGCGGGATTTAAATTTTAGAAATACCCCAAAGGATGTTCGTGCAAACCAGGATTTTAAAATCTAAATTTGAACTAAATTTTGCAGGTTTGTTCCAAATATAGATCTTGTGAACTCCTAGATATAGATTACAGTGTTGGCTCAGAAAAAAACAATATTGGTCGACCTGTTTTTAACGAAGCTTGGGGGATATTCACAAATGTGTAAAATATCTATAGATTAAGTTGTTTGTTAAAGTAAACAGACCTGTTATAACCTGGAGATCTTCATATTAGTTTAGAGTTGATGCACTTACTTTAAAGAGGTATAATGTGCGATGGACTGGCTGTATTCTTGATTACCTTTAGGACATGATGGTTCAGTTGTTCTGTATTTCACAGTGTCTTTGTTTTCTCTGTTTCCTAGAGCTGCATCGACTGGAACAGAGACGTCCTGAAGAGAGAGCTGGGCCTGGAGGACGCAGACATCATCGACCTGCCGATTCTCTTCAAGCTTGTTTGGGATGACAGTCAAAATCTGGGCTTCAAAGCATTGGCCTTCTATCCTGACATGGTATTTTTAGAGATGAAACTCAGGTATTACAGGTGTTATTTTTCATTTTAGGAGGCATTCAAGTGGTTATCATCTGTTTCTAGGTGAACATGGTGGTCTTGGGGAAAAACCTCGCCATCCCAAAGCCGTTTGGCCCCAAAGTGAACGGCTGCTGTGCCCTGGAGACCGAAGTGAGCTCCCTGCTGGAGTGTCTGGGTCTCAGCTGCACGTTTATTGACAATTTCTACTCCTACCACAAAAGGCTGGGAGAGCTGCACTGCGGCTCCAACGTCCGCAGGAAACCATTTGACTTCAAGTGGTGGAACATGGAGATGTGAGGGGAAACCGGAGAGGAGACGGAGATGGGCTCTTCAGATTCTTGATAGAAAACAAAACATGTTCAGTTCTGTTAAAGTTGGAGGGTTATTTTTCTTTTTTTTATCCCTTCTTTACAAAAATATCTCTCAATACTTTTTAGTATATTCCACTTTTATTCTAACAGGGTATGCTTTTTGTTATTCTTGCACTAAAACCATCAACAGTGTGGGTAAAGTTAACCATGGGGTTAGAGGTTTTTGTTTGCATCAACATTTTTGTCAGGTTTGTCTACAACAAGGATAAAAATCAAGACTTGGTAATAAAGGGCTCAGGTACACAGAGATACAATGACTTTAAATGAGCATAAAGAAGATTACAGGCAGAGGAATGGAACCACATGATAATGTGCTATCATCAAACAGAGCCAGCAGAGGGCACACTTTGTCTAGTCAAGCATTTCCAGAGTCCAGAAAATCACTGAGGATAAGATTGTTATTCTCATCCTTTGTATTTCTAAAAAAAGAGTCTTTGTTCCTGTTTTAATCATGTTGTTTTTGTGGAGTCAGTGTTGCTTTGTTTCATTTGTAGCTCAAAAATCTTTGAATTATTCTGTCTGTCTGCTGTTTTTCATTTGGCCTTTAAATCTTTTGCACTTGTACAAGCTGTATATGCAAGTCAAATTTACAACATTTGGACAATGAATCTTCTGTTTGTTTCGGGTCTGTCACTGAAATAAAACATTTGTGTGGATCAGTTTTTTCTTTCTTTTAAAACAAGTGAAATCCTCTCTGCCTTACAGCTGCTCTACAGTCATGTGAACACGTATAAGCAGTGATTTATAGAGTACAAGGAGACTTGTATTAATAATGGAAAAATTTTGACTTCATTCTTGTTACAGAACGACTTTAAACTCAAAATCTCTTTTTTTGGCCCTCATGCCCCTCCCTACCACGGATCAGGATGACAGACACAAAGGTCTTAATATAAATATAATATATTCTGTATTTCATGAAGGTGAGCGTCTGTTTATTTAGCTGTGTGGATGATATTCTCTCCTGGCTTAACCCTTTAATGCCTTTTGTATCATATTTGATACATTATTTTATATACGTCTATCAAATCAATATGATCTACAAATTACTAAAAACACCTGAATACAGACTGATAAATGATAAAAATCTCCTCTCGCACTTTATTGTCATTGCACATGTCACAAGTACAGAGCAATGAAATGCAGTTTGCATCCATCCAGAAGTGCTGAGGAAGTATTAATATATGTACAAATGTACACGGTATGAAAGAATATACACATAAGTATCTAATGTACATCTAATATGTCAAAAGAGACAAATAAACATATTCGTGAAATTTTAAGGACATTTTGATTTTTTTGGTTTTCAGTCGTAAATGAAATACACTTTTCAGCTCCAAAAAATATGAATTTTCTGACCATAATTTGTGGTTTCGGTCATTAAAGGACTACAAAAGGGAAAGATATGTGATAGGACGAAATGGATTTGGGGCGGGGCTTAGTAGCTAGCTGACCAATCAGAGGACATTTGGACCTTCCTCTGTGGGTACCTGCAGTCTGTAATGACTCTGTTGTTCTGCCGTTAGAGCAGAGGAATTACCGTCTGTTCCTGCTGATAACGGAGCAGCTGCTGCAGTAACCGGTCACTTCAGCCTCAGTCTGTCCGCTCACCATGCCTCACAGCCGGACTCTCAGAGTGGACACCGACCGGGTCACCAGCGTCCTGTACGTGGTCGGCTCGGAGCTTAACGTCAACCTGAACAGGTAGACTGTTGACCGACACACACACACACACACACACACACACACACACACACACACACACACACACACACACACACACACACACACACACACACAGAGAGTTAGTGAGAGGACTGTTTTCTGCAGCTTTGTTGGAGATTTCATCTGTTTTAAAAACAGTTTGTCAGTAAATATTTTATTTTTTGATATTTAATTCAATTAAATTCTAATTTCATTGTCCAGCAGCATTCAGCTAACTTGATATACCCTTTGTGTAATGTTATATTATCATGTTATTCTTATAAAGTGACTAAAACAAACCAGACAGTTAGAACTGTCAGCTTAACAGATGAAGTTTATTCCCCGATTCTCTATTTTTAATTTAATGATAATCATAAAGGTTGTTAATAATACAGTATAAACACACCAAATTCATGTCTTTTGTTTAATATGAGGTTTTCAAAGGTTTTCCACTGTGTAGGTCACGAACTGTCTCACACTTGAATCATGAATCACACCTGAATCATTGAGAACCCCTGCCCTGAGTGTAAATATACCTTATCCTGTGAAAAACAGCTTTTTTCCCTACTGTTTACTGACTAAGAACATGAGGCGCAGCAACACACAAAAAATGACAATAAAGACCTTAAACTGTTAAAGCTGAAACTCTATGTTTTTAACAATGGGACCAATTGTTGGACCTCTAAAACTCAGAACCTGGTCTCCTGCCAAAGTGTTGATGGAGTCTGGTTTCCAGAAAAGGTTGGCCCACCCAAAATGAGAGTAAACATGTCTTTGTCTCAACAGTTTTGAAAACCTGTCGCTGGATTAACATCTTTTAATAAACTAATTTTCAGTTACATTAAAGCTGAAATTATTACCAAAACATCAAATTCATCTTCAACAACATTTTACAGTGGTTCCCATCCTTTTTGAATTGGGGTTGCATAACTCAAACAATTGTTCACTACCAAAATTCACTGGTATAGAAAATTGTTCACTTGTATAAAATCAATGAAAGGTTTTTGGAATTGCACCTAAAGTTTAGTTGAGTTATACTGTAAGCAATAACCTTAATCTGTGGATAAGCTGGAGGGTAACAATGTCATAACAACAGTTTTTGAACACTAACTTCATGATTCAGTCAGTCATTGAACTTTTATTTCCAACAACACTGAGTCATATTACAGAAGCAGCTAAAAAGGAGGCAAAGTATTGATAGAAGAAAATACTGACTGATTAAAAGTCTCAGAAATCAGCAAATAGTGAAATTTCTTACTTGAAAGTAATGAAAGTGAAAGTGGATTAAAAACAAGATAAATAAGATAGGGCAAAAATTATATACTAACTGAAGTTTAAGGCTAAAATCAAATGTTGAAAATGTTGAAATAGTAAAAGTGCATTTAGGCCAAAAAGTTGCTGCAACTTTTTCCCAGGAGTCAGAGTTTGAAGTTTGGATTCTGCTGTTTTGTACTTGGTGCCTAATAAACTGGCACTGACTGTGTAAGAACTCTATTGTAAACCCATACGGGGAGCTGGGGGTGGATGTCATTAGTATGCATAAAGTGGCGAGGGCAGACTTCACGCCCTTTGTTTGGTACAGAAGCAACAGTCCTCTTTTGTTTCCGTCCAACTGGAGGCACGTTGTTCTCCCCCCAAAAATCAGGCTGCACCAAATATTCACATTTCAGCAAACTAGGACTTCATAGAAAAAGTTTAACAAGCTTTTTCACGTGGCTTTGGACAACTTAAGGATGGACATTTCAGCATTTCAATCCGTTTTTTAATGATCTCAGGAAATACTGTTTTTTTGGGGGGGATTCACCGTTTCTGATTTTCATTTTGAAATGAAGAAAAAAAACGTTAAACAAATGTGGCCTGAAGTATGCAATTTTACTCCCTTTTTCACGTAAGTTACAAAAAGGGAACATTTTCACCGTAATCTAACCTGCCGAGATACACCGGCCTACACTCACATATAGAACCAGATTATATTAGACCCTCAAGGACTCTGAGGGGATTTAAAGCTGTCCAAAAATAAAGGGTCTGGTATCATTAGAAGTGGAACACATCCCAGTGGACTTGTCATGTAGAGGTAAACAGCTATTCTTGACATCTGTAAATGGAGTGTCTAAATCTGGTGTCATAACACAGCAGCAAAAAAAGCTGACGCCTGGAAAACCTGAGAGCCAGTGGGAGCAGTTGACTCAGGAGTCCTGCGTATGAGCGTATGGGAAAGTTGTTGACTGGGACACATGGCACAAAGTTTCAGATACAGACAGTATTAAAGGGAACGTCCTTAAAACTTACTTCTTCCCAGTCTCTGCTCCTAATCAATAAAAGTGTTGTTTGTTAAACTTTGATGCAGCTGACTTTCTGATATGAAATATCTACGACTGTGTGTCACACACACACACCTGCTTCAGTAATCAGGAGTAACCATGCGTACACATTTCCCGCTCTTGGTCTTTGCAGGAGTGCCCCACCCACCTCCAAGTTCTTCTCGGTGAAATGCACCCCCAAGGTTCAGTACAGCATCAGTCCGATACCTCAGGAGACGTCCCACCTGTCCCCCCTCCCTCTCCATGGAAACCAGCTGCTGCTCATCAGCATGAGTCAGGCCAGTGAACATGAGAATGATTGCAAAGTAAGGATGGAAATACGAGCATGTCTCAGTAAATCTGTGAAAATGTGTTAAATAAGCAGAATGAGGTGAATTCTTCAGAAGAATTTACACAATATAATTCAAACTGAAGTGCAAACATGTCAGAGTTTATCGGAACTTTGATAGAATAGTTACTGGGTGTTGTGCAATGAAATCAATCAGCTCAGTCAAAAATGTAGAACTCCTTAACTACAGACTGGCTCTAAGAGAAAGATTTCACTTGATTTAACTAAAATAACAAGTATATGTGTTTTTAACATGTTTAACAAGTTGTTTTTGTTCATCTCTGTTTTCAGCTCTCTGTCAGGTACTATGGAGAGAATAAACAGATTCTGGGGGTGGCAATCATACACCTGACTGCTGTTGGTAAGTTTATTTGCTTTCAAACGAAACTGATGAATTAAAAAAAATATATAATAATAATAATAATAATAATAATAATAATAATAATAATAATAATAATAATAATAGTGATGATATTTGCTTAAATTTGGAGTTATAACTTTCCTTTTTGCTGACGTGTGTTCAAAGTCATGAGTCATGAACACAAACCAGGCAGTGTTTGGAAATCTAGATGTACACATGAACAGAAATCATGCCTTAGAAATGTAGACAGACACTCGTTTGAAAATGAAGGCTGTGATTTGAACCTTCAAGTGTTATCTTTAGTTCATATTGGCGCCCTGTGATAAATGTTTGTGTCACACAGAGATCTCTCTGGATGTGGACGCCGACAGAGACGGTGAAGTAGAAAGAAACAACCCGAACAAGGTGAGGTCCAGAGTGTCAGTGTGAGACGACCTTTACATGTGCTCGGCTATTTTTATAAACAGATATTTCACCCTCTCTATTTGCAAGAAAAAACAAAAAACTGCGTGCACACCCCTACGTTTTCAGAAAAGTTTGGGTTTACACTTACCCATGTATACATGCCGTCAAGAGCGTGCCAAACTCACGTTAGCCAATCAGAATCAATGATGTGTTCGTCAGCAGAGAAAAATGTGGCCTTTTTGAACGTCGATTTATACCTTCAGACTGATGTCCTCACCTCCATGCCAGCTGCTCTCCCTAATGCTGGCCTTAATTAACCAGAAATGAGAAATTAGAAAGTGGGTTTTAAATTTCGGCGCTGTTGTGTGTGAAAGATAGTTAGAGACGCCAAGACCCGCCTTACGTTGCCTCTGATTGGTTCATACTGCGTGGTGCCTTCTGTGGTTGGTTAGATTTAGGCACAAAGGACTGATGGATCAGTCTGGGATTGGTTATCTCGGTCAGTCAATCAGAAGTTTGTTATTGTAAAAAAAATCAATACAGATTATTGAACGGGGAAAAATAAGCGTGAGAAATGTCAAGTGTGGCGTGTGAGAACAGGTCAAACTGTGTGACTGTCACACTCAAAGCGTGATGCTGGGCGGCTCTGCTCCTAATGTTGTTAAATGTTTTTGTGTTTTGACTCTGGGGTCGGTGTCTTCATTCTTGTGCAGGTTCAGGCGGTCTCATTAACCCTTTCATACTCTGTAAAACTGTTCAGGGCTCCTGGAAATGGGGTCCAGACGGGCACGGAGCCATCCTATTGGTCAACTGTGACTCTGAGCGGAGGTTTTGGAAGAAACCAGACCTTGAGGAGGACTCAGTCTCCAAAGTTTCGGGTTAAGTCAAAGAAGTTAGGCTGATACACCACCCAACGTGAAACCAGCTTCATAAAGAACTAGAGTATCTGATTGATTTTGGTGGATCATATCTTTAAAACTGAGTCTGATCTTTAAGTCGCCCTCACTCTTTGTCCTCACACAGATCTGAAGGACATGTCACTCATGGTGCTGAGGACCAAAGGCCCCCCCACGCTCCCTCAGGGCTACAAGCTCACCATGCACATCTCTCAGAGCGACGCAGAGAGTGTCCGAGTCTTCAGGTCCAGTTCTCTGAAGGCTCCAAACAGCGTGTGTGAGTACAGACGGATGAAGACGGTCTCAGGGGAGATGATAATACATTCAACTCTCATTTTCTGCTGCTCCTCCTCCTCCAGTGGGGAATCTCCTGTACAGCCTCTTCGTTAAGAGCTTTCCTCTGGTTCTGAGCGGGGAGGTTTTATCCCAGGAGGTCCCTTACTCTGGAGGAGATGCAGAGCTGAACTTTTACGTGGAGGGCCTCAGGTTTCCCGACAAAGACTTTGATGGATTTGTCAGCATCAGCCTCAGTCTGTTGGAGCCCATAGCTGAGGTAAGATCAGCGTTGGTGATGTCCTATAAGGAATCAGTCTTATCCTCTGAACCCTCACATTCACTCAGCAGACAGTTTTTCTTTCTGACATCTCACCTGAGTCGGCACAGATGTTTACTTCTAACGGTTTTTTCGTGTTGTTGTGTTGTTGACACTTTTTGTCCATTTCTTTGTGTTTGTCTGTTTCATTTCTTCACAAAGAGGGTGTGTAGCTGTCAGTACTTCAGTGTCCTTCTTGTGTCCACAGAGTGTTCCTGATACTCCTATTTTCACCGACAGAGTCGTGTTCAGAGTGGCTCCATGGATCATGACTCCCAACACCCTCCAGCCCATGGAGGTGTTTATCTGCAGGTGAGAGCAGCACACTGAGGACGAGTACAACAGCTGAGAGGGGACAGACATGTCCACAGAATGATGGTTTAAAGTCTCAATACTTCACTTCCCTGTTTAAAGCTCAAAATGATGAATCATGATTGCAGTAACATCTGACTTCCTCCTTTGAAACTTCTCAGACTTTTTCTTTGTTAATGAAAATGAACCGGAGTTCTCTGAAACGGCTCCTGTTTGTGTTTCTCTCCAGGACGGAGGATAACTACACGCTGCTGAAGGAGATGAAAGACATGGCTGTGAAGAGCGGCTGTCAGCTGAAGGTTTGCCCTCAGTTCGTGAACAGAGGAGATCGATGGATGCAAGTGAGAAACCTGACGTGTTCATTCATTTTTAGACACCTGTAATCTGACGTTTCCCTCTTCTTCATCGCGTTACCGAGTCTGAGGTGTCGGATTTTTATGACCTTATCTGAACTGTGAAGAGAAGTGAGAGAGACGGACTCAGAGAGCTCCTGTGTCAAGGTCATTGGGGTCATTCACAGCATCCTTTGTACGAGTCCAGTCATGACTGATCTGATAATTTAGAGTACAGTAACAGTAACAGTAAAAGTGGTTCATCGTTCTGAATGACCACATGATGAAACAAAACAGGAAATGAGACGAGTGAAATCTTCACAGAAGAAGGAAGGAACTGCTTCTCTGGAAGTGGGCTAATCAGTAGAGATGACAGAGTTCACGTCGAGAAGATAAGATAAGATCGTCCTGTATTAGTCTCACAGGGGGAAGTTTTAAATGACAGCAGCAAAAAAATACAAAAGAGAAATTCAAGAATAAAGAAACGTAGAGTTTAAAAAAAGAATGAAAGGAAAAATAATTCAAATAAAATCTCATTTAAAAAATACACTTTAGAAATAAAACTCATACTTGTGTGTTTTCAGGATGAGCTGGAGTTTGGTTACGTGGACTCCCCTCATCAGCAGTTTCCTGTTGTTCTGGATTCGCCTCGAAACGGACCTCTGAAGGACTTTCCTTATAATCAGCTGCTGGTGAGAGACCTAAACCCTCATCCTGGACCTGTTGAAGGACTCACACTCCAATCTGACCAGAGTCTTGATTTCCAGGACTCCTGATCTGAGTTCATCTTCAGCCCTAAAGTCTCTGACTTGTTCTCAGACTCAGAAGATGCAGACTTCTTGTTTTCGCTGTTATTTAAATATGAAGTTTGATAAGCTCAAAGTTAAAGAGACACCTGACAACAACACGTGTCTCTTCAGTGTTTCCTCACTCAAACCTGACGCCATGTTTTTGTATTTTGTCCCATAACCGCTCTCACGTCCTCAGGGCCCTGACTTCGGCTACGTTACAAGACCAGCCCACAGAGAAGAAGTGACCAGTCTGGACTCTTTCGGGAACCTGGAGGTCAGTCCTCCGGTCACCGTGAATGGAAAGCACTATCCCTTAGGCAGGATCATCATCGGAGTGGCCTTTCCTACGTGAGTGTCTCAAAGATCCAGAGAAGAGTCTCAGACTTTTGAGGAGGATGAATAATCCATGTTGGAGCGGCTCTTTAAACTCTGTCTCTTCTCAAAGGGCAGAGACGGGACGCAACATGACCAAAGTAGTTCAGGACTTCCTGTGGGCCCAAAAGGTTCAGGAGCCGGTGGCTCTGTTTTCTGATTGGCTGTTTGTGGGACATGTTGATGAGTTCATGACCTTTGTTCCTGCACCTGACAGAAAGGTAAATAGTCTCTTTAACCGCCAACAAAGAAATTAAAATCTAAAAGAAGTGGTTTCAGTTGATTTATGGCAGATGTGACACGTGCACTTTTTTAATGAATAGATTTAAATGCAGCCCAGAGCGTCTGCACGGCAGTGTTAACTCTTTACACAGGCTTGGTGGGTTAGATGATGCATCTCACCACCAAAGTTTGTGAGGGTAGGGGTCTGTCCTGCCCTGTGAAAAGTTAATAAACAGAAGTTAAACCTATATTTACCTGAAAACAGACGACAAAGACGACAAATTGAGTGTTGAAACGGAAAAAAATTGGCTCATTTGCTTTTGGTAAAGTAGGAACAGATTCAGAGATATCTCTTCAAATAAAGCCTGCCTCTTATACAGGCCTGTGTCATATAAAGGCCTGGTACCCTCAGCTTTGAAAACAAATACAAGTCCCTGTTTACATCTGAGGATGAAGCCACATGAACTCAAACTGTACTTCTGTTCTCAGGGGTTTCGGCTGCTGCTCGCTAGCCCTGATGCCGCCTACAAACTCTTCAGGAACTTACAGAATGACGGACACGGACAGGCCACACTGTTGGAGGGTAGGGGTCCGTCCTGCTCTGTGAGATCTTAATAAACTGAAGTTAAACTTATATTTACCTGAAAATAGACAACAAAGACGACAAGTGAAGTGTGGAGACGGAAAAGTCTCTGTGTTTGATGAAAACCTGATGATTCGCTCAACTTGAACATGTTTGATTTGGGGGTTAAATCTAGATTTACATTTCTATCTCTCTTTGACTTCAATAAGGTCGGCGAGAGGGCGAACCACTGACAGTGGATCAGATACTTGCTGATGAGACTTTGCAAAATGGGAACATGTACGTGCAGGTGAGTGGGATTCAAGTGTTAGACCGAGCCGAGTGAATACACACTATCAATGTTATCGAATGAACGTGTTTGAGTCCCAGATCGTTGTAATTTAATTCATTAAAGGGAAACAGAGAAGAATGTGACACCAGTCTCAGCCAATCAGAACGCTTTGAAGAAGGGATGATGGAGAGTAAACTGGTGGTTATGCTAATTAGAATACTGACAGGGTGAGCAGGACTCTGAAACAACAGGGACCATAACAACCCGCTCACTTTACATGTCTCACCTGTTACCTGGTATAAACAAGTTGGCATGAAATGTTGATTGAAAGAGGATTTGATTGGTTTAAAAATTAATGTCCTGGTTTATGATCTGAGCTTCAGTTAAAAAAAAACTGAGCCGTTGAGGCAGATTTGAAAAAAGCAGCGAGGTGATTGGATGGAGAGGTGGCACAGGAAGTTGACAAATAGGAGCTGTCCAGGATGGATGGCTCCTATTGGTCAATGTTTTTGCAGCCCTGCTCCTGATAGGATGAACAGATTTTTTTCTGTTCTTTTTTCTCTTCACTTTGTGGAGATCGCACTACAGGACCATGGTCGCCATAGAAACGAGGTTCATAATAATTACTAATCTCTACAATCCTCAACCATGCCTTTAAAACTGACCTTTAAAAAAAACTCAGATGTCTTCCTTCATCAAGAGAGGACAGAAATGTGGAGAGAGAGAGAGAGAGAGAGAAAGAGAGAGAGAGAGAGAGAGAGAGAGGGAGAGGCAGAGACCAGGCCCTGCAGAGATCGGGGTTTGCTCCTTCATAAAACTCCTGCAGGATTATTTTCGTAGACGTTTTCTCAGCTCTCCTTCTCTGAGTTTTGCAGATCTTTGTCGTATCTCCGGCAGGCCGTCTTCTTCTGCACAGACCACAGAAGGTGCTGCTTTGTTGTCCTGCTGGTGTGATGGACAGTGTCTGCCATGTTTTTGTTTCCCAGAGCTGCATCGACTGGAACAGAGACGTCCTGAAGAGAGAGCTGGGCCTGGAGGAGGCAGACATCATCGACCTGCCGATTCTCTTCCAGGTCCATTGGTCAGGACCGGAGGAGCCGCACAGAGCTTCAGCTTTCTACCCTGACATGGTATTTCCAGAGATGGAACAGAGATGTGATCATGTTAGCTCTCATTCTTGGTCTCATGTTTGTTATCATCTGTTTCTAGGTGAACATGGTGGTCTTGGGGAAAAACCTCGCCATCCCAAAGCCGTATGGCCCCAAAGTGAACGGCCGCTGTGCCCTGGAGACCGAAGTGAGCTCCCTGCTGGAGGGTCTGGGTCTCAGCTGCACCTTCATCGATGACTTCGCCTCCTACCATGAAATGCTGGGAGAGCTGCACTGCGGCTCCAACGTCCTCAGGAAACCGTTTGACTTCAAGTGGTGGAACATGGAGATGTGAGGGGAACTGGAGAGGGGACAGAGATGGTTTCTGAAGATACTTGATAGAAAATAAAACATGTTCAGTCTGTTAAAGTTAGAAAAGCTTTTTTTGGATCATGTTTATCGATGGTTTCCTTTTCGCTTGTTTCTGTTTCAGCCTGTGACGAGTGTTTAATGAAAATCGCTTTAACACGTGATTATAAGTCCATGCGGTGATTTCCACTTCAGAGTCATGTCTGTTTTTGATGTGGTGCCTCCTGAAGGCCTGAGAATCACAGCCATCCAGTATCCAGGATGTACTTTAGTGCAGATTCTTCTCCAGCACATTTCTTTTTAATATTGTTTGCTGTAAACTGATGAAATCCAACATTTGATCTGTTTCATTGCAGTTTTATTTTCATTAAATATCGGCTCTAAACAAGCTGTGAAATCATCAAATTCTGCTTTTTCAAACTTTTATTACACTGTCCTCCTGCTGTTGTGTTTCTGGGCTCCTTTATATCCAAACTGATTAATCCAGGTGTGTCAGATTAGTCACAGTGATCAGTCACACCTGGATTAATCAGTTTGGACCTTTACTTCTTTTATTAGTCTTGTACTGACGAAAGGATTTACCTGAGGTCCGACTTTCTTTTTTTGCATCTTCATCTTTATTAACATTTTTGTCAGCTTTATTTACAAAAAGGATGAAAAGCCATATTTACAAACAGATCTTCTGAACAAGGGCGAAAGTCGACAGAAATACAATCACTGAAATCGAGCACAGACACGATCTTTGTGGTTGGAAACCAACTGTTGTGCAAGCACAGTTAGAAGAATGGTACCACATGAGAATGTGCTATAACCAAAGAGAGCCAGAAGAGGGCACACTTCATCTACTCAAACATTTCCAAAGTCCAGAGGAGAATCATCTGAAACAAGATCACTATTCTGTAAAAGGCTCAAATGCTGTATCACAACACAAAGATCTCTGAACCAGTTTTCTGTGGTCAAAAGCAGAAAGTCGTTTTGTTCCATCCAAGCTCTAAATGCTCGAAGAATACAGATGTCTGTATTTGCCTGTGATCCAGTGTTTTGGAGCCGTTTGCACGTGTACAAACTGTAAATGTGACGTAAATACACGTCGTTTGGAGAATGAATCTCATGTTTGCTTCAGTTTTTTTCTTCGTTACAAACTGAAGACAGAAGAAAAAAAGCCTCTCTGCTCAGGAGACGTGAGCTGACTCAGAGTCACGTGAACCGTGGTCAGAGGTCCTCACAGTATCACCATTCATGGGAGCAGATATGTACAGGTAAATACATACCTGCCTTGTTTTACATTCAAGCAACACAGTGCCTTTAAATACGACTCTCTCCAAAACAGCTCCCGAGACACAATCATTAGAAAGGCAACTTCAAGACGAATCACAGTGTAATTCTTTCTCAGCAACAAATCAGGAATCCCAAAAGGTCAGCAGTTTGAAATCGTCCTGAAAATGTAGTGCTTCTTCACGTACATACGAATATTATTACACATTAGAAATAAAGTAGAAACGGTGGCATTTGGCTCTCTTATCAGCGATGTGCACTCGCTGCATCTGGAGACGTTGGCTGGTTTTCAGTAAATCACAAGTTACAGAGACAACACCTCCAAGTCAAGCATGGCACCAGTTTACAGAGGAGAGGTTTTTTGGCAAGCAGATTTACACCATGCACAGTACCGCCGTAGAGAAACACACACACACACATACACACACACACACACACACACACCAAACACAACGAGTGGTGTGTGAGCGAGGAGAGAGAGTTCAAGAGACCACGCTTGTAACAGCAGGACCTAAAAGGAGAGGATGGGGACCAAAGTGTCATTCTTCTGGTGGCCAGTAGGGGGAGACTCCACTGACTGCAGATCAGGAAAAGACTCCACTTTACGATAATTTACCTCAATAAACATTTTCTGATTATTTTTCTGGTTTCCAGTTTTTAGTAAACTTTAATCAAAAGTCCTGTGAGTTTAAGTTCAGGACTACCTCTGATTAAGAAAGTGTTACCATGGTGACCGGTCCGTGTATTATCCGTCCATTCAATTATTCCATACAATCTAGTAAACAAAAAAAATAAAAAATTAGTCAATAGTTTGTTTATTTGTTTTTCTGTATCACCAAAAAATAAAAAAAAATTAGTGTTTGTTTTCATATTTTCAGCTCAAAACAGAATTTATAATAGAGAAGGAAACAAAAATGAAATAATAAATAATTATTTACAATTATTAATTTTGAGTGCGTCTGTTTTGAGCATACGTGAATGGAGGTTACATTGGCCTTTCCATGATCCTCAGCTACAGTTACCACGGCGATAGATGCGACAGAGCGGTTCGAGCGCCAAAATCTTCGTTTACTAGATTAAATAGAATAATTGAACGGACGGATAATACACGGACCCTGACCTTTTAACCACAAACAACACGTTCATCCATCTCTTGTTGAAATAAATTCAATTCTAGCCCCAAAAAATCCAAGATAACGCTAAAACCACAGAATTCCAAGATTCACTGCAGCCGTTTGGACCTGCGTCAGAAACTCAAATATTGGATGTTTTCAAAGTGAGGCGTCAATATTTAACGCTGAGAAATTTCAAACTGCCGTCAGCAAATGAAATAAAAACAAACGTAAAAGCCGATTGAGCTCACTCTGCTCTAAAAACCATCACATTTAAAGAACTCTTCCTGTCACGTGATGTCGGCTCTGAACATCGAACAGAACATTACAGAACATTATCGCAATTCTGAATCTCCGAACCCTTACCCGACAGACGATGTTTTACAACCATAAAGAATAACCAATCAGAGCCCAACACTTCTAGCCAATCGGAGGCAAAGGAGGGCGGGACCTTCCCCTACAATCTAACAGGAAAAAATATCGCGTCCTAGCTGACCGAGAGCAAACTGTTAGCTTGCTAAAATCAGAGAAAGTTAGCTAAGATAAAGGTTAGCCAGCCGAGATTAGCGTAATATAGCTAACATTAGACATAGCCAGCTACAGTTAGCGTAGAGAAGCTAACATTAGACATAGCCAGCTGAGATAATGGCTAGCCAGCTGAAATTAGCGTAATGTAGCTAACACTAGATTTAGCCAGCTACAGTTAGCAAAAGGAAGCTAACATTAGACTTATCCAGCTGAAATTAGTGTAATGTAGCTAACATTAGACGTAGCCAGCTACAGTTAGCGTAGGGAAGCTAAGATTAGACATAGCCAGCAAAGATGAAGGTTAGCTGACTGATATTAGCGTAATGTAGCAAACATTAAACTGATATTATAGTACAGTAGCTAAAGTTAGATGATGGTAAGTCTTCTCTCTCACTAACTCCACAGCATTGATCGTCCACCGTTGTTATAGTCTGTCTTTTTTTCTCACAGGTTCAGTCAGATACAAGTCTTCACCCACCAAGGATCGAGGACTAACAGCTTCACAGAAGTTTAAACCCAGTTTAAATATTACAAATCAATCAAAATGCCACAAAGCAGGACAAATATCGAGCGCAGATTATTTAGAAATAGAAGAAAAACAGACCACCAACAAGACACAAAGTGGCTGAACAGACACACACACAGCTTAGGACGATGACGACGACGATCAAAGTTGAGCTCATATCACGGCGGGATGTGAGGATGACATTTAAAAAAGACTTTTCCTCTGACACCATACTCTCTCTCTCTCTCTCTCTCTCTCTCTCTTCTCTGGTCCTCTGAGCAAACACCGCCTGTTTGATCGTTCCTGACTCCTCCTGCCCAGAGTTTAACCCCCCTGTTCGAACTCTGATCTCTGACAGAAGACACACACCATCTCAGTGTTTACATGAAGTCTCAGGTTTTAGATGAGCGGCCTGATGAATGAGCAGGCAGCCCGACTTCTTCTCAGCCAGATGATGATGGACGGGCATGGAGGTCTGGTTTCTCTGCTTTGAGAATTCAACAAGGGTCCCACATGGAGCTGGGCTGAGGGGATAGGTAGGTAGATGTCTTTCTGAGCATGACGAACATACAGAGAAAGATCTGCTGATCTGGCCTCCAAACAACCCTGCTCCTCCTCTCCATCAGCGGTGAAGATCACCGGCCCTTCGCTTGCTTTTGGTTCAAAGACGCCTCTTATGGGGATGCTGAGGAGAGACAGCAGAGAGACGCAGACGGACACAGAGGAAGAGGAGGTTAAACAAACATGGAGGAAGACTCTGCTCAGTTAAAGGTGGTGTAGTCAGGATCTGAGTTAGTTAGTTAGTTAGTTTAGGAGAAATCTTGAATGTAAACTCTACCCCTCCCAACCAGTTTTCCCCTCAGCTCCTCCTCTCCCCTCAAGCCCCGCCCACAAACAGACGCTCCTGCTCGCTCGTATCGTTCCAATTAAATTCTGATATAATGCAGATAAATCCTTCAGATCATTACAAATGGGGCCCAGTCAAGGTGAAAGTCAAAAGCATTGGTGCTACTGTAGATGCCAACAGACTACCAGCAAACACAATGTTTGCAGGACTTCTACAACGAGGATAAAGTGACATAGTCCAGGACCCGAGGGAGGACAGTTTAGCGATGGCGCTACAACACGCTACAGCAGGTCCGTTTGACAAGAAACACTTCTGTTACAGACACTTGTCTTACTTTGTTAAAGCGGTTTACCTGTCCAGCAGAAAGGTTACAGGGTCACCAAGATCCCCAAGCGTCCCCCATCGTTTATGTTGACCCGGCTTTTTAGCTCTTGTCCGGTCTACCTCCGTTTTAAGCGCCCGTTATTCCTCCAGAGTCTCCGGTATTTACTTTGTTTTCTCGCTTGTGTCGGCAGTCGTGGCCAAAGGAGGATTCAGACAATTTTCCGAACTTTCTGGTTGGTTTCTACTGTCCGATATTGTAGCACGCTAACTTTGTTTGGGCTCCTGAATGACACGGGGGAGCAGCGTCTGCCTCACAACCAATCAGGTTAGAGGAGGTGGAGAACGGCTTTGTTTACAGTCAGAAAGAGCGGACCGCTCAAAAATGTTCAAATGTTGACGACACAGACATAAGAGAACACAGAGATATCGATATATTACCAAATATAATCAATAACTAATAACTATTGACTGATATTAACAGATTTTTTTTATATACACCACCAAAAAACAGCTTCTTTGACAGAATTCTGTCTATACCACCTTAAAGGATGTTAAATCATGTCTCACCTGAGGATGGACTTCATCGGTGGAGAGTAGCTAACAGTTCTGCAAACAAACAAACAAAGAGAGACGATGAGATCGAACGTGAAAAAGCTGCACAGACTCTGAAACTTGACGACCTGCTGTTATTATTTCTAAGAAGAAAACTTCTGAGCGCACTTTCAAACTTTCTTACATCTATCATCTGATTACAACATCATTAGTTAACAGCAGTCTTCATCATCTATGTTATCTAAATCTACGTCTCTTGGATCTCAACACACACCAGTTTTATCCGTCCATCCCTCTCTTCACATTAGACCGTAATTCCTCGACCACTTTTAGAAAAATTAACGTTTAATTTCATTTTTCATTTCATCCTAAATTTAATGATCCTCAAAAGATTAATCCTGTAACTTTCACAGTGACTTTCTTTTGAGTAAACGCCATTAAGACCGCCGTTCAGATGTGATTTACTAACCGTGTTTTCAGCCTGGGAACAAAACGATGACTAATGTTCTTATAGTTCGTTTATCAATAAGTGAAAGTCATTATTATTGATGTTAACACACGGCCCACCGTGACTGTGAGTGAAAATACAACAAAGAGTGAAAAACTGGAGGTAGACCGCTCATTTTTCACAGGACAGAGTTTTTTTAAACTCAGATAGCCCCTCGCCAAAGACTGACCCCCTGTGTCTTAAAGTCCAGGATGATAAAATGACCTTTTTTTCACCAAACTGTTCGTTTCAAGCACAAAAACTCAAGATCTGGACTATGACTCAGAGTTTAAGACTCAGGGTCATGGTCTGGAGGTCATGGACCGGCTCAGGTGGGTTTTTTACGCTGTTAGCCAGGAGGCTAATGGTCCACCTCAGTCAGTCTGTTTCCATGACGCTTGAGAAAACCGAATTATCGCCTTACTCCGATTAAGACCGGACAGCTGAAGGTCATGTAAACACCTTAGTCTGACTATAATCGGAGAACTCCGATTAAGACACCCAGATAATGAGATTGGAATTCGATTTTCTCTACCATGTAACCAGTGTAGTCGGAGTATGATCGGACAATGCGTGTGTGTGTGGGCCACGCCCCCGTAACAAAAACTAGAGGTAGAGTAGAGGAGTAGCGTTGGTCTCATCTTTAGAAAAAGTAGCGCGTCCATCATGTCGGACAAAAACAACGCTGTACGATGCTCCATTGACGGTTGGATGGGGTCAGAAACAGCGCCGCTGAAAAGACCCATATCGCCCCCTAGTGTTGGGGAGGAGGACACGTTCACGTCAATAATTCAGTTTTCTCAGCTGCATGTAAACGAGGACGAGGAGAGAAGTCTGATTCAGAGAGAAAGACGAATTATGAGTTTAGTCTGATTAAACTGAGACTGTAAACGACCTGAGTGAGTCTTTATAGACTGACCAAAAGTTTGTATGACTTCTAAAATGTACGATTTCCCATGATGCTCCAGTGAACAGACAAAGTCTCACTGAAGGACGTGGAGACGTTCGAGTCGATGAGCTGAAGTCGTCGCTCAAAGTGAACGGAGGACTCGGGGTAACAGACTCTAAACTTCAGGATAACCTCTAAACAGGAAGTGATGTCAGCCCAGTTAATCACTTACAGGATTAACTAGAGGGAGCGTTTGTCCCCGTGACCTCCTAACACGTGGAGGTGTCACCTGATGATTGATAGCACGCCGTTTGCCTCACCGATGAGAACTTGTGCTCCTGCGGGGGGCGCTCCGTCTTGGCCTGGCCGTCTGTCCCCTTTGGCTCCGATGTCTTCGCCGCGTCACTTTGCTGCTGCTGCTGCTGCTGCTGCTGCTGCTGATGATGATGATGAGGAGGAGGAGGAGGAGGAGCTGTGAAGGAGGTGACAGATGTGAGGCTGTCATGGCGAATAAACTCAAACATATAATGCTGCCAGCTGTTCTTGCCAAAAGAAGGATAAGCATGCAGAAGATTAATGTTCGGGAGTGAGTCATTATGAGAAAAACACTGAATTTGTGGAGAAACAGAAGTTGTGTGGGAATCACAGATAAGTTTTTCTCGGCATCGTAAACTTGATTTATTTAACCCTTTAAAAAAATGTTTGAAGAAGTTTCTGAAAACTTTCACATCTTATTTAAGGCCTGAAATAAAACCAGTCTATGTTCATGTTTTCACACACTCATAGACCCGAACATGTTCAAACTTGAGGGTGTTATTTTTACATCTCTCTCCTCTGGACTTCCCCCAGAAACTACAGAAATGTGAAACCGTCGACCTTTAGTGTCTCACACCTTTAGGCGATCGGTAATATGAACCTTTTGTTTTCTTGGAAACTCACCTGGAAAATGTTCCTGGTTTGTGTTGTCCTCCGACGCAGAGCTGTACACAAAAGAGTCTTTCTTGATGGGAGTAACACAAGACACGCTCTCCTGTGGGAAGAAGAAGAAGAAGAAAAGACGTTCGGTGTATCATGAAGCCAACATCTCCACAGCAGATCTATTTACATTTTTCCTCTTTAAGATGCAGAGTGGTAAAAGTAAAAGAAGTGGATAAACACATTAATATGTATGACTTTTCTCTACATTTTCAGACCTGTCATTTCTAAGATGCGGCGCAATCCATCAAACGTTCACACATCCTCTGTTGGGATTGTTCAGGTCACACAAAACCACGAGTGGATTTCCACAGATGACGTGTTCATGGAATCAGCTGTGAGAAGCCGTCGGTTTGCTTTTGTTTTGAGGTCTGCACCTTTATTTTGTGTTATCGTTCCACTTGTATGAAAAGGAAATGTTTGTGTTGATATACAGCAGGAGCTCAAACGACAGGAGCTGCTGTCGCACAAACAAAAGCGACGATGTGGGACCTCATCTGAACTTGAAATCTCCGTGCAGAGCTTCAGTCAGGGACACTGAGATGAATTCAGGTCAATTTAAGAGCAACAGGGTTAACGCCACGCCACAGAAACCTGGTCTAAGTCTGGGCGAGATCCTGAGAGAACGCAGCAGGAAAGATTCCCAACAAGAAGCCGCTGTAGGAGTGAGGGCAGACGGCGCTCATGTCGATCAAACGCTGATGTTCTGTCTCGGAAACAGAGATAACTTTAGAGTAAGGACCCGGAAAGTCCTCAGGCTGCGTGGATCTACGTCTGGACAGAAAGGTCTGGTGAATTTCAGGGTCAGAGCTCCTGGAGTTTGTGAAGGTTGATTTTGGGGGTTTGATAAAACATGAGGTGTGATTTTTTTTTTTGTCCAACTGTGTTTTTATTTGAGGTTTCCTTTGAGAGTTTGGATTGTGCTTCAGTGAGAAAACATTTGGTGCAGAGAAGAAAATGTTCAGCTCTGCTAAAATAAAGTCCCTTCATTTTGAAACTAAACGGTATTTAAAGACGTATTTTGACATCTCGACCTGGACTTTTGGTGTCTTATAAAGTCATGAAGGTTGTGAAGTTTATATGAATCTGTAAAAATAAAGAATCAGTCAGCGTTTGCTCGTGTTCACCCACCAGTCCGGTCTCGTACTCCTCCTCCCCTTCGTTCTCCTCCACCACGCTGGCGAAGCTGCTGGCGTTGGAGGATGAGCGGGAAAGGTCCTGAGCCTCGGGGATGGACGGCGCCCTGCAACACATGGCCATACTACACACCTGGGTCACTCTGACCCACAATTGGTCTTATAATATAATAAAGTTCAATATTTCACTTTGATTACCAGGATCCTTATAAATCATTTTCTGATCAAAGTAAAAATCATCGTTTTCTCTGCAGTCATCTCCATCTCTCACGTCTCTGTTCACTTTGTTTGCCTCACGCCGTTTTTAATCTGTATTTAGATAAATTTGCTCTGACCCTCCATCTCCATAAATAACTCGTCACTGGTCTGAATAGAGCGCAGGTGTAAAATGTATTAGAATAACGCTCACCTGTTCTTGGTTGCGGCGAACTCTGGAGAGCTGTGATTGGACGAGTTATCGGATCTGTTCTCCTGTGAAAAGAAGGAGCTGTCCGGCGTCCTCTGGGTGCTCGGTGACACCTCACGACTTCAGGGCGGAGAGAAAAATAAAAATTTAAAGATGGTTAAAAAAAAAAAAAGTTCAATACTGAGTTAACATCAGGTGAAACACTGCTGTTTATCTGTTAGTGACATTTTCTCATTATTACAGTGACGCCGCTGCATCTCTAATCTGACCTGAACTTAAATCCCAGAATAGAGACATAATTATATATTTCAGACTTTTACCTCCTGAAACAGAAACTGAATGACTCTCATCTTTTACAGACGTCTGTTTTTCCACAGCAGAAAGCTCAGCCCTCTCCCTGTCTGTCTGTCTGTCTGTCTGTCTGTCTGTCTGTCTGTCTGCTCTGGTGTATTTAAAGTTAAGTGAGATTGTTTTGCAGCCGCCTGTTGTAATTTGCATGTGATTTAATCAGGGAACAGAGGAGGCCAGAGCTAAATGCCACTGCATGCTGGTGCACATTTAATCAGGGTCTGTGCATTTATCAACATACGTGTCCTGCTGTCCTCCAGAGGCTGCAGAGATTTAATTACCCGCAGAAAAAGACTTTAGTGGCGATTACAGCAGCTGCAGACGGCAGATACTTTATCAGTTACTCCTATTATAGACCCGAACATGAAATACATCGCTTTTGAAAACAGAGGGTCTTTTTTTAACATTAAAGGAACAGTGAGGAGTTTTTTTTTTTAGAGCTGACACCTCTTAATGACCTTCAGAAACAAACAGGACTGTCAGAAACATGAGTGATGATTTCTCTGAGGTTATTTATAAAACCTGAAACAGCTGTGAGGACGGAGGTGTCAGACCACATGATTGACAGCAGGAAACATTCATTTTAATTTACTCTTTTTTTCATGATACCCGCTCACGGTTCGTTTCTGACTGCAGATGCTACAGTGAGATATTACAGTAACCACTTTGTCCACAGGGGGCGCCAGAGTCAACACAGAATCAAACTTCCTCACAGGAGCTTTAAATGATGTTAAAAGTGAGATCTTCTAAATCTGGACTTTTGTCTCATGTTCTCTCTTTGCTGCTTTCTCCTCTTTGTACCTGTATTGATCTTTAATCATTGATTAATTATTCTTTTGCTTAGACGTGTTAATGTTGTAAATCCACAGGTGTTCTATCTCATAGATATCTATTAGAAAAGTTACTCCAGTATTCCATTCTGGTCCGCTCTATGGTAGCTGACGGGAGGTGAGTAATCTACGTGATCAAAAATACTCTGAACTCGCTGAAATCTTGACAGATTTACAAATAATTTAAAAAACAGATTTACAGATTTGTGCACGCAAGGGCTAAATCTGAGTCGCCAAGACTGAGGCCACAATCCAGATTTAATTTCTTGAATTACAGACTATTTTTTATTTTTAGTCTAAGTGTCAGTCTTTGTGGATGTGTTCGTGTTTATCAGCTGTCTAACTTGGCTAACAGTGAGTGAGACCAAGTACATATTACAAAGTTGACCTTCAGTCTTCATTGGCTAACAGCGTGCGTGAGCCATCGAGTGATAATCTATATATCTTTGTTCCTTCTTATCTAAACTCCTCCTCCATGTTAAAGTTTTATTTTGACACCAGCTGGGATGTCTTCATTCATAAACCGTTCTGCAGACAGTGAAGTCTTTTTCTGTCTCTTTTTCACATATTTGCCTCCGGCCCTCTGTCCTCTTTTGTAGTAAAAATCAGCAGCCTGGCAGCAGATTATTGATCGTATCAAATCTGTTCGGACATTAAAATCTGCACATATGAATGTTAGTGTTGACAAAAAGAAGCGTTTCAGAACAAGGGCTTCTTCTCATGGCTGATGTCCATGTTTTAATGTCCCAGCCTCCATCTGTTGCAACACTATTCCCTCTTCACTTCCCACTCCCTGCTGATGGGCTCCGCTCGCTCCTCTCACCTCCTCTCTTGGACCTCCTGGATGTTCTCGATGCCAATGGCGCTGCTGCGGCGCGAGCTGAACGGTCCGGACTTTTTCCTGGTCGGGCTTTTCCCGGGAATGATCAACGACTAACAACGAGCAGAGAGAGGAAAGTCAGAGACGCAGCAGAGACTGGAGATGGTTTCATAAGAGCAGCAGCAGGAATTATGGGCAGGAGAATGAAGTGATGGTGAATTATGTGAATGAGACAGTTTTACTAATCCTCCACACCAGGGGCTTCAAGTTTTAAATCATGAATTTTCATTTTTCAACATATTTTAATTTCTCTATACGCTTTTATTTTGAAAGGACAAAGTCGAGCTGATCTTTTTCCATGTTTGGTGCACAGCCCTCATTATGATTCATAAATAAGAACATAGGTGGGAGTGTGTTTGTAACTTCCTTTTCTAACAGTGTTGGTGAACACATTTTAAAGTGAAATGAGGGGAAATTAATGCAAAAGGCTCTTAGTTTGAAATATAACAAAAAACACGAATTAAAAATAAAAACTAATCAAATTGAAAATATTTAGGACTGTCAAACTATCTTACTTTTACAAACCAGGATCAACCAGATTGGTCCTCCTGAAAGAGCGCTGACTTCCAAAATAAGACACTGGTGAGAACTGCTTTACATGATCAATAAGAGAAAAACATCAGAATAAAGATGTGATTATTCGCAACTGATCTCTAAATATCAATAATTAATCCCAGTTAATCACACCTTTGATCAGATGTTTCCAATGAGATTAATACACAGCTTCACATCCTCGTCTATGATTGTTTCAAATGTTATGGCGCCAATCACTAATCAATAAAATCATGATTACTGTGTTCAATTCCATTACTCTTAGTTTTTGTTTTCTTATTTTAAGCTTTGACATTCTTTAAGACAGAAGAGTTTCCACCTGCAGTCACACAGTCAGACATATTTCTGTCAGGTCTGGGTCGACCCAGGAGTCTACAGACAGAGACAGTGAAACCGCCTACTAGAGCTTTAACAGGAGCCTGATTTAACTGTGCATGTAAATATAAACAAATGTAAATAATAAAAATAATAATAATAATATTAATGATTATAAATGATCATTTTTATTTATAAATTTAACTGAATGTAAATTCTCACCAGGTTTTAATTTGGGAATGAAGTTGATGCACTTTTCAGGAGGAACTGTTTTGATGCTTTATCTGTTTCCTGCAGGTCAAACTGTGTTTCCTGCTAAGATAAAGTAAACCTGTGACTTCTCTAATTTTGACTGACCTGTTTGTCTAACCCTCTTTGATTAAACTTCATCTACTTCGTCTTGAGTCATTCACACCATCACCAGTACTGCTTTGCCAACTCTAACACCTTTTCTGATTGGTGGTTTCTCGCTGACATCGGTCTGATTATCTGCTCCTGTACGCTCAGCTCATATCACTAAATCAGATTTCTTTAAAATTGTCAACTGAACTATCTTTTTTTTGATGTTACAGACTGCAGATCAAACATGCTAGGAGACACTTTTCTCATGAAGCAGGACGACACTGCAGTAGCTACACTACGGTGAGCCAAAAGGGACAATTAAAAGAAAAAACTTAAGACTTAAGTTTGACTAAGATGAACAGTTTGACACTGACAGCCCTAAAACTCTCAAAATTATTTACATTATGATTATTTTGAATTGGGTATTAGAAGAATGACTGAAACATGTCAGATAAATATTCAAATAGCTCTACAGTGTTTGTTACCTGGGAGATTAAATGTACATTTTCAAACTGGTCTGTAAACATTAGAAAAGGATAACAGGAGAGAAAACACAAAAGACAAAAATAGAAAAATACATGAACCTCTTCTATTGTTCCTATCCCTATGGCACTGCCTCGGCGTCCATATTTACTGGGACTTTTCCCTGGAACAAGCAATGACTGAGCCGCACGAGACGGAGCGAGGGAGGGGGAGAGAGAGAGAGAGAGAGGGGGAGAGAGAGAGAGAGAGAGAGAGAGAGAGAGAGAGAGAGAGAGAGAGAGAGAGAGAGAGAGAGAGAGAGAGAGAGAGAGAGAGAGAGAGAGAGAGAGAGAAAGAGAGAGAGAGAGAGAGAGAGAGAGAGAGAGAGAGAGAGAGGAGTGACAGATTGACAAAAGCAGGAAGGGGGAGGAAAAAGAAAAAAAAAACACGTCATAAGATTTCATGCGCAGAGCACAGAGAGTTTCAACAGCCTGGGAAGAAGAAGAAGAAGCAGAAGCAGCAACTGTGTGTTTTAATACTGAAGTAACAGGGAGGAGAGTTTAGAGCAAAAGCAGGATCAGGTCCAAGACAGGGAGGCAGAGCGAGAGCAGGGGGGGGGGGTGCATGTCTGCAGGTTCAGTCCTGAGGGATACAGGTCTGCTCAGTGAAGCATTCAGGGGGATAAAGGAGGGAAAAGAGGGTCCACAGGATCAGAACGGGGAGCTGGAGTGAACTGGGTCCTTTCAGAGACGGGGTTGATTTAGTTCCACTTCAACAGAACCACCAGTTAACGAATCCCAAGAGGGGTCATCTGAACCCCAACACCTTTAAAGGGATATTCCTGCGTAAAATTAATTTAAGGTCAAACCCACCTTAACCCCGAGTTAGACCCCCCCCCCCAGAGATGAATGTTGTCGACCGCTTGTTTCTCTAGTTAAACCAACTTTAGTAACGACCGCATGATAGAAATACAGAGAGCCACGCCCTCAACCAAAACGCCACTCTATAGAGAGACCTCAGGCCAGTCCATTACAGACTACAGCGGGGTGACGCAGCTCAAGGAAGAACATTTATGATCATTTTTTAAATTATTTCCTTGAAGTAATAATCACCATATTAATCATTTTACAGACGCGGTAGTTCTTCTGTCTTAGCATCTCAGTCTGATTGTATTTCCATGAAGAAATGATCATAAATGTTCTTCCTTGAGCTGCGGCACCCCGCTGTAGTCTGTAATGGACTGGCCTGAGGTCTCTCTACAAACAAGCGTCTGCTGGAAGAGAGTAGGTGAGTTGTGTTTAGTCTCTTTGAAATGAGTCAAAGTTAAAAAGATGTTTGGTGTCTAGTACTATGTCTGTGACCCTATATGTCCTGTTGATGAAGTTAGGTGCTGTTCTGAGCATTATTTGTGGCTATAGAGTGGCGTTTTGGTTGAGGGCGTGGAGGTGTTGCGATCTGCGGTCGTTACTAAAGTTGGTATAACTAGAGAAGCGGTCGGCAACATTCATCTCTGGAGGGGGGGTCTAACTCGGTGTTATGGTGTTTTGACCTTAGTTTAATTTTACACTGGAATATCTCTTTAAAATAATGTAGGGAGACCAGGTGGCGCCTCCTGTTGATGGGGCAGTTTGGCAGTGACCATATTGTAACAGTTAACATCCTTGACCATGAAATAAGGGGGCCGATTATTTTCTTTCTGCCTCTAGTGGCAGTTTGAGGAACTGCAGTTTTTGGTCATATCTGCGTGTATCAACCCCGTCTTTGAAAAAGAGCCGATCAGGACAGTCTGTTTGTTGCATTTCTGTTGTGTGCCATGCATACTCTGCAGCAGCCGCACATGCACACACACACACACATACATATATACAAGGCTGTGAAGTTCACAGGAGGGAAAGGTCAGGACGAAAGCAGAGGGAGGAAGGAGGGAGGGAGTCTGGGTAGTCAAACAGTTGGACTAAAACCGGGGCTCACAGTCAAACTAAAATAAGAGGACACGTCACGACTCAGAGGATCATCTACCCAAACACAGATCTACAGATCTGACTGTGGGGTGATGAAGACTCTCTCAACACAGGATGAAGATGAAATGCTGAGAATGCTGAGTTAAGTTGTTTTGTCCAACAAAAATTAGCTGCTTATAAAAAGGCTTTGTGTGTAAATGGAAAGCAATCAATGAGAGCCGCTTTACTAGACGGCGAAAAGGGTTTGAAATGAGCGATGAGAGCGAGGACTTTGATGTTAGCGCTCGGAGAAACTCAAGTGCTGCAGTGTGCCAACAGGAGTCATTTACTAAAGTGCTGCTGCTGCTGCTGCAAACACACAAAAGAACCGAGCGGCGTGTTTATTATCCGCCGCGCTGAGAGAGGTGGTGGAAAAGATCCTGGATGCATGAGTTAGGTGGGCATCATGTAAACCAAAGTGGGCTACTTACAATCCCTGGGGTTTTGGGGCTCTCTGCGGGATTGTGGGTAAAGCTGCCACTGTGACTAGTGGAGACTGTGTGTGACTTCTTGTTAGTGAGGCCCATGGCGTCCATAGACTGGCTTCTGCTGCGGATGACCCGCTACAGAGAGAGACGAGGAGATACGGTCAGTGGATTTAGGTTTTCAGAGAGCACATCTGCTTCAAACTCCACATCTGGGTCTGACTTCCTGAGATCTGGAGTCACCTGGCTGACCAGATCTGTGGGATATTCACTAAACCTTCAAACCCCGCCTCCGCCTGAAGCCGAGGAGGTCACCTGAAGTATCTAGTCCCGGTTGTTGCTGTCATTAAAAAGTATAAAACATACCCTGAAGTTACACTGAACTTAAACTGACTCTTCATTTTATCACACATGAGAGCATTAAATCTGAGTGTTATTGATTATTATTGAGACATTTCGATTCATGACAATATTCAAAGAGTAAAAAAATTATGATGTTTACTGCGTTAAATTCAGCTGCTTTTACTCCCAAAGGAGAGATTTCAGAAAAACAGAAAAACTTTTATGTGAATTTAAGTTTGATTAAAGCCTCAGTCAGGAGTTTTAACTGGTTTAAACTGGTGTCCGTACAAAAGGGACCATCAGCAATAAAACTGGTTATCAGTCCTGAAGCTCAGATCAGCCTTTTATCAAACAGTAAAGATTCACGTTGAGTGACAGATTCGACCATTTGCAAAAAAGGAGGATGAGATATATTATTTCCAACCGCCAACAGGGGGCGCAGCGTCAAAATCAACCATGAACCCTCAGATCATTTCTGCAGAGGTCTTTTAAATGCTGATGGATGTTAAACGTCAGACATGGAGATTCACTGATACCTGCTGCAGAAACATGATCACATGATGATGAGCGTGCATCTATGATCAGAGAGAGGTGAACAGAACTACTCTGTAGGTCTAAACTGATAAATCTTTGCAGGATCTTTGAGGTTTGTCTGTAATTTAGCAGAACTGAATGATGGAGTTACGAATGTGGAACCAAAATCAGTTTAAAAGTGGAAGAAAATATCGGTGTCAGTTATGACCTGATCAGATGGATCTGCTCTCTAATGAAAATATTGTAGCAGCAAAGTGAAACTCCTGTCTAAGTTAAACCTTTTAAAGCTCCTGTGAGGAGTTTATAACATTTATAAAAAACACTGAAATTCAGATTGATGTTTTTTTTTATGAAACACGATAACAAACAGGACCGTGAGTGACAGGACTGATGGTGTTTATGTCAGAAGTTTGAAGCAGGAGGAAGTCAGCCAAGCAGTTTTGTTTGTAGAAAATTCACCATAAATGATGAATTTGACTGAATATTGATATTTTTTTTGTTAAAAGACACGACTTAAGAATGTTGAGGACAACATAAGCACTGACTGACTGTCCACAGGGGGGCGCCAAGATTGATCCAAACCAAAAGTTCCTCACAGGAGCTTTAAACACTTTCTGCTTTTTTCCTGAGTGATCGACTCTCTGCTGTAGAAACGATCGATCGATCATTTACTGATCATAGTGCATCAGAGCTTTACTGAATAACTGTATGTTTTCAGTTCAATGTCAACGACTCTGCAGATTTCCCGATGATGGTGAACACAGCATTAATGCAGCTGCATGTGGACGACTTCCTGTATATGTGTGAATATTTTATAAAAGAGAGAGAACAACCTTTGAGAGCACATGCATGCAGAGATGTGTGTGTGTGTGTGTGTGTGTGTGTGCAGGGGTAGTTGTGAACACTCAGAGGTGGTGCAGCTAAACAGGCAGGAAGAAAAAAGAGATGGAGGTTTAGAGAAGGTCGTAGAAATGGCAGGCTTCAGAAGTGAGGAGAAGGAAGCTCTTCATCTCTTATCTCCTCTGTCGTCATTAGACCAGGGGGGGGGGTTACAGTGTGAATGAGGAAGTCAGTGAGAGAAAGTAGGAAAGACCGAGTAGGAAATCAGTGATTTGTGAGGTTGTTGGGGAGGAGAAAGAGGAGAAAGAGGAGAGAGGGTTTGCAGATTCATTCATCCAAATGCAGTGAGCGGAGCGATGGAGAGGACATGGATGGAGAAGAGACGGTTAAGACTGAGAGAGAGAGAGGAGGTGGAAATTTCTCTGAAGTGGAAATGCAGAGAAGATGGCCGAGAACTATTTGGTGTCACAGACAAAAGAGACAGACGGCGAGGGATCTGCCCACGGGGAGAAAACGGCCTCATCAGCTCTCTAATGAGGGGTCATTAAATCCTTCATCAGGCACACACAATCACAGCCTCAGCCAATGGGACACGCTCCACCACCCTAATGGTCATTGATGGAGCACGCTCAGTCAGAGCCAAGCGCCCTTCATACACAGCAGACGCTCCCCGGCATCAAAACCGCACCATCAGGAGCGAAACACGCCGAGGTCAGCTGTCACCGCCGAGAGCGGGACTCAGATGTCAGGAGAGCTGCTCCGCTGAGATCTGAGAACTTTCCAGGCTTTGTTTGGTTTTTGTGTGATTACCCAGAATCCCATCCAGGAGACAGACAGACGGGGGGGGGGGGGGGGGTCCTAAAAGGTCCTCCAGTCAGAACCGTTTCCTCTCATGCATGTGCGAGTGCAGATTTAAGGCTCAGATTTAAAGGAACAGGACTTTACCTTGAAGGACTCAAAGAAGCCTCCTCCACCTCCACCTGCACCTCCTCCTCCTCCTCCGTTCTCCAGCTTATCTTCATCTCCTCCCAGTCCCATCATTGACTGACTGTTTATGTGCAGTTCCTCATAGAGCGTCTCCAGCAGGGCTGAACGTGTACGCTCCTGACCAGAAAAAAGAGTCAGTCAGCAACGTCAAAAAACAGGAACTCCAAAACAAAGAGAGGTGGAGTTAGACGCTCAAACCTCCACCTCATACTTGGAACTAAAGGAATCGGGTTGTGGAGCAGAACTGAAGCCCCTCTGGAGTCTTCCTCAGACCTCAGAGGGAGCTCAGAGTCGGGTCAGTCCTCTGAGGGTTTAGTTAAGAGGTCTCCTCAATCTAGAACAAGACCCTGCAGAACCGGTCCTGAGACTGACCCAGAATCTCCAAGAACAGCTAAAATATGCTGCTGATGATGAGAGAGATGGAGGAGAATCTGGGTTAGAAGATGGATGTATGGATCGGCCCAGAACTCATTCAGGTTTCAGTTAATCCTTTAAAATAGTTAGAAATGTTGAGTTTTTCATATTAAATTACATGAAATCAAATTTCATAAATACAGAGAGATCATGGTGGTGTTCCTCAGGGTCTGATTTAAGGTCCTCTAATTTTCTTTAATCTCTGAACACTTCAGTTTAATCTGTGAGATTTAAGAAAGTTAGAGGACCTTAAATCAGACTGAAACTTAGATTAAAGATGTTTCATGGACCTGAACTTTAATCTCTGAACACTTCAGTTTAATCTGTGAGATTTAAGTTCAGGTCCATGAAACATCTTTAATCTAAGTTTCAGTTTTTGAGTTTAATCCATGTTTTCATGTATTTTATTAAACTTTCTTACGATTATTTATTTTATTCATCTTTCTGTTAATGTGACTGTTTCTGATCGAGTTCATTTATTTATAAAACTAAGATTTTCTTTTTAAAACCTGTTTGATTCTGTCTCTGTTTTTTAACGGTGTAATTTCTGAAACTGATCAGATTTTCTCTGATTGATTTCTGCCCTTTTGCTCCTCATTAGTCATCTGTACGGAGGTTTGGTTCATGTCGGGCGTTTGTGTTGAAGCGCTCTGTGTTCGAGGTGAAAATATCTTCCTCTGTCATTGAAATAAAACAGCAGGATGCACACCTTCACAGATCATCACGTCTCCATCATACACACTCTCCTCACCTCCAGCTTGGCGAACTTCTCAGCTTTGTAGCAGGCGTACTCTGCGTTGATGAGTTTGGTGAAGAGAAACTCTCTGAACTCGGGGCCCTGAAGGAAGAAAGAGTGAAGACAGAAATAAAGAGACTCTAAAGGTCTATGATGAAGGCTGTCTGCAGAGAGACGGGCTCAGGTGGTGGATTTGTGTGGCTGCTGACCTTTTTAAAGATGGCAGGGTCAGGTAAAGCAGGCCCGAAGAAGGGGACGTCATCCCGCGCCGTCACTGACACCTTAAAGCGAAAGCAGGCGAGCATCAGCGTCAGTCGAAGCCACATTTGAGGAATAAAAGCTCCTGAATCATAAATGAGGGACTCTGAGGTCCAGGAGACTCACCTTGTAGGTGACATTGTCTGTACATGCGTTCTCCACCTGCACCACCGCATACGCATGCAGGAAGTTGGACTGGATCATGTCGGGTACAAACGGCGTGTTCTCCTCCTGGAACACGATGGCTACGATGTCGTTTCCTATGTGTCTCTTCCTCTGCAGCTGCGAGGACAGAAACAAACACGACCAACATGAGCGGAAACATCTGAAATCACCACTTAGAGAGTCAAAACCAGCCGCCAAAGTCCCAGAATTACTTCCAGTTTTCACACAGAGAGATCGGCTCGGCGTGAATCGAACCCCAGAGGAGAGCGGGGACGGACCAGCAGTTCAAAGGTCAAACTCATCTGTTTATTTTTGATGTGACCTTTCAGTTAAAGGCGTTCAGTGACGATCAGATTAAATCAGACTCAAATGAATTGTGTCTTCAGAGAGAACCAAGAACTGCCCGTCATCGACCATCTGCTCTCTGCTTCATCTTTAAGTCCGATTCTCCAACGACTACGAAACCATCATCTGTGGATCGGTTTCTGACGATCTGTTGAGAGACGCAGCAGCTTCACCAGCTTTTCTCCGTCACTGTCGTCTTTAAGTTAAATAACCTCCTGAGGAGCCGGTTTGATGGAAATGATGACGACTCCGTTCAGAAGAGACAAGCGAGGCGATGTGAGTCAAAGTCGGCCATGAGAGGAGAGCCTGAGTCCTCGGGAAACAACCCCCCAACCCCACCTCCACCTGTGGATTCCTAACCACACCTGTAAACGTGAAGGAAGTTCGGCGTCGATCACGAGTTAACTGAAAGTGTGTGGACTTCAGCTCTTGGCGGGAAAAAACGCCTCGACTTCCTGTCATTAATGACTCTGAACATCTACTCATATGGATCTATACATTTATAGATCTGTGCACATGTGTGTGAGTCTGTGTACATATGTATGCACTGTGTAGATCTGTCTGCACATCCTTAGATTGTCTATGTATCTATATTTCTGTTTGCATGTTTACAGATCTATGTACACATTCATAGATCTTCGCAAACATCTGGAATCTATCTACACATTTGCAGATCTATGTTTACATTTGTACATAAGTATACAAATTAATGCATGTGTTCATATATCTGCACTTCTTTACACACACAGATCTTTTACACATTTGTAGCAAAGTGTCCTTATGAACGCGTCTATTTGTACAATTTTAGATCTAAGTTTGCGTTTGAGGATCTAGTTCCACATTTTTTAAAATTCTCTGCACATCTGTAGACGGGTGTGTCCATGTATAGATCCGTGTATGAAGACAGCAGACGCTCACGCTCTTCTGTCTGAGAACGTCTTCATCCATGTAAAAGCGTCTCAGCAGACCGTAAATCTCAGTTAACCGTTTGTGCTCGTGTGTGTTTGTGTGTGTGTTTGTGTTTGTGTGAGTCACTCCTATTTTTACAATGAGGCACATTTGCATAGAAAGGGTCAATTTTGTCCTCCATGAAAACATAACGGCTGATTTAAATGCGTGCAAACATCAAGAAGAAGAGCAGAGATGCTGTTTGCTGTGTGCAGCAGTTTCCCATAATTCCTCAGTCTCTGCATGTGTCATGAATTCGACGGTTTGGATCTTCTGCACAGGTTTAGTGGTCTCAAGAGTCGTGCTGAAAGTTTAAACTGAACACTGAAGGAGGATTTCAAACACTGAAGAATCATGAAAAAAAAAAAAAAGAGTGAAATGAATAAAACAGATCGACGTAGAGACACAGTCCAGCTCTCGCCCAGCTGCAGCGCCGCCCGCCCGCCCGCCCTGGGCCTGTTCGCTGATGAGAGATGTCTGAATGTGAAAAGGAGCGGAGGAAACGTGAACTTGATGACTCTGTAAATGTCTGACAGTCAGCAGCATGACTCACTGCTCCTAAACGACTGCTCGCCATCGCAATAAAGCCTGAAACTGTCAAACTGAAACTTGTAAACTCCAACAATAAAGCGCACGCCATCTTTATATCAGAGGAACAAAGCCTGATGGGAAACCTGCTCGCTCTGCTACAAAATTCATCCACTGAATTTGTCGCCTGTTGCTGTGACCTGATTGATTTATTTACCCTTACTGTGAATAAACTTGAATTTAATATATTTAGTGGAATATTTCCTGCCTATTCAAATTTAAAGAGCTCTGAATCTCCTGATGAAACGACCAGCAACATGCGAGCAGACGTGGATCAGAGAGACGTTTCCAGTTTGGTGATGATCAGAAATGTTCTCAGTGCAGAGAGGAGAAAATCCACTCCTGTGTTTTATCTCTGAAGTCCCAACAGAGCGACTCCGGCCCGATCAGCTCTCTCTGTTTACCTGTTCACTTATCAGTCAGCAGGACCGTCTGATACGAGCCTCTTCACACCTGCTGTTATCGGCTCCAGCGATAGTCAGAGCCGTCATAAAACACAGCGGTCAATGTTTGCTCTGAACTTTAACAATGATTCAGAGTCAGTATTTTACCACCTCTGTCTGTTTGTTCACATGAGAAAAATCCACAGTGGGTCTCAGGGACTGAAGAGTTTTCACAGGACCGTCTCATAGATGGAGTTTAAAGTCATTAAAGAGGAGAGAGGAAGAACCAAACTTCATTAACAAGCAAACATGAACAACTGTTTGATAAGGGGAAACAAAAAACAGCTGATTTAGGATTTTAAAGGTACAGTAAGTAATTTAAAGCAGTGTTCACACAGTAAGAAAGTCAAGATTTTTGGCCACACTTCCTCTTTCTGGCTAAAAGTCGATGATCAGCTGGTTCTGCTGTGAGGCGTGTTAAAGGTGGAGTAGACAGGAATCCGTTAAAGAAGCATCTTATTATTTTGTGGTTTTTATACAAAAAATCTGTTGATATCAGTCAATGGCATCTACAGTAGCACCAATGCTTTTGACTTTCACCTTGACTGGGCCCCATTTGTAATGATCTGAAGGATTTATCTGCATTATATCTGAATTTAATTGGAACGAGACGAGCGAGCAGGAGCGTCTGTTTGTGGGCGGGGCTTGAGGGGAGAGGAGGAGCTGAGGGGAAAACTGGTTGGAGGGGTAGAGTTTACATTCAAGATTTCTCCTAAAAACTGGAACTAACTCAGATCCTGACTACAACACCTTTAAAAGTGACTTTTTCTCTCTGAAGTTACTTTGAAATAAAAGAGATTCAAGGAGATTTCAGATGCCGTCTGCTGGTTTTTAGACTCTGGGCCGAGTTCATGACATCTATGCGTACCACACACCACTGAGCCGAACTGTTAAATCTCCTCATGTGTTCTCAGGTCTCTCTGATGCTTCAAAACCAGTTCAGATTTTCAGAGTCTCTCTCTGTGTGCCAGGCGTTAATTAGAGAACAAATATGAGAGTCAGTTTGTTTTTCTAACTCAGAACGAGACTTTGAGATGACAAAGGACCGGGTTCTGGTCCACAAAGGCTGCCATTGTACTTCCTCATGTTTCTGCACAGATGGACAAACTGGGAGCACAAGTGTTTCTGTTGGAGAGAGCGGCTGTTGGAGAATGGAGGATGTAGATGTTAGAAAGCATCTATGAGACTCACTGACTGCAGGAGTGAGTAAAGATGAGCTTCAATCTCCAGTCCGACTTCAAAAACAGACAGGTCAGAGGATTATTGCTCATCTCTGAGTTTCACTTTCAGCACAAACTGAAAATATCAGGTAGACATTCAAACAAAAACTAGATCACACAGATCAAACCTGAGAAAACCTAGATTCTTCTGTGTCTGCCTCCTGAAGTAGATGTTCAAACAGATGCACCTTTCCTTAAGTTCCCTCATGAATTATGTGGGTGTTGTTTATATCCTCTGTGTCCCTGTAAGCCTCAGCAGTATGGACCATCTGCTCAGGTTACTGTGGTAACAAAGTGTAAGTCTGAGAGGACGAGCAGAGCGACAGAGGACGGCGAATCTAACTCAGAGAGAGAGACGTCTATAAACACCGTGTCTGAGGAAAAAAACTGAAAAAAGGAGACGATAAACCTGCAGATTTTAGAGATGACTGAGTGAGAAACAGAAATCAGCATCTGGACCTAAAAACTGGACTCAGGTCTTAAAGGAAGCTCAATATTTAGATCTCAGTGATCTCTGTGCTGACGGTCTAAAGGAACCATCAGTTCAAGTCAGCATGAAGAGCAGAAACAACGAGGAAGAGCAGAAACAACGAGGAAGAGCAGAAACAACGAGGAAGAGCAGAAACAACGAGGGAGACCAGAAACAACGAGGGAGACCAGAAACAACGAGGGAGACCAGAAACAACGAGGGAGACCAGAAACAACGAGGAAGAGCAGAAACAACGAGGGAGACCAGAAACAACGAGGGAGACCAGAAACAACGAGGGAGACCAGAAACAACGAGGAAGAGCAGAAACAACGAGGGAGACCAGAAACAACGAGGGAGACCAGAAACAACGAGGGAGACCAGAAACAACGAGGAAGAGCAGAAACAACGAGGGAGACCAGAAACAACGAGGGAGACCAGAAACAACGAGGGAGACCAGAAACAACGAGGAAGAGCAGAAACAACGAGGGAGACCAGAAACAACGAGGGAGACCAGAAACAACGAGGGAGACCAGAAACAACGAGGAAGAGCAGAAACAACGAGAGAGACCAGAAACAACGAGGGAGACCAGAAACAACGAGGGAGACCAGAAACAACGAGGAAGAGCAGAAACAACGAGGGAGACCAGAAACAACGAGGGAGACCAGAAACAACGAGGAAGAGCAGAAACAACGAGGGAGACCAGAAACAACGAGGGAGACCAGAAACAACGAGGGAGACCAGAAACAACGAGGAAGAGCAGAAACAACGAGGGAGACCAGAAACAACGAGGGAGACCAGAAACAACGAGGGAGACCAGAAACAACGAGGGAGACCAGAAACAACGAGGAAGAGCAGAAACAACGAGGGAGACCAGAAACAACGAGGGAGACCAGAAACAACGAGGAAGAGCAGAAACAACGAGGGAGACCAGAAACAACGAGGGAGACCAGAAACAACGAGGAAGAGCAGAAACAACGAGGGAGACCAGAAACAACGAGGGAGACCAGAAACAACGAGGGAGACCAGAAACAACGAGGAAGAGCAGAAACAACGAGGGAGACCAGAAACAACGAGGGAGACCAGAAACAACGAGGGAGACCAGAAACAACGAGGAAGAGCAGAAACAACGAGGGAGACCAGAAACAACGAGGGAGACCAGAAACAACGAGGGAGACCAGAAACAACGAGGAAGAGCAGAAACAACGAGAGAGACCAGAAACAACGAGGGAGACCAGAAACAACGAGGGAGACCAGAAACAACGAGGGAGACCAGAAACAACGAGGAAGAGCAGAAACAACGAGGGAGACCAGAAACAACGAGGGAGAGCAGAAACAACGAGGGAGACCAGAAACAACGAGGGAGACCAGAAACAACGAGGGAGACCAGAAACAACGAGGAAGAGCAGAAACAACGAGGGAGACCAGAAACAACGAGGGAGACCAGAAACAACGAGGGAGACCAGAAACAGAGGGAGACCAGAAAACGAGGAAGAGCAGAAACAACGAGGGAGACCAGAAACAACGAGGGAGACCAGAAACAACGAGGGAGACCAGAAACAACGAGGAAGAGCAGAAACAACGAGAGAGACCAGAAACAACGAGGGAGACCAGAAACAACGAGGGAGACCAGAAACAACGAGGAAGAGCAGAAACAACGAGGGAGACCAGAAACAACGAGGGAGACCAGAAACAACGAGGAAGAGCAGAAACAACGAGGGAGACCAGAAACAACGAGGGAGACCAGAAACAACGAGGGAGACCAGAAACAACGAGGAAGAGCAGAAACAACGAGGGAGACCAGAAACAACGAGGGAGACCAGAAACAACGAGGGAGACCAGAAACAACGAGGGAGACCAGAAACAACGAGGAAGAGCAGAAACAACGAGGGAGACCAGAAACAACGAGGGAGACCAGAAACAACGAGGAAGAGCAGAAACAACGAGGGAGACCAGAAACAACGAGGGAGACCAGAAACAACGAGGAAGAGCAGAAACAACGAGGGAGACCAGAAACAACGAGGGAGACCAGAAACAACGAGGGAGACCAGAAACAACGAGGAAGAGCAGAAACAACGAGGAAGAGCAGAAACAACGAGGAAGAGCAGAAACAACGAGGGAGACCAGAAACAACGAGGGAGACCAGAAACAACGAGGGAGACCAGAAACAACGAGGGAGACCAGAAACAACGAAGAAGAGCAGGAACAACGAGGGAGACCAGAAACAACGAGGGAGACCAGAAACAACGAGGGAGACCAGAAACAACGAGGGAGAACAGAAACAACGAGGGAGACCAGAAACAACGAGGAAGAGCAGAAACAACGAGGGAGACCAGAAACAACGAGGAAGAGCAGAAACAACGAGGGAGACCAGAAACAACGAGGAAGAGCAGAAACAACGAGGGAGACCAGAAACAACGAGGGAGACCAGAAACAACGAGGGAGACCAGAAACAACGAGGGAGACCAGAAACAACGAGGAAGAGCAGAAACAACGAGGGAGACCAGAAACAACGAGGGAGACCAGAAACAACGAGGAAGAGCAGAAACAACGAGGGAGACCAGAAACAACGAGGGAGACCAGAAACAACGAGGGAGAGCAGGAACAACGAGGGAGACCAGAAACAACGAGGAAGAGCAGAAACAACGAGGGAGACCAGAAACAACGAGGAAGAGCAGAAACAACGAGGGAGACCAGAAACAACGAGGAAGAGCAGAAACAACGAGGAAGACCAGAAACAACGAGGAAGAGCGAGTCCAGCTCTGTGCAAAAGAACGACCCTGACACCGATCTGAGGACTAAAGTTTTTAAACATTTAAAAACTAAAATATTTGGACGTTATTTAAACTCTCAAAGTTTCACATCTTTTCAAAACTATTAGCCACAATGCTGATGTTTGTTTGCATGTCGTGATTCAGACGATTCACCTACGGACCAAACGGTTTCCCTGGTTTAGTAACGACTCTTCAGATTTTAACGATTTACCTGATTTTGTCACCTCTCTCTGGATTCAAATGATTCACCTGGTTATGTCCCTACTTTCTAGATTCAAACGAGTCTCCTCCAGATTTAAACGATTCACTCTTCAGATTCAAACGATTCACTTTCAGATTCAAACGATTCACCTCCAGATTCAAACTATTTACCTGCGGATTTAAACGATTCACTCTTCAGATTCAAACGATTCCCCTCCAGGTCTAAACGATTCCCTGGATTCGTCACCACTCTCTAGTAAATCTGTTCCTCTCTCAGCCCTGAGATCTGAGCAGCTGCAGCCCAGTATCGTCGGGGACTCCTGAGTCGAAGCCTTTTCAGATGAACGCAGCGTGTCCGCCCTAAACACGCTAATGAGGCGCCAACATGAGTCATCAGTGGAGAGTCGGCGTACCTGCTGTGAGTCTCCTTCTGTGTAAGGCAGCTTGGTGGACACATGAAACATAATCTCCTTATTATGGAAACTGGTGTAGACCGACTCTGTCCCTGTCTGACCGTGAGTGACATCCAGCCCTCCCCGAAACCTGCGGGAGGAACGAGGAGAGAAGAAGAAGATGAGAGGGGAGAGATCAGAGGGTTCGAGTAAGAGGAAAATCCCACAGAGCGAACAACGGTCTGTTCAGGAGGAGCAGGAACTCAAATCCAAACCCTTTAAAGTCGTGAAGCTCGATCTTATGGCCCAGAAACTCCAGGAACTCCACGAAGGCCGGACTCTCCTCCATGTTCCCAAACAGCTCCTCCTCCGTCGTCTACGAGGAGGAGACAAACAAGACCGTCAGGAGGAACGCCATGTGGCGTCATCAGCCGAAGCTCAGCTGAGCACTCACCTGTCCAAACCGCTGATAGATGACCCCGAACTTGAAGTTGTTGCTGATCACGTGTTCGTCGAAGGTGACGATGAGTCTGGACGCCTGAGGAGAGACGAGGAAAAAAACACAGAGTTTAGGACAGACACCCGAGCTTCGAACAGGTTTTTAACCCTCATTTTCACCGCCCGCCAATTCCTGCTGGATCTGTTTGTGAGGCGGATTTTGTGGCGGATTACGGACAGCAGGAATCAGGAGAACTCACAAGAACCCGCAGATTCACGTTAGATCCAAGTCTTGATGTGAAAAAGCGAGTTTTAAAAGTACGTGTGGGTGCGGACTCTAACTCAGGAGGAGGGTCAGAAAACGACCACAGTTTGAGCAACAATGAACTTCTCACAGTCTGCTTCAAACTCTGGAGTGGATGGAGGTCTGGGACTCCAGAGATCTGCGTGGACTCACCTTTGGATACAGGACGGGGTAAAACCTGTCCACGTTGACTTCTTCACAAACCAGCTGGAAGCAGAAAAACAGGTTCAGTTCCACTCATGATAAACCCACTTAGAAACCCACTGACCACAGATCTGACAGCTCACCTTGGCCATCTGGACCACATTGGGGAACTCAGTAAGGCAGGAAATGGGGATGACATCGTGGTAGGTCTTGACCCTGGTGCTGAAAATAATAAACACATGACAGTCAGAGCGGTCCTGCTGGTCCACGTTCAGGTCTGTGGATCTCCAATAAGATCCTGTAGAGTCCCTGTGAACCCAGACTGAGGGTCAAACAGGCTTTAGTGCCTCTCTGAGGGTCACAGCTTCATCTGAAGGATTCGATGAACAACGTCATACAAACAATCCCTGGACTGAGAGAAGAGCGCCATGAGAGGGTGGAGATAATCACCACTTCACTCAGACGCTCATCGTTGTTTTCAGATGAAAAGAAAAATGAATCTGAACACAAACAACACTTAGAATCATGGGTGGGTGTTTAACAGTCGTATAATTGTCCATGAAGCGTCAGACTAAACTGTTGGTATCTGTGATGGAGGATAAAACAGACGCAGATGTCCTCGAGAGTTTTAAAAAAAGACCTTTAAGAGCGTCGTCTTTCAAAACAACGAGAGAAAAAAAGTCAAAGCAGTTTTTACAGAAAGACAGAAACGTCGAACTTTAAAATGAAGAGATTCACATACAGTGACGTAAAGATACGTGACGAAAAAACCTCCAGAAAACTTCAGCGTGAGTCGGTTTTTCACGAACAGCTGAGGTGAAAGAAAAGCAGGAAATATTCAGGTGAGATCGCCCTGAGTGGGTGAGTGGGTGAGTGGGTGGGTTAGTGGGCCGGCTCTCACTCCCCTGAAACTCTGTCAGGCGTGTTTTTGGTGAAAACGCTGCAGAAGCTCCTATTTTTAAACAAACCTGAAATAATCGAAGATTGAAATGTGGAGAGCTTCCCCGGTGATAAAAAAAACCAGGATCTGAGTAACCGTGACGATCTCTTACAGATGCTTTAAATATGGAGAGAGTGAGTCAGCGCCGGTGACTACACACTCGGAGGTGACCGGGTTTGATGGGGTGACCGTGGGTGGTGCCCACCGAGCGGAAAACATCACAGTGTGAAAAATGAAGTGGGCTGAGTGACTGATACCTCCTGATATACTCATCCACTCCACAGCTCCATTAACAAGGAGAGAGGGCTGCCATTAAAACCTGGAGTGGAGTCTCTGCGAGCTAAAATTAATCCACAGGTCAGAGCAGAGGCAGCGCTCCTCCTCGTCTGTCTTTAGAAAGAACGAAGGAGGATCTGAGTGTGTAAGAGTGTCTGTGAGAGTGTGTGTGTGTGAGAGTGTGTGAGAGTGTGCGTAAGAGTGTGTGTGTGTGTGAGTGAGAGAGGCTGGGTGGTGAGGCATTACACACACACAGCCAACAAGAATGAATTAAGAGCTGACTGTGGAGGACTTTAAAGGTTTTACGTTTTTTTTAGTAAGTCAACATTTTCACCCCCACACACACACACACACACACACACACACACACACACACACACACACACACACACACACACACACACACACACACACACACAATTATTTCATTCAGGCTCTAATTATATCACAGAAATCAAACAATAGAGCGGAGCGCGGCTATTTGGACAGAAAAAGAACTCGATCCAGAAAGACGACGACTCTCCCGAACAGCGTCACGTCGTTTATTAGAAAAGGACTGAAGACTTCAGCTGCTGTTTCAGTTATTCACTCAGTTTCTGCAGAATTATTACGAGAAATGATCTTTGAAATGATAAATAAAGAGATTTGTTGAGAAATCCTGGAGGTGAACTTTGTCTGTACTTCAGTTTTTCTGCAGAGTCACAGTTCAAGAGTGTCGAACCGACTCTGAAGAAACAGCTCTGAGTCTTCACCGTGAGAATATCTACATTTATATACTCTTCTGATAATCCGGTTTATTCTGTCGGTCCGGATTAAACTGGACTTTTCAAACTTCATATAAACACGTTTGTCCTGAAATCAGACTTCACTGAATTTCTTACAGTCAGACTGACAAACTCGGACCTGAGCTCGACTGTAATCTGTCTGATCTGCACACGCTCCACAGATGAGTTCACAGACTCGAACCCTTGTGAATAATAATAGGGTTCAGTTATAATCAGGCTCAGACAGGTCTGGGTCGGTCGCTCCTACATTTGTATTTTCTAAAGTCCTCCTTGGAGTCCAGACCTGATCTGAGTCATAAAGAAGTTTCTCCCAGAACCTCTCGTTTCTCCGCGGAGCTCTCAGGGTGAAAAACGGTTCTGAGCGCCGAGAAGGACTTTGAAGAGTCTCTCAGGGAAACTGCAGAAGGACGGTGAGAAACGTCCTGAGACTCTCAAAGACTCTGAGATGATTGAAGACTGAAGACCGGATCCTGCAGTGATCCGGTTTGCAGCAGATCTCAGCGACGACTCCTTTCTAAAAGACTGTTTTAGAAACAGACGATAAAGGTGATAAAGAAATATCATATCATGAAAGAGTCCGTTATTTTAGAGACGGAGGACGCTGACGGAGCAGAAGAGAGACATTCAGTCCTTGGACTCAGTCCGACCGTGTCAAACAGACGTCTGAATTCAGGTTTAACTGCAGATGAAATTGATGAGAACATTTATTGACCGCCCTTCACCTAAAGGAGTAAAGAGTCCTCTGACAGTGAGGATGACTGTCAGCAATGAAGTGGAAAATACAGATTCAACATTCATCACAGAGACGACCTGCTCCCCCGTCTCAGAGTTTTGGGTACAGAGGAACCGAGAAGAGGAAACAGAGAAAATTTAAAGTCTGATCAGAAAGAAAAAGGAGAAAATGAAAGTGCAAACGTAGATGAATTATTTACCGAAGCATCAAGCGCAGATGCTCCTGATCCCCGATGACGTCGTACTTCAAGGAAAAGACCAAGTGTCCCAGAGCGGCGTCCATGGTGTAATAATTAAAGTGTTCCTGAGGGCAGAGAAGCACAAGAAGCTTTCATGCAGAGATGAACCTCCTCCAGCTCCTGACAGACGCCCACACCAAAATAATTACAAACACCAACGATGATGATGAACTCTAAACAGGCGGCGGAGGAGACGGTGACGGTGACACACCTTTACTCTCTGAGAGGAGTGTGTGTGAGAGAGACACGGATCAGACTCTTAGAAACGTCACATATCAACACTTTTTTATCACTGATCAGACCGAGACGCCGAAGCAGAAGAACGACCTGCTAAAGAAATGAGTCAAAGTTAAAAAGATGTTTGGTGTCTAGTACTATGTCTGTGACCCTATATGTCCTGTTGATGAAGTTAGGTGCTGTTCTGAGCATTATTTGTGGCTATAGAGTGGCGTTTTAGTTGGGGGCGTGGCTCTCTGTATTTCTATCCTGCGGTCGTTACTAAAGTTGGTATAACTAGAGAAGCAAGCGGTCGACAACATTCATCTCTGGAGGGGGCGTCTAACTCGGTGCTACGGTGGGTTTGACCCTGAATTAATTTTACATCGGAATATCCCTTTAAGCAACAAGTATCCATCAGGTTCTGCAGCAGGTCTGAACCCCCCACAGGTCTACAAACTCCAGGACTTTCAGATCTGAGCAGCTTTTCAAACACTCAGCTGTGTCAGCCTGTCGTGTTGTTTTGGTTTCAGTTTTTTGACTTTTACTGAAAGAAGAAAGTGGATCAGGAGGTGAGGTCTCCACCTTCATCCTGATCGTCTCCTAAAAGGTCGTATCCTCCGATCGTAGCTGATCGTAACCATTCAAGTTAACGTGTCAATTTACACCGACTTCTTTCCGTTCCTCTGCGGATCGCCGGACTCCTCAGCTGATCACAAGAGTTCTATTTTTTCTGGACGCCGGAGCATGGCGGATAAATTCAGCACAGATTAACCCGTGCTGGAAAGGAAGTCGGGCACAGACTTCAAAATAAAACATCTGGCTTCTTTTCAAAATAAAAGACTCCGTGTTTCAGCGGGTCAGAAGACCGTGTCTTTCCTCTACCTTTCCCATGAAGTGCTTCCTGTAGATCTTGGCCGTGCTGTTTGTCTCCAGTTTGACGTGGGAGGCGGGGCAGGGAGGTTGTTCGGCCTCTGGTGTTTCTTTAGGCTCATGGTTGGTTCCCTCGATCCAGTAGCCTCCAAACTGCGGCAGCAGGATGAGCGGGAAAGGACTACTGCGACCCAGAACCTGAGGATAAATCACAGCGATAAAAGTGAGAGGAAACCGCAGGTCCGTACGTCACATGAATCATGATTTTGTCTCATTTTTATTTGGACTCGCCGGCTTTGACAGTTACTGACATCTGAAAATTATACTGAGAGATTGACTGGTGCGAAGGGAAGATTATTTACCTCGTGAACGCTGGGATAAGGGATGTAGTCCTCTTCTGTCTGCAGGGAAGGAAACAGAAATGAGTCAAGCTGACAAACAGCTGACAAACAGTCGACAAACAGCTGCTTCCAGTCAGGCTTTCAGTTTTGATTCCTGGGAAATAACGACGAACATAAAAGCTGTGACAGCTTCCTGACTCCACCATCGCTCACTTCTGCATTTGTCAGGGTTACATTTCTGTAAACACAGGCAGCCGTCTCTGCGACACCAGCCGTCCCACAGTGAAGACATTATTCCTGAGGTTTCAATCTTCACTGGAAACCTTTCAGTACAAGTCCAATGATTTCTAACCTTCAGAGAATTGGTGTGTAAAGGTAAAAACATGACAACAGCGTGACCTTCAGCTCTGAAAAACAGACGATCCTCGCTCCTCTTCAAGTGCTGTGAGCGCTCAGCGGTTTAAAGAACACCATTAGACGCTGAATAATAACAAACATTTCCTCTCTTTTTCACTCATTATAGCTGTACTGTGGTTTTTATCTGCTGCGTTGTAAAACTAACGCCATTTAACAGCATTTTCCTGTAATTTCCATCTTTGCCGAACTCAATATCCCCCCGTTTCAGCTGTGATTTTCTCCATTTCTCAAGAACACCTTTCAACAACCCCAGCGGAGAGCACCTGGGCTTGTTCCATTACAGGTAATGGTCTGTGTGTGCCAGAAGTGAAGGAAAGAGAGTTTCTGTCCATATTAAAGCAGCGGAAACTAATACTCCTTCACACTAAACACAGTCTTTTCCTTTCACATTGACTTATTGGTAATTGAAAATACCTCAGAGGTTGAACAAGAGCACGAGTTAGACGGTCACCAAACTGAATAAGACTCATCCTCCGGGAGTTTCTGCTCGTCCATCTCACAGACACCAGGATATTTCACCAAAAACCAAAAGACTCAGAAAGTTACAAACACTAAATCATTTTCAGACGATGGATAATCGTTTCAATAATCTTGTCCAAACTTTTACTGCTTTACTTCCCTTTAAAGGATCATTGCAGTTATTTTACCTCAGAGTCTCACATCTATACTGACTGAACAGAATTGTGAAATGTGATTGCTACATGACGCTGCTTTCGAAACAGATGGATCATATAACATTTCCCATTACACTGTTAGAACAGGGACCTCCACTTCACCTTACTGGGACATGTGAGACTGAACTGTGTTTTAGTAGAAGGATCATCAGAATAACAGTAATGACTTACTGCGGTCAGGAGCGCATGGAGCTACAGGAGTTTGAACGACTCATTACAGTTCGAGTCTCGACTTTCCCCTGGAGGTCAAATGAAGGTTTGAATATTAAATAAAAAGTGAACTGTGTATACGTTGATTTGTTTATCGACCGGGTGTGAACACAACTTTCGTCCCCTCACGCTAACTCAGCGAAACGCGCCTCACACTGTGGGGACCTCCTCTGGTTGGTTCACATGACGGTTTTTGAAGTTATTATGATTCACTATGAAGAGAACTGAGTGATACATCATGATACGATGCAGTTCAATGTGATGTGATGCGGTATGATATTGTATGGTATGGTGCGATGTGGTACGATACGGTACAGAACAGTGCGGTCCGATACGTGAGGTTATGGTACAGTGTGGTGCGATGCGGTATGATGCTGTACGGTACGCTGCAATTTGGTGCAAAATGATGTGATGTGATGTGATGTGATGTGATGTGGTACGATATGGTTTGGTATGGTGCGGTCCGATGCGTTAGGGTATGGTACAGTATGGTGTGGTGCGATGCGGTATGATGCTGTACGGTACGCTGCAGTTTGGTGCGAAATGATATGATATGATATGATGCGATGCGATGCGATGTGATGTGATGTGATGTGATACATCCATCCGTCATTTTCCCATTTTTGCGGATCTGGAGGACTGGAGCTGATCCCAGCTGTCATTGGTCGAGAGGCGGAGTAAAGCCAGGATAGGTTGTGAGATTATTAAAGGGAATAAGTTTAATAAGTCTCAATTTGTTTCTATAGGATCTGGTTTGATACAGTTTGATCAGGTAAAATACACTTTATTGATCCCTTTGGGAAATTTGTCTTGGATTCATGTTCTGCACGTGCTCGACTCCCTCAACACGGATGAGAGATAAATAAACGAAAACTAAAATCATGAATATCTGACAACGATCTACCTGTGAACAGAGAAACACTAACAACAGACTGAATATTACACAAGATCTGTTCCTAACAGCATAAATAAGGTTTAAGGGTTACACAAAGCTTCTTTATCTCGGCTCCATCAGTGTGGGAAGTTATCAAAAGAGAACAATGAAGTCGCGCCAAAGAACAAGACGACTGAGAGACTGAAGCAAATACTCCAAATACCTGGTGAAGGACTCTGAATGGATCTAACCCTGAGCCCACAGACACTCCTGTGAAGTGTTTAGTGGAAAGGCTGTGTACAGGAATGAAGAAGACTGTGACTTGGTTAACAGAAGAGATTACTCCACTCTGATTGGTCTTTGCATAACAACAACAACAGACCAGTAAAAGAGACGAAGACAGCCGAGATAAGGCGGGGAGGGTTAAAGAAGAGGACGACCACGAAGACGTCTGCTTCTGAAGACTTCGGCCAATCTCTTCATCCTCTTGGATCCACTCCCCGCCTGGTCTGACCTGACCTCAGATCTCCTGCTGAGAGTATCGTCACCGCCACCCACACCAGCCCGCCTGCCAGGTACCAGGGCGTTTCTGGTCCCTGCTGAGAACATCCTAAAGCCTGCCTGACAGCTGATAAGGAAAGGTTTAGAACCGGGCTGAAGCTGATGCTCTCTACGCTGGGGGGGGAGAGAAGGGAGGATTTGTGACTCACTTTGAGCGGGGGTGGGAGGGGGCATCTTTGCTCGTCCATTCTGAAACCCTGCAGAGAGAGAGAGAAGAGAGAGAAATGAAACAATATTGAGGGAACAGGTGAGACATCTGTAAATGACTCACTGCAGGACGAAGGCGAGGAGGAAAATTACAGACAGTTATGATTGTTGAATGAAATCGTGACTTTAGCAGCAGCGGCGGCGGCGGCGGCGGGGGCGCGGTGATAATAATCCATGTTGACATAACAGGAGCTCCATCATCACATAAACAGGAAGTAAAGAGGACTCAAATCTGAGGGGCTTTAGAGAAGGTAAGAAAGGGTCGATGAGAACAGAGGAGGTGTTCCCACTGAACCAAACCACATCGACCACGACTCCACCCCGCCAAAATAAAAGCTCATCATCCACTTTGTTTTAATTCTTCTGCAGCTGACTCATAAACGCTGAACGTCCCCAGAGCACAAAGAGAGAGATGAGTAACGAAGCTTTCCTGATCAGTGGCCCTCAGATCGTCCAAAACCCTGCAGCGTGACGTGAAACTGATCAGATCTGATCGGGGGGTGAATCACGCAGAAACACTCTGAGGACAAATTTCCCATTTTCAGTTTCAGTTCCTTCACTGTTCGCTGGAAAACGAGAGTTTCTAATAATAAAGTTTGTGGCTGTTGCTTTACAACCGAGAGTCAACAAAGTAAAATACTAGATCGAATATCCAAACAGTATAGATCTAGAACACACCAGATATGCCTCTGAATGAACCAGAACTGATGTGAGTTAATGAGTGTGTCTGTGCTTCGGTTTGGTGCTGTCCCAGTCTCTACAGACGCTTCAGACGCTAATAGTGTATTTGGGGTTTTCATTAACGCATTTTTATGGCCTTTAATTGAGTATAGAGCTAGTCCAGGCAGGCTGCAACGTCAAGCTCAGCTATGAGTGCATCAGCTGGTCCTTATAAAACCAAACTATAGGCCGAGGTCAGACAGCGTGGGACCCATCAGCTCTGAGAAAGGATCACTTCATCTGTTGTCGTGATGTCTGGGAAACCTCGTGACCTCCTGATGAAAAGTCCAAAGTGTTGGCGCAACAAGAAGACTGAACTAAGAGGCAGAAGAAGAGTTTGTGGAGCTCTGACTAAGACGTCATCGAGGGTGAGGAACCAGGTGAGTGGTTGCAGACTGGATTTCCAGAGGGTAGTCGTGACCCTGGACCTGAACACTAACTTGAAAAAGACAAAAGCAGCGCTGTCAGTTTGCAGAGTCCAAAACCAAAGCTGTGAAACTGAATAATAATCCTGTCAGAGGAGAACTGTCTGAGTAAAGACGGAGCTTCAGTCTGAATTCTATTTCCTCTTCTTACTGGCTTATTCTAAATCCAATGTTCTCGCTTTTGGTTGGTGTAACAAATTGAAAATCCTGGGCTGCAAGACAAACTACAATCCTACAAATCCATCTCGACACATTAGAAATCATTTCACACATCTGATCACGCACGGAGAAAAGGCAAGAACTACACAGCTGTGCAGAGAAAACACAAAGGCTCTGTGCCACACATTCACAAGCTTAAGGTTGGTAAAGGCGGGCGCCAGCTGTCACGACTGCAAAGACCAAAAAAGAGAAAAAACAAAGAAAGGGAGACGTGGACGAGCGTTTAGAGGTGCTGCAGCAGCGTGTTTAAGATCTGGGATTTTAGAGAAGCAGGAAAAGGAGCGAACGAGAGTCTGGAAACAGAAATCAAAGAAGTTTTGTGTCTGAAGTGAGCGAAATCTGAGGGCAGCTTCTGATTCAAGCTTAAAGTGAGGAGGAGCGGGCGAGTTCAGGCAGCAGAGAGAAGAGCGTACCTGCATCCTCTCGATCATGGCGAACAGGTCCGAGGTCTGAGGAAGAGAGGGGACACAGATCCAAACATGGACATGGGTTTGATGGTTGGGATGTTCTCTCTCTGCTCATCCTTCACCTCCATCAGGAGTCTTCTTCATTTCATCTCTAACCCCCTCTAACATCTGACCACACTCCTTTATAAAGACCACCTGACTCGAAAACCACCTCAGAGAGACCGACTGAGTCCAAGTCCAGGAGAATCGGTCCTCCACACTTAAAGACAAACATGCAGTAAACACGTCGTCACCCTGAGGGAGCGCCGCGCTCAAAGCTCTGAGGCGCTCCTCGCTGTTGCTACAGCCAACCGCTCACCTGACTGCACGGCCCGATTAGACCGGAGACATGGAGACTTGAAGGCTGGAAAACACTCGTGTTAAAGAGACAGACGGGGTTTATACTGCCGAGGTGACAGAACCGAAGGATACAGTTTCACTACACACACACACACACACACACACACACACACACACACACACACACACACACACACACACACACACACACACTCAACAAACACTTTCAAAATAAAATGTGAACGCTGTACCAAACTCTGTCTGTCATAAATATTCTATCAATAAGTAAATAAATAAACACACGGCACAGAGGTATCTTTGAACTAACAGCATATTGGAGGCATGGCTGACATAATCGAGGGGTTAGCTCTCAGTGGTCTTTTATTAGATCAAATTTAGTCTGACTCAGTGTTTCCAGAATGGCGGCTCCTTTAAATAGACTTCAAAACTCCCCTTTAATGGATGGCGTCACTTAGACGATGTTATATTTTGAACCCTCTGTGGTTAAAGTTGTTTTTTTGTGTTTTTGGTCAGTTTGATGATTTTATGACAGCTGTTTCAGGTCAGTCAACAAAATAAGGAAAAATAAATTCACAGAGGAAGAACTGTCTTAATTAAAAAGAGACAGGGTTAAACTTCTACGGAGGAGGATTAGGGCCACTGGAAATAAAGAAATTATTATTCTGAGGTTGAAGTCAGAAATCTCACTTTTTTCTCAGAATAATAATTAAAAAATTATATCAGACTTTTTTTTATTTTGCCAGTGGCCCTTTTCCTCTTCCGTAAACTTCTGTGGTTGTTGGCTGCCTGTGTAAAATACTCAGCTCTGATTGGTCAAGACTCAAAGAAAGAAAAAAAAAGTTGTTGTTTTCTTTGTTTCCAGAACAACCTGAAATCCGGACGTGTGGGATCAGGTCGTCTCTGGTAACACAGGAAGGAGTGGAGCTCATTTCACCTCAGAGTTTTTATTTCCTTATTTTCTTTAAAATTTGCTCAATCATAAATTTTGTCTTTTCATGTTCAGCTCCTTTTCCAAACAACCTTCAGAGTTTATTTTACTTTATCTACACTTTGTTTATCAGCGTCTCTTTGTCTGTTTTTCTGCACAAAGACTAAGGTCACTCTTCAGGTTTAGAAACTTCAGCTGCATCAGTTCAGATGAAGAAAGTTTGTCCAACAGTTAACGTCACTGACAGGAATATCTGTGAGTCATCTGCATATCGATGCAAGGAAACTTTACGGCACTGAGGGGACAGTATAGGATAAGAAATATAACTGGACCAGAACCTGAACCCTGGGGGACACCACAGGCAATGTTGATGTTGAAGCATGAAAATCTCTAAAACCAGATTAAAACTTCTCAAAAATGGACATAAATGCAAAAAAACAAACAAACTTGAAACCGCTTATAAACAATCGCTTCAAATGGAGGTGATTTCTTCAAACATAAGGTGCTGACAGCCGTCTGCTAATAAACCGAGTATGAAATCTTGATTGATTTCATTCATTCATATTTCTCCAGGTTGTGTTCTGATACTCTCATTAGACAAAGAGGCTTAAATCCAGCTCCAGGATTTACACTCACACCTCCACCCTGCAGAACCACAGACTGAATTTAATCTGTTTTCCAATTAGCTTCAGCTTTAAGTCGAGGTAAACAGCGTCAGGAGAACACGTCTCATCTAAAGAGGACAAGTTCTGGATCTGAAGCAGCTCCAGCCCCAGATGAAGAGGATCAGAGTCACCCTGATGGCACTGCTTGTTGTGGGGGCGAGACCTCCGTTCACCATGAAACACAAGTGGACTGAAGTGCCAGGCTGATGTTTCCACATGACAGCTTCAATTTACCGCGGGGCTCAAACACTCACGACCAGGAAAAATCCCACCTGTGAGTTCATATAAACCTCCTCTCATAGACATCATCTAAAACACACACACCTGTGTTTACATAACCTGTAATAAAACCCTCTCGAACACCGACCCTGACCCTGACCCGGTCCAGCTCCTGGTGCTGCTCGGGTCAGTTTGGTGAAAACAAACAGTGAAGTATTCAGATACTCAGACTAAAATGACCTCTGATGCTTTTTTAACCAACGATCAACAATCATGACGTTTGTAAAGTCGGTTATTTACGTGTTCAGTCGTCATGATGGAAACGCCATTTTAAACCTCGCCCATAGTAAAGATTTACAGCTGTTGATACATTTGACAGGATGAGTGTATTTACCAAAAACATATATGGGACAAGCTCAGCAAAGTGGTATCACTTTGACCACAGGGGGCGCTAAAATCAACGCAAACCACGAGTTCTTCACTGGAGCTTTAATGAATGTTTGGACTGTGTCGACTTTTATCTTCTGCTAAAAATCATCAAACTCTAAATCTTTGTTAATGTTTTTTATTTCTATAACTCTGGTCTGCTGCTGTTTAAATATACAGACACTGATGATTAATGTCGAAAAAATAAAGAAATCTTAAAACTGAGCGAGGTCCTCGAATCAAACCAAAAAAGGTTTTTGGTCGCCAGTTTTAATATTGGGGATTTAGCAACGAGAAGCGTCAGCCAGCCTCCGGACAGGAAACGTGATGTTTGCTCTATCACTCCTAAAAATCTAAATGTTGGATTTTATTTTATTTTATTCCTGTTTGTTTGTTTTTTCTTTCCTTTCAGTAACAGTTTTCACTCTGGTCAGCGATTCACTCGCTCTGTCAATGACTGACTAACTAGCGTAGTACCTGAAGTACACGCAGTACTTATAAACTTGTTTTTGGAGATAACAGGTTATAAAAAAAAAGAACCACATCTCTGAGGGGATCAAATCTGAACCATAGTGTCCGTCATTCTGTACAACGTGTAAAAATCCAATATCTGCTGTTCTGCAGAACCAAACAAATACTACTTTCAGTCTCTAAGCAACCTGAAGAATGAAACACGCCGCAGTAACTGGAGCGAACACAATCTCTCACTTCGAGCAGGTGAAAAAAAAAAAGTACTCACATCACTGAGGCAGCGTCTCTTGAGAAAAGGCCGAGCGGGGGGACCGCTGAGGAGTCCGTCCACCGAGAAATTCCTACCTACTCTGAGTCCTGTCATCTTTCTTTCTGGATGCAGGCGAGCCGGGGAAGACGCAGGTGTTGATAATACCGTCGGCTACGAGGAGAGAGGTGAGATTGACGGTGACACCTCGCACAAACCCTGTCACTCAGACGGCGAGCTGAGAGGGGGAGAAACTAGACGGCTGTCCTCCGTCTGAATCCATATATCAGCGTGGAGGCTGAGAAAGCATGTGCCGTAATGTGAGGATATGATTTCCTTCCTTCCCTTTTTTCACACCCCCCACCCTGCCAAACACACACACACACACACACACACACACACACACACACACACACACACACACACACACACACACACACACACACACACACACACACACACACAGCTGTTCAATAGGAAGTAGACAGACGGGTGGAACAATGTTTATCCCCTCCCTGTGTGCTCGGAAAAGCTATCTTCTCTTTTCAATGCACACACACACACACACACACACACACACACACACACACACACACACACACACACACACACACACACACACACACACACACACACACACACACTCATGTAGTTCTCTTTTTCTATAACTCTCTTCTTCCTCTTTTTTCTTTATCTCTCATTTCTCAAGCTTCTGTGCCGTAAACACCCCTCCCTGATTCAGACGCTCACATTTCTTTAACCACTGAAGCAAAGTCCACACACACACACACACACACACACACACACACACACACACACACACACACACACACACACAGACATCGTCAGTGCTCAGTCTCCGCTCATGTTGAGAAGTGGCTCAGTTACAGCAGCAGCAGCAGAGCTCTTATAGATCAGGAGGGCTGATTATGAGCGTCTATTTCTGGACAGGCGCTCGGACGAGTGAACGACCCTCTGCATCTTCAGGTATGCTCATGATAAGTGACATGAAGAATCTACACAAGCACTGCTGAGGGGGGGGCTCACCCTGCATGACCTGATCTCAGACCCCGGTCTTCAGTTAGAGCCTCTTGGTCACGGCCTTCAGGGACTCGTTCAGACGCTCTTGTTGTGCTTTAGCGTGAGTTTGAGGCGCCGCAGGCTCTGAACCGGCCTCAATGTAAAAAAACAAAGCTGCTGTAACTGAAGACAGTCAATCTAGGTAACTCTAGATCTGAGCTGACCTCCAGCTGATTCAGAGTCAGGTGAGAGACCAGCAGAAGAACCGGTTAGAACTCTGACCCGCCTGTTGAAGACGTCACACTACTTTGTTCAGTCGACCTCGAACCTTCGTCTCCATATAATACAGAGAATTACGACAGACTGTTCTGTCATTTTTAGACGTCTTTAATTGTAGATGTGAACTTTTCTAAAAGGAAGAAGAAAAGTTAAATGTTTGCAGGATCTCCGTTTATCATTCAACAGTTTTTATTCCACATTTCCTAAAAGAGGCGGGGCTCCGACTGTCTTTAGTCCTCTTTGATAAGTTACGATAAATGAAAAAGTCGTCCATGTTTTCTCTGAAGAACTACAATCCCATCAAACCTAATTCAGCAGAAACTGCTTCTGTATTTTGTCATGACCAATCACAATCTTTCTACGTCATTCAAACCAACTTCCAGCCAATCATATCGCGTGACGTCATCAACAGACGCCAGGCCCCGATTCAGTTAGGTCCAATCAAACTTCAGTGAGGTTCATCATTAAGCAGCACTGATAGTAGAAGAAGATCTGAACGGACTGCAGTTCTTCAAATGTCCACTTGTCTGTAACAGTCCAGGAGATCCCAGTGACACCAAAGTGAAACGTCTGTTATTACAGACACGTGTTTACAGCCTGGTGAAGATGAGTTTGGTCCCTCAGACAGAGTCATCTTCTCCTACAGCTCACAGGTTTGAAGGATCTGAAGGTTGAAAGTTTTGAACAGGTGGACCAACAGTCAGGTTTTCTATGAAGGAGATCTCCACAGTTTGGCTTCAGAACATCTCCTCAGAAACCACAGGGAGGGACCAGAAAGACTAAATGTTTTATTCAATAACACCAAAAACTGACCCCCTTTGAAGTGATCCTAAAGACAGGTCTGAGGAGACACCATGAACAGGGACAGCTGAGAAACTGGTGAAGCACTCCAAGAAGACTACATCAGGGTCTACATCAGGGTCTACATCAAGGTCTACATCAGGGTCTACATCAGGGTCTACATCAGGGTCTACATCAGGGTCTACATCAGGGTCTTTCCACTGAAGAATCATGTCCTCCAACAACGTGAAAGTCTCCATGTCTTATCACCTCCACCAGGGGAGATCTGAGCGGCCCAGTTCAGGACCATCTGTGCACGGTTCAGTCCTGGTCTGACATGAGGGATCAGAGACAACAGAGGAGGAGGAGGAGGAGGAGGAGGAGGAGATGGAGGACGGAGGTGGAGCTGTTCCTCTTATGGTGCTGATTTCTCCAACAGGACAACACCAGATCTCCACAAACACCGAACCGTCCTCTTAAAGGACCGATCGTGACCCTGAAAGTTCACACTGAAGATAAACGCAGTCAGCTGATTTCCTCTGAGAAAAATGAAAAGGAAGTAAACAGAAGAAGGAGAAGTTGACGAGTTTAAAATAAAACAGGACTGAAGAAATGAATAAACCAAACACGATCGAAACCTTTGTTCATGTCTCGAAAACCAAAACTGTGTTTCCTGAACTTCACCCGAAACCACCCGGACCAACATCCAGGTTCATCGGAGAGCGTTTGTTTCTTGGTTTCGGCCGCGCTCTCATCATGAGGTTCTACTTCATTATCAGACGTCTCCTCCTTCATGTCTAGACACGGCTTTAGCTGAATGTCAAACTGGGATTTGAGAGCTGAGCTGGAGACCAATTACATACTCGGAGGGTTATCCGTGTTTAATTGTAAAAATGATGTGAAGAAGTGAGGGAGACACTAACGAGTGTTCGGATACAGACACTGTGGGAGCTGATCTGGGATCAGCTGTGAAACGAAACGCTTGATGGTGATCGTGTGGTTAAAGTCCTGAAAGTTAACCTGCTCGTTTGGTTCTGAGTGACTGTTGTGGTCGACGGGATCTATATTCACCAAACATGCAGAAGGATAATCTAGGATTTAGACCGGACCATGATCTGTCTGTTTAGACCAGGGGTCGGCAACCTTAAACACTCAAAGAGCCACTTGGACCAGTTTCCCACAGAAAAGAAAACACAGGGAGCCACAAAACCTCTTTGACATCTAAAATGAAGATAACATTACATATATCTTTTTTTTTTCCTTTATACAAAGTATATAAAAAACTGTAGCGAGTTGCATTTATGAAATAAATGAACTATTTCGGCGAGTGTCTGTCTTCTTCTGTAGTTAAACCGCAAGATATCAAAATCTACCCGGATACAGCAATGCTGCTTTTTGATTGGCTGTTCAGTAGATATACTTTATTTGATTGGCTTGTGCGTGGCACGCAGCTTCTGAACTCTCAGAGGAACTCAGTTGATTTCCCCCAGTCCCATAGTTGAAGAAGTGCAACTTGGTGGACATCACCGTGTTCATTTAAATGCGTGAGAAATACAATGTGTGGTGTGTGAGCGTGTGAATGAGTGGGAATGCGCGTGTCATACGCTGAATGCGTGAGACTTGAGAGCCCTGTGCTCACGCATCATCGATGTACTCCCGAGCCATGCAAAACGGGCTTTGCAAATGTTGCACTGAACGCCTTCCTTTTCAGTCTTGGTGAAGTTTTCCCACACCACTGATGTTTTAGGTCGGGATTTGGGTTGGGTTGTGTCCATGTTTTTCTCAGCCGCTGCCTCGGCCATGGCTGTTTCTTTTCTGTGCGTCCTGCTGATGTTTACACGCCGGTGTCCATGGGCATATATAAAGACCCGACGAATCGATTACAGAATTTGTTGGCAACAAATTTTTTCGTCACAATAAATCGACTTAATCGATTCGTTGTTGCAGCCTTAATAGTTTATTTAATGTTACAAGAGCATTATAATCTTTGAATTTAGAATTACAAAATAATAATAATAAAATAAAATAAAATGCAATTATTATAATATATATACAATATAAGTATTTATTATTTATTTTCCAAATCCATTGGGAGCCGCAGCTTAGGGAAGAAAGAGCCGCATGCGGCTCCAGAGCCGCGGGTTGCCGACCCCTGGTTTAGACCTTGTCTTACACCGGAGTGAACGATGATACACAGATGTGTAAAGATGATGATTAGATTTCATCCTGTGAGTTTTTTTTCCTCCAGTAATTCAGTTTCATGTTCAGGTTTTTAAGAGCAGGATAACTTGGAAGTGTCTGGGCTGGTTTTTAGGCTTTTAAGTATTTGAAGCTGTTCATGTTTGGTCTGACCTCCGAGACAATATGGAGCCGCCGCCGCCGCCACCGCCACCGCCACTGCGGTGAATCGACTCCCTCTGTTTAATGCCTGAGAGGCTGCAGGGCCGCACAGCTCTGAGCTGATTATAAGCATTCACAGTGGATTTATATATATGTGTGTGTGTGTGTGTGTGTGTGTGTGTGTGTGTGTGTGTGTGTGTGTGTGTCGATAGATGCTGCAGTGCACTAATAACTGATTCATGAATCAACAGTTTCCTCTCTTGGTTGAACGGGTCAGAATCCAGTGTGAGAGAGAATACATATGAGAGAATTAACATCCATCCAGGACCCACGAGTCCAGAACTTTCTGAAGAGCTGAGGCGTAAAGCTCGGACTCCAGGATTTCATCAACTCCTCGCGGTTTGAGTTTCCGTGGAGAAATCGTCAATAATTTGCATCCATAGAGAAATCCACCCGCCCACTCGCTCCCGGACCCTCTGTGGGCGAGCAGCAGAAAACTCGTCTTCAAAGAGACTCGATCAATGAGGTCTGACTCCACAGAGGAGATCCTGACCTTTCTGTGGCCCCTGGGGGGGGGGGGGGGCTCACTTAGTTGGCCCCTCAGGCCCCCTTTTCAGAGATGAGCCTGTTAATAGTCAGGGAGCTGAAGTCCAACAAATCAGTTTTTTCTGGACACGTTAAAGGTGTTGTAGTCAGGGTCTGAGTTAGTTCCAGTTTTTAGGAGAAATCTTGAATGTAAACTCTACCCCTCCCAACCAGTTCTCCCCTCAGCTCCTCCTCTCCCTCTCCTAAGCCCCGCCCACAAACAGACGCTCCTGCTCGCTCGTATCGTTCCAGTTAAATTCAGATATAATGCAGATAAATCCTTCAGATCATTACAAATGGGGCCCAGTCAAGGTGAAAGTCAAAAGCATTGGTGCTACTGTAGATGCCAACAGACTACCAGCAAACACAATGTTTGCAGGACTTCTACAACGAGGATAAAGTGACATAGTCCAGGACCCGAGGGAGGACAGTTTAGCGATGGCGCTACAACACGCTACAGCAGGTCCGTTTGACAAGAAACACTTCTGTTACAGACACTTGTCTTACTTTGTTAAAGCGGTTTACCTGTCCAGCAGAAAGGTTACAGGGTCACCAAGATCCCCAAGCGTCCCCCATCGTTTATGTTGACCCGGCTTTTTAGCTCTTGTCCGGTCTACCTCCGTTTTAAGCGCCCGTTATTCCTCCAGAGTCTCCGGTATTTACTTTGTTTTCTCGCTTGTGTCGGCAGTCGTGGCCAAAGGAGGATTCAGACAATTTTCCGAACTTTCTGGTTGGTTTCTACTGTCCGATATTGTAGCACGCTAACTTTGTTTGGGCTCCTGAACGACACGGGGGAGCGGCGTCTGCCTCACAACCAATCAGGTTAGAGGAGGTGGAGAACGGCTTTGTTTACAGTCAGAAAGAGCGGACCGCTCAAAAATGTTCAAATGTTGACGACACAGACATAAGAGAACACAGAGATATCGATATATTACCAAATGTCATCAATAACTAATAACTATTGACTGATATTAAAACCTTTTAAATGCTTCTTTAACAGATTCCTGCCTCCTCCACCTTTAAGTCCGTCTTTAACGCAGGTCAGACAAAGACGGTTCCCTCCGTCTAATCGCCGGTCGCTTTAGTCTGATGAACGTTTGGCGTGCATTAGTATGTATAAAACATCGCTGCCACTTGAACCACTGAGGGATTAAAAAGCTAGAGCGCCGTATGTTCAGCCTAAAGCAGCTGAATTTATAAGAGGCCTTTTAACGCCGATGAAAGAGAGAAGAGGTGGCAGCTTGACTTTAGTATTAATGAAGCGTCTGAAAATACAGCCATCATAAAATCACAGATTTAACTCTAACAGGTGGAGCAGAACCTGAGAGACCTTTTGTTTGAAACGTCCCTCTTACTCGTGGATCCACAGATCTAAAAACGCCGCACAACTTCCTGCTAACAGCTGATAACTTTTGCCCCCCCGCCCTCAGATCACTTTCAGATTTGCCGCTCAAACTTTCAGCTAAATTACATCATCACTCCGGGCGATTTCTCCGACTTCCTGAACCACTAAAGTCCTCTCACAACTTTTCTTTTTTCTCGGTGAGAGCGTTAAACAGACTCTGATGTGTCCAATCGGTGGAGTTCCTCTTTAAGACTAACCCGACGTGGGACTCATTTTAAAATGTAAAAGCACATGTACGGATCAGAGACCGTTCACAACAACACATCATAGAACTCTGAGAATCTCATCATTACAACATTTATTTCCAGGAACCTTTAAAATGTTCATTAGAAACAGACTTTGATTGTTTGAAAATCACTAAAACCTTCGATTTCCTTAAAAAAAACTGCATGTACAACATTCATTAACATTAAAACTGTTGTAAATTTTTTATGACTTCAAGTAGATTTTTGGTTTTATGAGTATATTCACATTTATCTCCTGCAACATGCAGACCATGATGATGAAGTCCAATAAAAAGGCAAAGACAGCACCTTTTCAAATGTAAATGTACAATAATGAGAATATCATCCTTCCTTTAAAGTATTCTCAGCATTTCCTTCATCAAACATCTACTCTGTGTGTATCTACACTTGTCTCCGGTCTACGTCAGCACTCCTCTATCTCTGATCTACTTTAAGAGCTTTAACCGCTGACAATAAAACTGTAAACACTCGTTTGGACTTTTGGCTCCGACAGTCCTGTTGTGTGAAATCATAAATCTCTCAGTGAACTTCCTCCTCCTCCCCGCAGACACAAACAGAATCTATTCTGGACACCTGATAGAGTCAGATTCACAAAACAAAACCAGCCGCAGTTAAACCTCTGAGAGTCGACTCTGAGCGTCTCCATGTCGAACCGCTGATGACTGATCCTTTACAAATCGTGTTTCCACTGCATGGTCACCAAATAGAATAACAGCAGTGTGTCTCCTATGGCATGTCCCCCAAAGAAACAACTGCTGCAGATCTATATTTGTCCCACAGGCCGCTGACAGAGGGCGCGGACCCTTCTGTCAGGCACAGCAGGGTGAGGGGGGGAGGGGCACCTGTCACTGCGGCGTTATTACGGCTCGAGGATGATGATGTGCTAAAGAAGAGGGAGAGAGGGAGGGAGGGAGGGAGGGAGGAAACCAGGAGGGAATTAAAATGCACAGACGCACCGAGGGTGGGAATGGACTGGTACCACGGTGTCAGAGCCAGAAATAACTCGGTGTACCGGACTCACACTCTGACTAACGCCAAATACTGATCTGACTCTCTGTCATCTGATCCCATGAACGGACCACATCCAGAAATCTGCTCCTCCATCTTTGAACCATCTCGAAGTTTTCGAGGCGCCCAGATCTGAAAACATTAACTCTACAAACGCTCGTCCTGCTGGATCAGGGAAACCCGGGGAACCGCCAAGCAAGCAAAACCATGTGGATGGTCACATGGGACCGGACTATCGCCAAGCCGACAGACTCACAGTCATGGCGAGAGCAGGGAACGGGAAGGATGGACGTCAAAAACCAACGTGTGTTTTATCAACGATGTATTATGAATATAAACCACATTTAAAAGAACAGAGAGGAGCAGGACTGATGTGATCGGTTAATTATAACATTAACTCATCAATTTTATAATTAACATCAGGGAATTATAACTGTTTTGTAAACTTTTATAAAGTTTTTTTTAGTTTTAAATAGTTTTTAGCATTAAATAGTTCAAATAGCTTTAAGTAGTTTTTAAATAGTTGTAAATAGTTTTTTTTAAATAGTTTTAAACAATCTTAAACAGTTTTAAATAGTTGTAAATAGTTTTTTAAAATAGTTTTGAAAGGTTTTAAACAGTTTTAAATAGTTGTAAATAGTTTTTTTTAAATAGTTTTAAACAATCTTAAACAGTTTTAAATAGTTGTAAATAGTTTTTTTTAAATAGTTTTAAACAATCTTAAACAGTTTTAAATAGTTGTAAATAGTTTTCTTGAAGCTATGACATGAATAAAAATGGATCTCCTGTTGTGATCACAGAATAAATGAAACTTTTACAACTTCAATAGTTTATCGATCATGTTTTGCTTTTTGAGTGTCTTTGTAAAAATGTTGAAAACTTACATTAAAATCAGTTTGATAAAAAAGCACATAACCATAAATGATATGTCCTGTAATAGGATCATGTGTTCAGTCCTTTCACTCAGACACAAACATCTACAGCTGCAGAGTGAAGTTCTGAGTGGATTCACTGATGAAGGTCTTCCTCTGATTTGGTCCTTCATACATGTGAAGGTCTTTTACTGTCTTTAACTTGTTTTTGTTGAAAATTAACATCAGTGAAACAAAGATTGAGTGGTCTGTAACACCGTTTAAGTTCTTCGAGAGATTAATTTACCGTCCACTATAGAGCTACAGGTGTAGATGCTGAAATATCTGCCTCTCTGTTCTGAACATTTTCTAGGTGAAGATTTCGGTGTTGAGACTCGTGTGCATGTGAACATTTTATGGTCATTTCTCAGATCATGTGACTGACTGACTTTTATTCGTAAACTCTCTGCAGTTTCTGTGTTTAAACTCTATTTATTTCAGCTCTAGTCCGTCAGCCTATCAGAGCAGGTTTCTCATTCAGAGCCGGTTTGGATCACAAAGACAAAATCTCGTTTTTTAATTGTTCAAACCGACAGATAGAAACGATTCGCTCATTATCCTCAGATCACACCTTTCCTCACACGTCTGAACGTCTGCTGAGGGTCGTGTGAAAACTCCTTCATCATCCTCAGATTCTCACTTTTATCAGATCAGGTTTTTTTACACCCTCTCTCTCTCTCTCTCTCTCTCTTTTTCTGCGCCTGATACCAGAAACAGTGAAAGGAAAGAAGAAGAGCAGCGGGTCAAAGACTCGTGTTACCTTTGAGAGCGAGGGGAGAGGAAACGGAGGGTGGGAGTCTGAGAGTGAGGAGTGCTCTACTTCATCAGAGAGGCGAGGAATCCTTCCATCTTGTTTCCTGTGAAACGGAGAGAGAGAGAGAGAGAGAGAGAGAGAGAGAGAGAGAGAGAGAGGGTTATGGCTGGCCTGCAGCTCTGTTTCCCATCTCCCCGACCACAGAAACATGTCTGTAACACGATTGACTCATCCATTCAAGAGGATCATTACACTCTTACGAGAAATGAGAGGGCCGCTATTATTTCTCCACAAACTTCCTGTTCTCTCTGTGCGCCGTTTTCACCTCCGTGGCGGCGAGGCTGAAGGCTACGGGATGATCAGAGGCCACAGAGTCAAACAGCAAAGATCAGGAGAGCTGCGGAGAGGGAGAGCGGCGTGCAGACAGCAGGAAGAACAAAGTGACAATTGATAGGAAGCAGAAGAAGAAAAGGACCCTCAGCTTTCATCTCTCAGCCCGCTGCCCTCGCCTCTTCATGCCTCTGCTCCTCTCTGCCCCTTCCCTCGCCTCCTCCTCCTCCTCCTCGCCTCCTCTCTGTGTGATAGGAGTGTATTACCAGTCTGACCAGGATTCATATTACTTCACACTTTGTCTCACACAACACTGGCAGCCCGTCTGTGCGTGCAACCTGTCCCCCGACCTGCAGCGGCGTTTTCAGACGCACAACAACGGAGGGAGGATTGGTGGAACAGCAGACATGTCAGAAAATAAAGTTATCATTTCACTCAGCTGACTTCAATCTTGTTCAGATGTGGCGCTGACCGACAGGTGATGTGAAGTAATGTGAGTGAGAGTGGATCAGGCTGCAGGGCGAGGGTGATGGACGGGAAAACAAACACTGAACTTTAGACAGGAGACTTTATGGTCTCCATGGGGACCAGCTTCTGCAGGGAGGGGGGTAAAAGAGGAGGTGCACGCAGAAACTAAAAGACGAATCCTTTCACTTTGTTAGTGTCTGTCCCAGAAAAACGGTGAAAAGGTGACGCTCACACTTAGAGGTCAGCTGGAGTCTACTATGAGTGAGTGAATCTGCTGGGTGGTCTCCGACAAGTTATAAAGGAGGTTCACTCTGGACTGAGTCACAGGGAGGACTCTGCTGCTTTTACTGGCTTTACATATATGGAAATAAACATGAAAACAGCAAAGGTCACAAATGAATTCTCCTCATTTACAGGAAGTTTATGGTTTGACACGTTCTTTAAATCAAATCAGTGAAACGTTGAGAAAAGCCTTCAGCTCTGTACGTCTGGAAACAAACAGCTCCTCTGTGTCTCAGTGCAGCAGCTCTCTCTAAGTGCATGATCTGATAAATTATTCAATTATTACTTGAGAAATTAAATTTTAATTTGTTGTGTTTTATTGTTGGTAAATGACGGTTATTAGGCATGTACGGCTGTTCAGCACTTCATGAAAATATTCACAACAACCGGAGTTTTGGGAGGAGGAACCGTTTCAACCCAAAATTTAAGTTAATATCTCAGTTTATAATACTGCAGCATATTCCAATATGACTGATTTAAAAACAGGCCCCACCCCTGACAAGGCCACAGCCAATCATGATCAAGAATGGATTAGGGGCGGTACCGAAGTAGCCAATCTTAAAGCAGATGCTGAATTAGTTACATAATTGGTGCAGAAGTCACTAACATGGTTTTGGTGAGCGAGCAGAGTACAAGTCCTGATGTGGGCCAGGGGAGTGCTGGTGCAACTTCTGATACGATACCGATATTGATCCGATATTGGCACAAACGGACTGCTTGTATCAGAGATTTTAGATGCAGGCCGATATAATCCGATATTTGTTTTTCTTCTGGTATCTGACATCAATATCAGGACGTCCCTAATGTAAGCCTTATCCTTTGTTTAAATCTTTATAGATATATTGTTGTAACTCGGCGGCTTTATCATCAGTCAAACTGAGCGTCTGTGTTTCTGTTTTGACCTGCGTGTTTTTCCCACTTCAGCTGCAGAAGCTCTACTGTCCTCTCTCTAAACTCAGGGCTGCAGACCGAGCTGCCACATTCGACATGTTTTGAGTGAAAGCATGTAGGCACACTCACATAATCTCACCTCTCAATCATCTTGGCACTCTCTGCAGAGCTTTAAAGGTAGAGAGACGAAGATTCAATCACTTACAGGAACTCTTCCTCTGCAGACAGTCCATTACCAGATATTGCAGCTGCTCCGGTCTGAAAGTGCCTCGTCTATCCAACAACTATGGGGAATCTTTAAGTCTGAGTAAACAGAGCTGCTCTTTCCTGACAACAACCTGCTGACCTGAAGCTGAGGTCCGTAAATCTGTTTGTAACAGAAACACCGATGCTCTTTGTTGCCTCCGTTCCTCGCTGAATCCTAAATAGACTCGGTAAAGCCGTCTGGTCTTCCTCGCAGCTTCCTCAGCCTCTCAGAAATGATGTTTCTCAGTCGGATGGTTTATGTTATACCTTTCATTCAGAGCAGCAGGATCACGCTGATAATATAACGTCAGATGTTGCCTTGAGCTGAGAAGGATGCTTTAAAATCAGCCTTTAGAAACAGTCGTACTTGGCCTCTTCATTCTGAAACCTCACCTACCTCCATTAAACGATTATCAGCCCACACAGTCAGACACGGTCCTGATGGTATGTGACATATGTGAGTATGTGCAGAGAAGAAGAACAGAAAAAAACATGTGCAACAAGAATTCTGAGAGGAGAAGAAGAAGAAGTTTTCACCGGGATGTTTTAGAAATATGAAGCTGAAGCACTAAAACTGCAGTTCCTTGAGTGTCCACTTGAGGCTGACTCCAAAAACACACTCATTCTGAACAGCTCATATTTACAGTAAACATGTTAGCAGCATCGATAAAGACTCTGCCGAGCTCTTCAGTCTGAGAGGAGCTGCTGCAGGTTCAGTTTTTGGTGCAGCAGGTGCGTCAGGCATCTTTAGTCTCTCATAACAGAGTTTGGCGTGTTTCATCTTTAGGAGGAGGAAGAGGTTGTTGGTGTTTCCTCCTCCAACAACGACAGACACACCACACTCTTTACATAGTTTTGTTTCTTGATCATCGTTGGATTTTCTAAATCCGAAGAATCTCCAGACGACTGATGTCGCGACTTGCGCCCTTTTTTTAGAACGAGTTCCTCCTCCTCTTCCTCGTGTTGGGTGGGTCTGCCTCCATTTGTTTGGTACCGCCACTAATCTCCACGTCCGCCATGACCACCACCAGTCAAGCTGTTTCTTCTTTGTCTAAACTATGCCAAGCAGTCTGCTGGACATGCTGGTGATTATAGGGAGCGCACCCAAACCTGACCAATCAAACGGAGCGAACAAACGCCACATGACACACTGGTGAAGATACGGAAACACACCCAAACTGACGCACTCGGGCTTTCCTGTTAGTGAGCGCAGACAGCTACACACTTTTATACCGTCACATGGTATATACCGTCATACCGCCCAACACTACCACCAGGTAAAAGTCAGTCATCGGTATCAGCTGGAAAAGATGGATTTTGTGGATCCCTCGCCTCAATGATCGGTCAAACCAGCCGTGCTAACATCTATGAAGAAAAATACTTTCAAATGAACTCAGAGAAGTTACTGTAACTCCTTCAAAGAGGGTTCAACCCAAGGATATTAAGAAGACTAGATACACCGGCGCACTGTGGCAGCCCGTAAAGAAACATGCCAACATGGCAGCCATCTTGGTGAGGGCAACTTTCCCATTAAAGGAATTGTAATTGCATTGAAAATAACTCGTTTTTTCAAGTGATTTTCATGCGTTTTACCTTCTTTTCAACACCAAAACATGTGCCATTATTATAAAACATTAGATTAAACATTTGGGTAAGTAATGATTTAACTTCAAAGTACTGGAACGACGCCCCCAGCTGAACTGTTCTGACTTTACCACTTTAATGATGGTCACAAACTCAACTAGTCAACTTATACATTTTTGTCATAGAAACAGTGCCACCTATTGGACATGAGTGGTATTGAATTGCATTATAAGTGTTGAAATACGTTGAAATTTTCACAGATTCTTGAATTGACTTCATGAAGACTCCTGCAGAGATAACTTGGTTGGAGTCAAAGCTTGACCCCTGCTGCTTTAGTTCGCCTGGACCACAGATTCAGGACAAATACACCGACGCAGACACACTGGTGATATCTTTTCACTGCATATTTTAAAGGAGAAAATTAACAGTCAGGGCCGCTCTCTGAACATTCATTTGATGTCTTCACACATAAAAGAGTATTCGTCTAAATCCATGTTTCTTTCATGGTGTGTTTCCCTCTGTACAGACGCTGTAAATCACCTTCACACTTCTTTAGCATGCAGAGAACAGAGCCAAACCTCCCTGGTGCCACTTTGTGAACCCTAATGAAAGGAGAAGCACAAAGGTGCAAATCAATCTTGATTAGGAGACTCTGCAGACAGAGAGATGACGGCTGCTTGACAGCCTGCCACTTTCACTACCGCTGGCATGCTTGGTGGCTCTCATCACGGGAGATGAATACATTTATGTGATGTTTGTGTGTGTGTGTGTGTGTGTTTGTGTGTTTATACCGTCTCTGAATTAATTTACAGGGCAGATCCTGGTGCAGCGTAAATGTTAAGCTTGACTCAGAGATTTCAGTTTGGCATATTGTGACGAACACAGCGAGCGCACGTTATCAAATACCAGCATCCTGACATACGACATGATGATACTGTGTGATATGGATTTATTAAGCCTCATATAAAAGGGTTATTTTCACTGAATCATCTTCCTCCGTGGAGACACAGAGAAAAACTGGAGCAGTGGAATCATGATGGGCAAAAATGAAAAGATAAAAAAATCTGCTGGTTTCCAAAACTTTTGTTTTCATTGAATGGAACCTGCTCAACAACAGCAAAAATATTCTTTCTCTTCCTATTATCAGGAATAAAAACTGCACAAATAATGAGCTGGAAGAATTTGGGATGGGAATTAAAAACTGGTTCCAGATCAGAACTTAATCAGATGAGTTTGAACCATCTGCATCATTTGTCTTTATGTTCGATAGATTCCTCATCTTCGTCCTTTAACATCGATCTATGAGCCTTCGAAAACAATGATACATCAGTTCATAAGAGGCTGTCCTGCAGAAGACAGGAGCGGCTCAAATTACTCTCATTTACATCTAAATATTATTGATCTTACATGATCAGCTCTAAAAACAGAGCAGCACAAAACTCTGATTTACAGTAAAATCCACTCACTTCGTGAGACCGACAGATTCCAACATCCAACCCGTCTATGGGGAAAGTAATCTGTGATGATTTAAATCTGTTTCAGTTTCATTTCTGTTGTTAGCCAACCATCTTTGTTGTGTTCTGTTGACCAATCAACGGATGTATCACTGACCAGCTGACCTTTAACGGTCCAATCAGAGGCCATGCTTCAGCATCTCAGCAGGACAGGTAATAAAAACCACAGTACCCACAGTGGTGTCGCTGAAAACTTCAATGGATCATCTTTTTCTCCTTACCCTCAAGTTCCACCACATCTGGAATGGCAGCAATTTTTGCCGTCCGCCGATTCTGACCAGATATGTTTGTGAGGTGAATTCCATGGCGGATTTCTGACAGCAGGAATCGCAACTCACATGCAATCACACGATGCTGGGTCGTCTCTCTAAAGACAGACACATAGACATATAAGCAGTAGATTGTGTCCTTCCAGAGGAGGAAATCTACTTCTAGACTTCTAGAATCAGCATCTCCTCATCCATGGTGTCATCGGGGTGAAATGACGTCTAAAAACCTTTCACTTGTTCGTCTCCGCCCGTTTGCATGGTGTGAAATACGATCCTCCTGAAACACGGAGTGTTTTATTTTGAAAAGAAGCCGGATGTTTTATTTTGTGTCTGTGCCCGACTTCCTTTCCAGCACGGGTTAATCTGTGCTGAATTTATCCGGTTATGATCGGCTGTGAAACCCGCTGAACCGCAGGGGGCCGGGAAGAAGCCGGTGGAAATTGACGTGTGGACTTGAATGGTTACGATCATCTTTTCACTGTGGAAGTTGTAGGTTAGAGGATATCTACAGGAAGTGATCATGAATTGGATCAATAAGTGGATCCAATAGTGTTGTAGGTATCAATAAAGTCTTATCAGTCATCATCCTGAGTAGGGGTCACTGTGGTTCACACTAATGAGGTCTGGACCTGCAGTCTGGACCCGGGTCAGGCCTGTGAGCAGCAGCCAGGTGTTGGGGTCACAGAGTCAGACTGATGGGATGATTGACACTCTGGAGGCTCATAACAAGCAGCACTTCTCCACCCAACCTTCACTCTGAGTGAGGAGGCTTCACGCCCGGCTCTCCACACATCACCTCAGGTGAAAGGTTCCTCTCCAGTCACAGCTGATTAACCACTTTAAATCTGCTAAACGCAGAGCAGCCAGGAGAGGAGAAGAAGAAGAAGAAGAGGAGGAGGGGTATCTGTGACTTCAGCGTTCACCAAAGGTTTGATCATCTGCATCTCCAACATTTTAGGATTATCTCTCTCTGATTAATCATTCATCCTCTCTCTGTGGACGAGTTATTTTGTCTGCAGTTGTACAAACGTGTCACCTAGCAACATCACCTTTTACAGAAACATGTACTATCAGAAAACCAACCCAAAAACTAACCCTACAGAAGGACGATGGGAGAGAAAACCGCACCGCCAGAGTCATGAGTCACCCTAATGGAAATGTAATTTTTCTGGAGACAGAGCGGTTTATTTTTCCTGAAGGATGAGCTCCGAGAGTCCAAGAATACCATTTGACTCTGTGCTGAATAATACATACACATCACATTATGCTGATGAAAGATATTATCAGGCCATCCACGGCGGGCGGAGGTGAATGTTAATCTTCACTCGTCATATGAAAAAAAAAAACCCTGAAACATTACTTTAAGTAGAAATGACAAGAATATGTATTTTTATGTGTTTCAGCTCCTCATCCCACTCCTGATCCCCTCTGGAGACCAAAATAGCCGACTCTAACGTGCTCACATGAAGCACTAGAGCAGACAACAATCTGTCAGGGACAAACGGTGAACTACGTCAGCGCACCGTGAGCCAAACTCCAAAATAACCGGTCTTCACCTTGAAGGCCTTCTCCTCCGGTCAAATCAGATGTTCTTGTGTTGAATTCAGACGGTTTTAGTCTTCTGAAGCAAAATACGTCAATGAACTGACCTCCGCAGACGGATGGGACAAAAAAGAGACGAACGTTTATGAAGTAAAGATTAAAAACGAGAGACTGAAAAGATCAGACTCAGCAGATGTAGCTCTGAGGCTGAACATCATGTATCACCAACACAGTCTGTTTACAGCGACTAGATAGACACATCACTGCACCCCCACATCCTTATGATGAGAGGAGACCAAGTTCTGAAGACCCCAAAACCCTGACCCCCCATCCCAACAACAGGAGGGTCCTAAAATGTTCTGGTCCTTAAACTGCAGCCTCCGGCTCTGCAGAGACATAAAAAACTTCAACATAAACCAGACTGAACTTTGGGATGAGAGTCATGATCATTCCTCTGACTGTGAACGTCGACTCTAAACCGACACCAGAACCGGTCCTGCTGTAGACCAGCTGGAGGGGTCTCTGCTGAGTCATCATCAGGGTTAAATGTGTGTTCTGGTTTGTAAAGGGACAGGACATCAGGATCACGGCTGATAACAGATCTGATAACAGATCTGATAACAGATCTGATAACAGATCTGATAACAGATCTCAGCACCTGTACTTTTACTCGGATACTTTAGTGCATGAGTGTAAACTCACGGCTCAGAGTTCAGAGGGTCCTGATCGGTCCAATATGGTCAAGGTTTGGTTAGTTTAGTCTTTAATCGATATGATAGTCCTCAATCTATCAACTGCAGGATGTGTGGTCTTATATAAGACATGTTGGAAATGAAGATCTTTGGAGCGGAGACAAAAACTGCAGCTCCATCTTTAGTTTTCTGGCAAAACGAAGCAGCTGAGCTGCCAAAGACCCGAGAGCTGCTCCTGCCAACCAACCAACCGACCGACCGGGGCTGCAGTTTTCATTCATCAGAGAGAGAGAGAGAGAGAGAGAGAGAGAGAGAGAGAGAGAGAGAGAGAGAGAGAGAGAGAGAGAGAGAGAGAGAGAGAGAAGGGGGAGCGAGAGAGAGAGAGAGAGAAGAGAGAGAGAGAAGAGAGAGAGAGCGAGAGAGAGAGAGAGAGAGAGAGAGAGAGAGAGAGACAGAGAGAGACAGAGAGAGAGAGAGAGCGAAAGGGGGAGCGAGAGAGAGAGAGAGAGAGAGAGAGAGAGAGAGAGAGAGAGAGAGAGAGAGAGACAGAGAGAGACAGAGAGAGAGAGAGAGCGAAAGGGGGAGCGAGAGAGAGAGAGAGAGAGAGAGAGAGAGAGAGAGAGAGAGAGAGAGAGAGAGAGAGAGAGAGAGAGAGAGAGAGAGAGAGAGAGAGAGAGAGAGAGAGAGAGACAGCAGCTCTAGTATTGAACACGACCAGCATCATCACAGAGTTAAAGTCACTGACTGTGAGGGTTATACGGTCAGATATTCGTCTTTATTGTAAAATTATCTTTGTGTAAAAGTTAAAGTTGAAACTTTGTCTTAAATTTATGTGAAAATGCGTTCATGTAGAAACATAAACATTTGCTCTAAAACACGAGTGTTCGCATCGTAGAAGTCCAAAACCTTAAAAATAGGCCCTGGTTTCTCCAAAAAGATATCCACATCACCAAAATGTTCTCCTGACCTTTGACCTTTGACCACAGTTATACTCACACTTCATCTTTGGAGGATATTCCTTCCAGGTATCTCACAAGTTACTGTTTCACATGGACGCCACACTAAAGGTGACCTTTGACCTTTTATATCTTGTCATGTTTTTTTTTTTTAATGGTGTCCATTTTGGTTCACGGTTGGTGTTTCTCATCCTTTGACCTCTGACCTCTAAATCTTAATCAGGTGGGTGTTTTTCTGCCTAATCTGCAGATATTCCCCGCAGGCGTTCCTGAGACGGTGTGTTTCCAAGAGACGAACAAAAACTCAAAAACACCAAAATCATAGAAAATCAGATTTTTCTCATCATGAGGGGAAAATAACAAACAGCAGCAGCTGTGTGCTGCCATGTGGTCTGTTCTGAATATTGTTCTGACTCAGACCGAGTCATTAGAAATTCTCCTTGGCGTTCAAATGAACAACAAAAGTGCTGTTTTATTTCAAGAGAGGCGTGCACAGTGCCTCACATACGTCAGGTTTTGACTGTAAAGCTTGTTAGTTCGGTACAACTTTATAAAATAATCTGATAATAATATTAAATTTGATAAACAAATTAACAAGTTTGGGGATAAAAAGCAGGAGTGAGCTTCATATCAGGCCTGACAGCTCTGCACAGAGTCAATACAAGCTTTTATAACCACGGCTGCAGAGTCAGATAACTGATCTGCTGAGAAAAACAACATCATCATGAAGATAAAGTATTATGGGGTTAATACAAAGGCCTCAGCAAAAACCCACAATAGCTCTAGTAAATAAGGTTGACCCCGGGCTAAATACAGGCTGAACATGAACCGCGTGCCAGCTCCACAGATGCCCTGGCAAACAAAAGAGAGCCCGAGGCAGGAAGAGCGAGATATCAGAGGACTGGATGGAAGAGTAACCTCGGCTAATCGTGGTGGACTAACTTAGTCCATTACAGCTTTAGCAGAGGCTTTAGCAGACGACTCCATCCAGCAGGAAAACCTGAGGGCGGATTACAAGTGTTATCCATGTCCTCGTGACTCGCAAATAATTCAAGAAGCAATTTACGAGAACGGCCGTACTCACACATATCAGCTGATAGAGCGGCGCTGGAATGATCCACACTCTTCTTTCTAATCAGCCAACAGACGACTGTTGTTGTTGTTCATGAAGATTTCCCTGAAAACGCCGAAATAAAGCGGCTCTGCCTTTTTTAAAACCTGAACCAAACAGAACCGACTCTTTGTTAAAGTCCAGATAACCTACAGTCTAGATGCTTCAGTCCTGCCAGCTCGCACAGTTCCACAGATGTCACTCCAGCTTTTTTATGGATTAAATACTAAAACAACCAATTCTGACTTCATCCTGTCTTTGCAAACCACAGGGATAAACCATTTTCTTCTTCTTCTTTGTGCAGAGTTTTATAATCACAACATTAAGTGTCTTTGTAAAACAGTTTGAGCTGAATCCTTTTACGTTTTTGTGTAAAACAGCTGATTAGAAACTGAAATTTCAGTGGAGGATAAAGTTTATGAAATTATAGATCTGAGTTTGATGTCAGTCTGAAATCATTTTCACCATCCTGGCATCTGAACTCCAGTATCTGTCCGACCAACGGCCTCTCTGACACCAGCGCTCATAAATGTGAACTAACTATCACTGCAAAACCGCTGATTCTGCACATTTTGTTACTGCACTGTTTTTATTCCATCACCCAATGATCATCGACTCGTGGTCAGGGCTGCCAACAGTGTTTCTTTGGTGATTGATCGCTGGAGTCTAACAAGCCGCGGGGAAGAAAACATGTCGAGACCAGCGCTGAAACAAACGAGCTTTCTGAGGACTGAAAACTGTCCACCTTTGAGACCCTTAGAGAGGCTTCCCCGGGGTCTCAGAGGGGCCAAGGTGACCAGGATTATAACATCACTACAGAGGAGCACCTGAGAAAAACAGACGTCTCTTTTGGTTCTGGATAACTGTTTAAACTGTTTGTTAATAACTGTTTGGTCTGTTTAAAATTCCATTATTTTTATCTGACTAAAAACGTCAGTCTGTTGGAGTTTCTTCTTCTGTTTCAGATCATCTGATTTTACCAAATTAACTTATTTCTGTTGTTTTGCTTGAGGGTGAATGTAGAATTAGTGTCGTTATTATTGTCATTTATTCCTTATTTTGACGGTTTGGTCGTTTGCCCCAGGTGGACAGGTAAGACAGGATGGGCGAACACCTGGGAAGGTAGAATGTTTTTTTTTATCCTGGGAGGACGTCTGATAGTTTGTCACATTTTATTCGAAGTTTGTCTGATACTTCGTACAATCTGCTCTCTTCTCTTATGGTTTGATTTTAAGTTTTTATTTTGGTTTATTGACACGATCAAACTGAAACTATAAAGTCTGTATTAACGATAAAAGTAACCCTAACCACTAACTTCATGTGGAAATCTAGTAAATGTCATGTAATGTACTTTGGCGTCCCCACTTTGAGATTCATTGTTGAAATAATCACTGCACTTCTGCACCTGGAGGTCGGACTGGAAAACGTCCAATCAGAGTCGAGCTGGTGTGCAGTTACTCCAAAATAACTCTGACAAACAGTGATTTCATGACATGGAGCACGAGTCCCAGACTGTTTGTTCCTTTAGTCACATAAACATGAAACTGAAGTTCTCACTGCAGCACAGAGACGTGACACACCTATAGATGTCCCACCTCAGGTTTACGGTCATTTTCACCCTCCAAACTCAAACTCTGCTGACGTCTGTGACGTGGTTTCCCGCTGACATCAGCCTGGTTGATGTACTTTGGTGATATTTCCATTTTCGACCACTCACATGAGCATTCTGGGAGTTTTTTTTTTTAAAGTTGAACGTGCCATTCACAAGAGCAGCCGTGTTATTTTTCCATCACGGCAGCAGCAGGAGTGACGGCTTAACTACGGTGTGCCAAAAGGGACAAAGAAAGGCGTACAATTCAGGGAGAAATGATGGTGTCAGAGCGGCGCAGGAGCGGAGAAACTCAGAGCAACATTTCAGGTGGGAAGAAAAACCTCCTCGTACTCGAGCTGCACGATTTTATCCTCAAATAAAATCCAGATTTTTTTCTCTGAAAACTCAATTTTAGATTTTTTCTTCAGTGACAACTTCACCGAACTTTACTTCAGAAATAAAACCTTTTTTTTTTATCATCTCTCGAAACCAAACCGCTTAAAACGATGTAGTGCATATGCCAAGCCAGTAAGTGGCGCTGTAACTCTAAACAGGAAATGCACAAAAAACAGAAGAAGAGTACAGAGCATGTGTAGAAAGGTTGTTTCGGCGCCATAAAAGAGTTCCTCTGTGTGTCACATGATCGTTTCCAGAGATGCAGATAGACATCCACACGGAGATGAAATGGTCGTTGTTTACAAATTTATTCACTCTCTGACCCGTTTACAAAAAGTACCGTTTACAGTCACCTGAAACGCCGATACGACAAAAAACTTCAGCGTTTCCTCCTGAATTCGTTTCCATGGTGACGGGTTGATACCGCCTTCAGACTGACTTTACAGCGGGGAGTGGTTTACTCTTCATCTGAAACTGTGAAGTCGTACCAATTCAACACGACTGACTCGCTCTTGTCCTATTTAACCACGAAATTATCGCCTTCTTCTGCAAACGCCATGTTTGTTTACACTGGTGTGTGTGGGGAGGAGGAGCCTACGGTGGCCTGGAGGTGTGAGACATGATAGAGAGGAAAATTGATTTGAGGATTTTGATGTTTTTTAACATCTTCATGATCAAATAAACTGATTTAAAATGGATTTCTCGCGCGGCCCGACCTCACACTGGTTTCTGTAAGAAGTGTTTGTGCAGGTAAAGAGAATTCACTGTCAACATTATTTACAACAGCATCTCCAGAGCAGAATACTAACAATCATCCGGCGGTTCGACTCTCTCTTTTTAGTCAGCTACTTTTCTTTTAAGTCAAGATGAACCTGAAGTGTTTGGAGAAATCTGTCAACATGATTAAGAAAACTCTGAACTTCAGCGAGTCTTCAAAAGAGCGAGCTGAAGAACAGGGAACGGCTCCAACTCTCAGGTTTTCTCTCCTTATTTGAACCCGGTTTAATGGTGTAAAACTGATTCTTCTCCCATTATATCAGGTCATCATCGTTAAGCTGTTCCCATCAGTGTTATTACAGCCATCATCATCATAACCATGACGGGGCGGCGTCTTGATCATTGTTGAAGAGGGAAATCTTATCGCTCCACTAAGACAGACACTGAGTGGACATGAGGAGCTCTGTGAGAGGACCCCTGTGGGTTCAGAACTTCTTCATCATCATCATCATCATCTTGGTTTGTGGACCATATATGGAGCGTGGATGAAAAGAGGTTCTCAGAGCTCTCCATCATGGTTTCCATTATAGAGACATTTCAATCACAGCTGCCATGTTATACTGGGACATACTGGGAATATGAAGAACTGGGCCCATTAAAGACCTGATACACCCGTAAATCTATGACCTTTGACCCTGATAGAGTCCTGAGGGTCCCGTAAAGTCATGTCATGTTCATTAAATAAACGGACGCACATCAGTAGACTGTCTGATCAAGTGTTGAGCAGCAGGTACCTAAAAAAAGGACAAAGAAGAGTTTTGGATCAAACCGAGTCAGAGGACCTGCAGCTGGTCGAGGTGATAAAGTTGACCTCTGAACTATTCAGCTGACTAACCGAGTGACAGACGACGACATTACGGGGCGTTTGAGGTCGGGTCGGTGAAACAAGAATTAGTTCAAAGCAGATTTTATAGTAACATGATGAGTTTAAATAAAGTCGTGTGAAATAAAACATTAAATTAGTCAATGATCCCCATCTCTGCCCGACTGTGGTGGCGGCCATATTGGAAATGCTGACTGACCCCCAATTTCCACAAAAAGTTTGTGTGATAGCTGATCGTGACCGTTCAAGTTAACGTGTCAATTTCCACCGGCTTCATTTCAAAATAAAACATCCGGCTTCTTTTCAAAATAAAACACTCCGTGTTTCAGGAGGATCGTATTTCACACCATCCAAACGGGCGGAGACGAACAAGTGAAAGGTTTTTAGACGTCATTTCACCCCGATGACACCATGGATGAGGAGATGCTGATTCTAGAAGTCTAGAAGTAGATTTCCTCCTCTGGAAGGACACAATCTACTGCTTATATGTCTATGTGTCTGTCTTTATAGAGACAACTCGTTATTGTGTGATTGAACATGGATCCACGGGTTCTTGTGAGTTCTCGCTTTACCGCTGTTCGGTAGGAATTGGTGGACGGCGAAAATCACCACCGTTCAGGATTGGAGCTGTTTCCGGATGCGGTGGAAATTGAGGGTTAAACTTTCTGTTGACCCACTCAGAGGTTGAGTTGGAGCAGACTTCTTCAGTCCTCGCCAACAGCTACAGTGCGCCCACTTGAACTGTATAAATATTCACCTCCTGTGGGGTGCGTGAATAAAGAAATGGGCTATTCGGACATGAGTCGCCCCCTGTTGGCTGTCACAAATATTGCAGGTTTAGCTTCACCCTTCAAACCCGGTCCAGTTTTCAAACACAGTCCACGTTAAAGAGAGAATCACAAACTTCACAGACGCTCTGGCGGCACATTTTCTTCTCCATAACCGCTAACCCAACAATCCTGAGACAGTCGACCGACTGAGAGTGAAGCTCCGAGCTCCCTGAGACTGGAATTAGATTTCACAATTCATCTTCACTGGAGCAGCAGCAGCAGCTCCAGGTTCGGCTTTTCAATCGGATTGTAGATTAAATTCCTGCTCCGGGTGTGAGTTTGGAAAAATTCACAAATACCGCTCCAGAAAAAAAGAAAAGAAAAATCTGAATCATACTTTTTCTTTTTTCCTTCTGGAGTAATGTCCTGCTCGGCTGCATCTCCCCTTCCCATCTACTACAACACACACACACACACACACACACACACACACACACACACACACACACACACTGAAACACACTCAGAGTCCGAAAGAGACGAGCGCTCGTGAACCCCTGAGCTTTGCAGGACCACTTAGAGGAGAGCAGCTAATCTAATCAAGAAGAGCAGCTAATGTACAACGAAAGCAGAGTCAGTTAGTGGAGATGCCAATCCACCACTTCCTGAAGGAAAACAGAGAGAGAGAGAGAGAGGGAGAGAGAGAGAGAGAGAGGGAAGGATGCACAGAGAAAGTTCTGGTTCTGAACATGCACACCAGTTTCCCTCCCTTGTCTCTCTGTCTATCTTCTTCTTCTTCTTCTCCTCCTCCAGCAGCTTCTACACCTTCATCATCATCATCATCATCATCATCTCGATCTGATCTTACCTGTCGGCAGAGCTCCTCAACAACTTGCTGCTCCTCTCTGTATCGCTCCCTCTGTGTGTCTGACTCAGTCTCCTCTCTTCTCTCCAACACCTGCTCTCTCTCTCTCTCTCTCCCTCTCCCTCTCTCTCTGTCTCTCTCTCTCTCTCTCTCTCTCTCGTCAGATGATGCTCAGTCGCCCTCCCTCCCTCTCTCCTACTGTTTCCTTCTCCTCTATCTCTCTCTCTTCCTCTTTTTCTCACATTTGTGCGTTAACAGAGTACAAACGCTCTTCTCTCTCTCTCTCTCTCTCTCTCCCTCTCTCCCTCTCTCTCCATCTCTCTCTCACTCGCTCTCTCTCTCTTTTGTTAGACAGAGATCTGCCCGGTGCCGAGCTGTGGGTGTTGCTTTGCTCAGCGTTTGCTCCACTGAATCTCCTCGTTAATAAGAGATTCGTTTCTCCGGCCGGCCGGATGTGGGCTTGAAAGCAAAGTTCTCCAAAACAAAAGAGGACGTTACCTCGTTTCTGAAAGGCGACATCAAATCTTCCCGTCCTAATTATCTGCCTCCTCCCCGCTCTGACAGCCTGTTCCAGCTTCATGAAGCCCCCTCCCCTGCAGAAATGAACCCGGCCGTCACTTTGTCCATTTGACACATTAGTGGCAGCAGCAGGAACAGGAACAGGAACAGGCTCTCAGTGCTGCTGCTGCTGCTGATGTTGTTGTTGTTGTGGACATACGATGTTCACATAATGGGGAAAATCACTCGCTCAGCCCACAGAGGAATAATACGAACGCACAGGTCAGTGTTGTCGAATAAATCACTGACTAATCACTTCCTCCTAATCCTCCCAGAGAAGACATCACAACACATTCAACACTGAGTCACAACAAAGGAAGAGAGAGGCGTCCAGTCCACCTCAGAACCTCATCATGTGGAGGACCGGTCTGGACTGGAGGTGGGCCGGTCTAGTACCTGCACTCTCGAAGCCACGCCGTTGTAACCACAGACTGTATAAACTACGGACTACTTAGTTCCTCCTTCCTCCAGTTTACGGATTTGAAGCTGAAAAGTTCTTCAGTAATTCTGAGTTTTTTTCTCCACTTCCTGAAACCAACATTGCGCAGTAGCGTTGTTCGCATTCGGTGAGAGAGTCACCGAGACTCGCTGTGATGACGCTCGGCTCAAACAGCGTATCCCCCGGTGATCTACTCAATCTCTGTCCTCCCATAGGCTGTATCAGGTGTCAATCATAGAAAACATGAACCCCCTAATAACTTTTAAAAATGGAGCTTCACAGAAAAAAGAGGACTTGAGCACAAACCAGTCTGACAGTAACTACATGTCAACATCACAACCAGGGGGGAGAAACATTTATATTCTGTGTCATTCATTTATAAAGTTTGTCCACAGCTCCATAAGGAGGCGGGGTTTAGGACCTATACTGCAGCCCATCAGGGAGCTGTTCTCAGAGAGAGGAGGCAGACGGCGTCTGTTCTATATACAGTCTATAGTTGTAACACGTGCAGAAAGTGTCTTGGCGTTGTCTCTAAATAATCAGAAACGTCCCTGAAAACGTGTTTTTGAGTCTGTATGTACCTGTCAGCTTCACAGGGGTGAGAGCTCGCCACGCCATGAGCGCTAACACGCCCCCCCTGGACCATCACAGATACTGACCTCTGTGTTAAACGAGTGTGTTCAATCAGATTAAGGTGGAAGTAGATTTGTCAATAATTGATTTTTATTTTTTTATTCATGTCTCACACAAACGTCCTGAGTTTACAGGAACACAGAGGTTTGTGATACAGATGAGGATCTATGTTTGTAACAATATGAGCTCTATATTCTCAGACCTCAGAGCTGCAAAGTCTCACGCTTTGAGTGTGACAGTCACGCAATTTGACCCGTTCTCACACGCCACACTTGACATTTTACACGCTTGTTTTTCCCCGTTCAATAATCTGTATTTATTTTGTTCATGATAGTAAACTTGGCTTGCCGTAGTTTGATATTCATCTATAATAATAAATCAAAATAAAAAAGAGCAGCTCACCAAATGTGCTCCACCTTCTGGAAAACTGAATCAGAGAAGCTCATTTTCCAGAATCGGACTCGTATCCTTCCTCCTCCTGCGTCTTTGCTCTGAAGCATCACCCCTGGAAACAGATTTAGCCGCCCGCCCGCTCACTCACTCACTCACTCACTCACTCACTCGCCGGAGGTGCACTTAGAGATGTGCAAAGAGTGCAGAGCTAAAGGAGTTTAATGATAGTGGTGCCAATCGATAAACCGGGCCCTGAAACCGGCCTATGAGGGGAAGTGAGGCGAGCCTTCAGGCGGCGTGTCGGCTCGTCTCCGCCCTGCTGTGAGTCTAGAGTTACAGGTGGGCAGGAGGAGCTGGTTTGAGAAGAACAGAGCGGACTGCAAAATAAAAAAACAACAGAAAACAAAGACTTGTGTTTCCACTTCAGGTGATTCTGGGTCAAACTTTAAAAACCTGCTTTTATTTTTACAGCAGAGATCGCAGGTAAGCAGCGAGGGAGCGTGAAGCGTACAGGTGAGGTGGAATCAACACCTTCCTGTCGGTTTTTTTCCGCCTCTGAGCTGCAGATGAAAGGATCCCTGTTCACACACATGGAGGGGGGGGAGGCAGAACTAATGGGAGTCAAACCGGGTCAGGACGAGGTTGACTAAACAAATTATCAGCGTTTTATTCCAAGTGAGTACTTGGGAATTCAGATTTGTCAAGTTAATCAGACGGCGTGTGAGTGTGAGAGGAACTGTATGTGGGTCACGCTAAGACTCTTCAGACTCTCTTTCCCACTTCTCCTTTCATTACTTTCATCCCTCTCTCTCTCTCTCTCTCTCATTGTGGTTGTCTCCCTCCCTCCCTCACTCCCTCTCCTGAGGCGACCCGACTAAATTTAAACTTTACACACCAACAAACTGCAGAGACGCTCTCCAAAAAACAACCAGCAACCCTCAGATTTACACGAGTCCTTCTGACGCCCATCTTCAGGACCCCCCCCTCATTTAAAACTGCAGAGAGGCTCCAGACTCGTTGGCCTCAGGCTGGACCCGGTTTAGAGGAGTCTTCAAATTCTCACAGATTGCATCACGCAGAGGAGAAAGAAGAACACTCCACAGATCTTCTTCTTCTCTCTGAAACACGCGAACAGACTACAGAAATAAGGATCCTGAAAACATCAGAAATCAACCTGCAGCGTTTATTACTTTAAGAAAACAGAGCAGTAAAGTTTCAACAGGTGATCTGGTCCTTGATGGAGACCTGGTTTTAGGTGTTTCTTTATAACACTGGTCAATAACAGCTTCAGGGACCTGTCAAGGTTTAGTCGAGAAAATGAGCAGAAGGCTGTTTTCACCCAATCCTGCCCTCTTGTCAGAGTCTGATGGATGTTTTCAGAGTTACACAGTTTTCCAACAAAGAAAGAACCTCGAGTTTTTATTTCTTACAGCATGGATGGATGATGATGGTTCAGAATCAGACCGATGAAAAAAAAAACACAAAGATGGAGGAAAATTAAAGAGTGAAGAATCACGAGAGGAACTTTCTCAAAACGGACCGATCATAAATGAAAATATAAAGATGAGACTTGTTGGCAGATTCATCCATCCATTCAACATCCATCCATTAGACATCTATCTATCCATTATACCTTAAATCCATCATCCATCCATCCACTTTCCATCAATTTATATGTCATCCATCCATCCAGCCCCTAATCCATTCATTGAGAATTATCAATCCAGCTTTCAATCTGTCATCCATCCATCTAACATCAATCTATCCATCCAACCTTTAATCCATCATCCATTTTCTATCCATTATCATCTATCAGCCCTTAATCAATCCATTCAGAATTATCCAGCCAGCCAACAAACCATCCATTTATTCATCCATCCATCCACCGATCATCCATCCAGCCCTCAATCAATCTGTCCACTCATTCATCATCATCATCATCATCATTTTTTTAACCTTGCCTTTTACTTATTATCTCTTTTTCACATGTTTTTTTCTCTCTAATGACTCAGAGACACACACAACTTGTACAAATGTCAATAAAACTCTATTCTATTCTATTCTAAGAAAGGAAAAATAAATACATATATAAGGTAAGTCCATAAAGTCATGTACAGAGTCATGAAGTCTAATACAGTCATATTTCAGATGTTTTGGAGGGATTTGTGATCCAGTCCAGTCAAACCAAAAGTTCAGTGATTGTTATTCAAACATGTTATTAAAGCTCAGTGCTGTACACCTGTACACCTGTACACCTGTACACCTGTGCACCTGTAAACCTGCACACCTGTACACCTGCACACCTGCACACCTGTACACCTGTCTTTTCCACCAATCAGAAGTTTAACGTCAGTTTTATTAACTAGACCAGAAAAAGGAGAGTCTCCTCCATAAAGAGGATCATCACAGCAGCAGCCTTGGCCAGCAGGACTCAGCCAAGGTCTTTATTTCCTTTCAGACTGGAGAAGCACTTTTTCAGCACCACTCCAGTCTTGTCAGCACTTCCAGACCCCTGCTGGTTCTTATAATTACCTCGGGTTTGGGTGGCCCTGTCTATAGATTCTGGCAGTGATAGATCTGGTCCCAAACTGAGACCCAAACCACGTGACCGCCAGCAGGGCAGGTAACAAATGGAAGATTGGACAGATCCAAGGTTCACCGACAAAACAGATCCCTGAGTATCCACGCTCAGGTGTGTCGTTTTCAGACTCACCTTTGTCTGTAAATGAGTCTCATTATCGTCCACTTTAAATAAAAAAGATTAAAAAACTGAACTGATACAAACAAACTCGACTCTCCACTTCTGACTTTATCAGCAGAGACCATCGATCTGTTCCTCTCTCCTCTCCTCTCCCCTCTCCCCTCTCCCCTCTCTCTCTCTCTCTCTCTCTCTCTCTCCATCCATCCATCTTCTGTTCTGCTCATCTTGGTCCAGGCTGCACTTCATCACTGGACAGAGTCCTCCAGGGACAGATCACCGATACCTCCAAACACAATCACACACTCCTGGAAAATGAGACCTCCACACCGCAGGTATGGGGGGGTCGTTAAAAGTCCTTGTAGAGAAAAAGAAAACTCTTGTTGTAACGAAGCCGGAGTTTGAGATATGAAGTCGAGGTGGTCGATGATGATTGACCGCTACGCTGCTGCAGACCAGAGGCTGCAGAGAACTAATGTTTGCTAACTACTGAGAGAGTTAGCCTTTTTATATTCTCACACTGTGTGCGCTTGTGTGTGTGTATGTGTGGGTGAGTGAGGGTGGGTGTGTGTCTCTGTGTGTGTGTGGGAGGGTTGGGTTTTATTGTTAATTGTTGTTTTGAGACTCTGTGAGGAACTCTGAACTACATTTTCGTCTGAAAAGTGTCATAAAAATAAATCTGAGTTTGACTTTAAAGTGGACAAATGTGGACTTTGAGGTAATCTGATAGATTTTTTTTCTGTGCATCGTGATGAATCAATTATGCAGCAGAGATACTATAAACCTGGTGAAATTAACAACACAAGAACAAAACTGTCTCAAACACAAAGTCCTCACAACACTTCCTCCTCCTGAATTGATCGAACCCGATCACTCTCTGCTCTGTCTCTGAGCTGACAGGTGTTTTAGGTCATTATGTGGACGAGCTCTCAGGAGTTTCTGAGCATTTTGAGCCGCTGACAGAGGAAAAACAACAACAACAACAACAACTCTACAGGCAGAAGAAACCAAACAGCTGATAAAGAACACCGACTGACCATCTGAGTGTATCATGTTTGACAACAGTAATGAAACCCAACACTGGGTTCAACCTTCATATAGTGACGCCGACCTTCTCTTATGGATGACCTTAGGCAGTGAGTGAAATGCCAGGAAGTGAGTTGTCACCATGTCTCTGGAACCCGGGATCTGAGCTGGTCCTCTAAGACATCATGGTCTCTTGGAGGATCTGGACCAAGAGAGGTCTGCTAAACAAACGGGGTCAAACAGCCTTCTGCTCTTCTGGACTGATGCCTTTCTGCTGCGACAGGAACACAAACACAAGCTGATGGTTTCTTACATATTCAGAGTATCACTGTAAATGTGCGCGCGCATGTGTGTGTGTGTGTGTGTGTGTGTACGTACGCTTTCCTACCTATCAAAGAGGGGAACTTGGCATCATAACACTTCCACCAAGAGGGGACCTCAGAGCCAACAGGGGACATTTTTTAGGTCTCCTCTTGGTCATTCTTTAAATCACGCTAAAATCATGTGTAACACACTCTGGTGGAGTTTTTTTTTTTCATTTTAGCCAAGTGGGGACCTGAAGGTGTGTGAGTGTTTAAGTCCGTGCAAGGCTGTCCCCCTGTAGGCTGGAGCCGGAATTACAACGACCCTTAAACACACATGGTTTTACACAGACTCCCTGATGGTGTGAATGGTTTGCACTGAAGGCAGCCTTTCAGACACAGAGGGGCTGTTTAACAGGTTACTGGGTACAGAACATGTCTGTTTAAAGATGTTTTCTCTGTTTTTGAAAAAAATTCCAAGCAAATGCTGAAAAAACACGTTTAGACTCTGACAAGACGCCTGAGGTTTTTCATTCCCAAGATACTCGCTTATCCAGTTTTCACAAGCGTTGGATTTCTATTAATTTTTCAATATATTTCAAGGATCAGTCTACACGTCTGGGAAGGAAATTTTTTTTATACCATGCACATTACAGAAAAAAGGGACTTCCACTTTTTGGGCGGACAAAGGTTCCCTGTTGGTTGGTAAATAGTTCCCACTTTGAAAGTACGCAGGGACTTCACACTCCGCCATGGATAAAAAGAAAAAATAATATATAATATATAACTGTTGGTCAAATAGGAGTATATTTAATGCACATGACAAAAAAAGTTTCTTTTACTGTAAAGCAGGACAGACGTTCCCCGTTGGCTGGTAAACAGTGACAGCCCTGGTGTTGCAGTCCTACATTTACACGTTCCTTTATTTCTTCTGCTCCACTGCTGAGAACATAAAGTGTTCATTATGTCTTTGTCGTTTAGGTATCTCATCATCAAACAGCATTTCTACATTTTCCGCTTCATTTGAGCGAAACTAACGAATTCGGCCTTTAAATTTCTCTGACGCCATCGCTGCATGTTCGTCATCGTCACGTAAAGAACATTTACTAAACTGTTCAGAAAATATCCGTCAATTCAGGCGGTCGCTGATTAAAACACTCTCACCGCACTCTGCTGGAAACGTCCTCTGTTATTACTCTCCTCCGCTCTTCGTCATCCTCCTCGCTCACTCAGGTGTGTGCGGAGCTGAATATAAGAGCCTCCTGAAGTGAGATGTAATGGAGTCTGATTACGTGGCGTCGACCTGCTCGTCGTGTTAAACAGCTACAACTGCAAGCAACATTACCCCCTGAGTAAGTCCGAGCGTTTCAATTAATTATCCGAGTCTGTCTATACTGAGCGAGGAGGCTAATGAGGCCCAGCTGGGGGGAATTTAAAGTAGGTGTGCGTGTGTTGTAATATCATAATCAGTGTTTTAAATTATCCATGTACAAAGGAAGAAGAAGAGGAGGAGAAAAAAAACACCTTTAAAAAGATAAAAACTGTATAAAGCAGCTCGAGTGTCTCTGTGAGTCTGTGTGTGTCTCCATCCTTATCTGTCATGTATTTCTCTGAGCAGGTGCACCGAGGAACAAGTGAACCCCGTCTGATAACCTCCAACATCGCTCTGCCTGCCTCTCTGCTCTCTCTTGAACAGTCTGAACAAGTAGAGCTCGCTGCAGCTGCACCAGGTCAGACACCGAGGACTGGACACACCTGTCCGGGTCGCAGCAGGGCTCTCCTTCCCCCGCCTGGCTTTTGATGCAGAGAAAGACGACCACAGCTGTGTAAAAACAACCAGAAAAAAAGAGCCAAAAGCTTCTCTAACTGAGGGGGAACAGAAACGACATCTTCTCTGGCTCTATGAAACATTAACAGAGGTACAACAGGGGTTTAAATGGAGCTGCTGTCACACCTCTGAGGAGAACAAAAGACTCCGGCTCAGATGAAAAGCTGGAGGATTTGCATTTCAGTCGGGCTAAGACACCAGAACATTTGTAGACACAGCACTTTGACGCTGGAGACAAATCCAATTTTACTGAGCATGTGTACTTTAGTGCTGCTGTTTCTGTGACTTTATTCACACATCAGGGTTTCTACTCGGGTTTGATCCAGACACGGGTCCTAAGTGGACCTCCAAGTAGGACTTCAGGAGTTCTTGTTTTGGATGGTTTTTAAACTGGACTTACATTGTGGTTTTCAGAGAAGATGAATATGAGCAGGCTGGGTTTGAATAAAATTGTGTGTAACGCCGTGTTTGACAGCCGCTGGGGTTTTGTGTGGATCATCAACAAGGACGTAAACAAGAGTCGCTTCACTCTATAACCACGACTGTCTGCCTCAGATCAACATGTGAGCCTCTTGTGATGTGGTCTAGACCGGTCTGAGGACTCGCTGGTCTATGTAAACTGTCGCTACCCAGTCTGTTCCGGAAACCCGAGTTGTACTGTGCATGTGCGAAACGAACGTCACTTCCTCTCTTCGTATTTCAATGCATTTTACTGCAGTTAGTCGTTACTATAGCAACCTACCCGATCCGCAGATTTACTTCACCTTAAAAACTTTATTTAAACTCCTGATCAATTCAGAAACAAGCTGGCGATGTGACAGGCTAGCTAGCAGGAGGCGCCAAGGCTAATGCCGAGGCATTCGCCAGAGCTCCTGCCCAGCATGGCGAGACCTTTTGGGCCACAGAGAGCGCCACCACCTGTTCAAAACTATGGTTCTCTGACTTTACAAAGTATCACAGGGAGATTTGTTTTGTTTGATCCCAGTAGATCCTCAGCTGCGTCTCTACATATCTCGGTTAGATAAGTGTAAACGTGGAAAACAAAACACTAAAAACTTGAATTACTTTGGTATTTTGGTTAAAATGTGAAAATATGATCATGTGCTTTAAGAGTCAGTCGGGATAAAGATTAAACTAAGTGGGGATGAAGTTTCCTGGACGACCAGAAGTCCTGCTAACTGAAGGTTCAGGTCTTAAACAGAATCAGGAGAAGATGAGGTCTCACTGAACGACGGTCTGATACCAAAGAAGAAAAACACATGAACTTGATGAACTTTGCTCTGATTTAGGAGTTCAGTTTTTCCTGCAGTTTGAGTCTCTAAAATGAACCCCCGATATTTCAGCAAAGTCCAGGAGGAGGATGTTAAAGGTTTAGTTTTATTAAAGCTGTTAAACCGGCAGAGTTACAGCCTCAACACGACCAGCTCTGGGTTTAGACCTCTTTGTCGTCACATCATGTGTTTATTTCACATTTACTGTATTAGCCTCTATGAAGACATCAACAGTTTGTTTGTCCTTCTGTCCCTGGATCTCCCCGCCGAGCTGCAGCTGACTCCCCCTCATCCCTGTTTGCTTTCTCCTCACGCCTCGGACTCTGATATCAGGAGGGAGAGCGGCCATTAACGGGGATCTGAAGAGGCACAGATGCCCAATTAGAGGCCTCTTCGCCCCTCTCTATCTCCCCGCTAAACACCGAGGACCACTTCATTAACACCCAGCTCCTGGTGTCAGTCAAAGGGCTGCACAGACTCGAGGCTGCAGGGCTGCTCGGGGGGGAGACAGACGCAGACCTCCTGAAAACAGACCATTAACCCCGAAGAGGGTCCCTCAGTTAAAATGTTAATTAAGAGAATGTTTTAATCGCTGAATGATGATTTAACTGAGAACATGATGAAAGGTATCTGTAAAAAAACATCATCATGATGGTTTAGGAATAAATCAGAGCAGATCTCTAAACTGGATTAAATTACAGAGTCAAAGGTCAAACCATCAGATTTAGCTCATTTATTAAATACTGCATGTATTTGATTCTTTCTATACTGTAATGTTTTTGTAATGAGGTTCAGCTGTTATTGAAATCACTGTCTAACGCTACATTCAAGTTTGTAATTGAACTTTAGCAGCAGATGTCTCCAACAGTTTTATGGTATAAAACCGTAATCAGCCTCATTTCCATCTCTGTAGATCCATAAACACCAGATCACACCTCTTTGAGTCCAGGCCAAGCTCAGTGCACTCTCATTTCATGTCTTTATGTCCTGGTTTTCTTTGCCAACATGAGGAAAGATTAGCTTCTTCATTTTCACGTCTGCTCCAGGTGATTAAATCTGAGTCCGTCAAACTCACGTCTGCACACTTATGTCCACTTACACCTGGTTATTTCACAGAATAATGGGAGTTTCCTCTTGTGGGACTAATAAAGGAGTATCTCATCTTATCTTAACGGGGCAGTGATCGTTCCTGACTGAATAAACCTGAAGATAATTCCTCCGTCTGTCTGCAGAGATTTCTGTTCCACCAACAGGAGGAACATCTTCATCATGAGCTCAGTGTGTGTCGAGGTCAGCAGAGAGTTAGCTTTAAAGGGATAGTTCAGGTATTTTCAGTGAGACACTTAAATAGACTACAGACAAAATCCTACAGCAAAGACAAGTTCAGCAGAAGTCTGTCGTCTTTGTTGACTCTGTACATGTTTCACTGATGAACATGAACACAGATTACAGTCTGTTACTTCACGAGCTGAAAACTTCTCACAGGAGCTTTAACATGAGCTGACAGCCTTACCTCTGTATGATCAGATCTGGAGTGAAACACACTTATCATGGACAACTACCTCAAACAACCCTGCTTTAAAAGAACCATCTCTCTTTCTAAGTTACAGAGTTTTTATTCAATACGATCATCTCAAAATTTAAGTTCCTCCTTTGTCTCTTCAGCTTCAACACCTGCAGGAGCGCAGAGGTATTCACTCTTTCCTTCTTACTGCAGCTTCAGCCTGACAAAGATAAGCCCCCCCCATCATCGACAGTAATCAAGCTAATGAGGCTTTAATTAGGAGCGCTGAGCTGAGAGCCGTTTAACACCGTCGAGTCACCGTGGTCCACCTTTCATTAACAACAACAGCTCTCTGCTCACATCAGTCTGGGAGACTCCAGTCACGTCAGCACCGAGAAGAAATCTGTGTGAGTGCCAGGTAAGATGACACACACACACACACACACACACACACACACACACACACCTGGTTGGCTGAGGCTCATGTGATGGATTTAAGGATCCAGAACAGTCGGCTGATAAACACTCTGAGGTCTGAAGCTTCTGTTCTTGGTTTAGTCTTTTCACTTTCTTCATATTCACAGATTTTATTATTGTGTATTTTTATATTCCTTCTAAAACCAAATTTCCCCCCAATATTTTGCCCTTTTCTTTAATATGTTTATTCTCCAGCAGGACAAAGTCCGGATAGTTATTTTTCTCTCGTGCTGTGAGACGACACATGAATCCCACAGATTTTAAAGCTCCTGTGAGGACATTTGGGGGAGGGGCTGTTTCGACTTTTGTCCCCCCTGAAGAAAAGTGTCTCTTCTGTCCTGTTCATGTGGGAAACGTTTCCAAAAGTCTCCTCTTGTCGACTTTAAACAGTCGAACGGTTTGACTCAGCATGAAGCTGCTTCTTCAGTGTTGTTCCTCTGATCAGTTTCAGGAGATAAAATAAAAGTATAGAGTAATAATAAATGTTGTTTCTGATTATTAACTTCAGTCTGTTTTGTTTAATCTTAAAACCTCTGAGAGGAGCTTTAAAATGATCTAAAACTCATTTTGTGTCTCGACCTAAAACTGTCTTTTCTCCACATTTGAACATCATGTGTTTTTTTTAATCTCATCAGTATTGTTCCTGTTTCTATATTTCTACTACAGCAGATGAGAGAATGTAAAACTAAAACATTCATGTGGAAAAAACTAAATGTCTCATTTTAGTGTTTTTTGTGAAGTCATGGAGCGCTGAGAGAAAACTTCATGTTAGACGATGACAGACTTTAAAAATCTGTCCCTAAACAGAAGAAATAATGAGAACTATGATTAAAACTTTTTAATGTTTCTCTGGTCTGAGTTCAGCCTCAGACTGATGGATTCAGACTCTCTGTGATTATAATCAGAGACTGAGCTGATGATGAAACACGGCTCGGCTCTGAGGTCCTTTAAACCTGAACCACAAAGACGAACCCAGATCCTGGTTCTGTGGAGACACGGGTCTACTCCTCTGAATCATCTCTAACCTCTCTCTTATCCCTCGTTGTCCTTTACAGAACCATCATGACTCACTTCTTTACGACTCTGAAGCTCATTGGAGGAATCATTATGAAGCAGCACAGACGCTGAAAAACTCGCTCAGAGTCTCATAAACACAAGGTCGACTCTCTCCAAACAACTCTGTTACACAACACACAAACACTGCTGTCGAGAAGATTGGATATTACTGTAATTAATCTTCTTTATCCTTTTGTTTTGTCACCTTTATATCTTTATATCTTTGTCTGGTCTAAACACAACAGAAGAAGTCTGATAATTAACAGACAAAAGCACAGAAGTCAAATCACGAGGATCGGTAAAAACGCTCGTTTCCATCTCAGACTGGTCGAGAAAAGTGGAGAAATAATGACAATGATGAGCTCACAGCTAATGGACCCCAACTGTCTCTGACAGGGAAAGAGGTCGTGACAACCTGTCCTGCAATCCAGGCCATGGCACCTACTAACAGCAGAGCGCGACGCTCAGGTATGAAGCAGTGCAAAAAAAAACTCCTGACAGTAGCTTTAATGAAAAACTCTGAACCTTCAGTGTTTTTAGAACTTCCTGAACTTTGAAGGAAGTCCATAAACAGGAATTTAAAAAACAGCAGCAGCCAATCCAAAGTGAGTATTGATCAGAATATTGATAACATATCTCTGGTCATGATTAGTGAGTATCTGAAAACACTAAAAACACTCAGAGTTCAGATTTAATATTAGACTCCTCTCTCTCTCTCTCTCTCTCGCGGTCTCAGTGCCCCCCCATGTTTGGACTCTCACAGGTCTGTTCCCCACATGACCAGCTGGTCGGATACACACACACTGGTGCTCCCTGTCTCTCTCCATCTGCTCCTCTCCTGTATTTACAGCCACACACTTCCCTCTGCATGCTGCCAGACTACCTGCCAAGTGGGAAAATGACTGCATGCTCTCTCTCTCTCTCTCTCTCTCTCTCTCTCTCTCTCTCTCTCTCTCTCTCTCTCTCTCTCTCTCTCTCTCTCTCTCATACAGATGTCCGAGGAGGATAAGAGCAGATACGTTTCGACGCAGGAGACAACATTTGTGCAGGACTGAAAAGTGGAGGACCTGCTGCTTCTGTTGGGATCTAAAAATAGAAACCCGACCAGGTTTGACCTTCATTTAACCTTTCCTTTCCTCGGAGTGTCATGTGATGTGTCGACAATATTCAAGAAACAAGTGGCTGACTTCAGTCTGAACACAAATCGGTGTAGAAGTACTCAGATATAGATTTCCACTGATGGAGGAAAGAGCCTCAGGTCTGACTGCATATAAACAAGGATCAAATCAACAGTTTAAATATATGTATACAAATATATATCTATATATACAGTTAGTGCTGACGTATGTTTAAAGACAGGCTTTTATAACACACCACCGTTGATGATGTCCATCTTTCTTCAAACATGTAATATTGATTTATGCTAAAAATAAGCAGACGACAACCAGCCAGTAAGCTCGCCTCTAATGCAGAGTGTGGTTCCTGCCGTAGGATCAATCATTCAGAGGAGATGAGAACTTTAACGGCACTTATAAGACGGGTCCTCGCTGGTTCTGGACTTTCTTTACAGTCCTGGAGAAATCTAGATGTCTCTTCAACTGGAAATGAGACGTGTTCCTATGGAGGTCAACTTATGTAAAATTAAAAGGCTGTAATTCACTTCTGGTTGTAAAAGCTGTTTATTTTTTTTAAGTTTTGCATGAATGTTGCTTTGAGGTTTGTAAGAATTTTAGATTAACTTTGAGGTGAAAATCTAAGAGGTCTAATTACAAGATTTACTTTGTTCGATGAAGTTCGTCTGGATCCAGATTGACTTGATTTGGTGAATCTGTTGACTTTTCTGCTTCATTATTTTAAATTTGCATCTTTTTTTGGTGTTGTGGATTTCACTTTAAAACATCTCTTATTGTGCTTCTGTTATAAAAAATAATCCTCTTTTATTTCTTTTGCAAATATCTGAGAAACACTTTTTCTTAACGTGAGAGAGAATCAGAACAATAACGGAGGTTTCTGGACTCACCATAAGGTTCTGGTCCTGGAGAAGCTCTTATCGACTCTGAAAGACAGAAAGTGAAAGACGGTTATTATTATTATTATTGTGCTTTAATTAAAGGTTATAAAACATTTAAAAACATGTGACATAGAGAGACGCACCGAGTTCTGCTCAGTGGAAAGTTACAGGAGTTATAGTCTGATATTATTGTCACAGTTTTTAGTTTTGTCTCGATCTTGTAATTTTGTGCGTCTAAATATCGTGTTTGCAGCTTTTATGAACGGCAGTTTTGTGGCTTTTATGCAGCAAAAGATTAAATGTGAGATTTATAACAAAGAGCATAAATCAACAAGCAGAAGAGATTTTTTTTCTAGCTACTTTATCGACTGAAGAGAATAAGGAGGATAAAATACGGTGTGCAGACACTCAGTATTTAACCTGCTGGACTGGGATCAGAGGCCAAACACGGACGGCCCCCGTAAACACGGGTGTAGTGGTCTTCAGTAAATCTTTCTCATAAAGCTAAAGTGGTTGTTCTCAGACTGTCGATAAAGCCGACTCGGAACAATGTAAGCGATCATTGTGAGCTGTCTAATAAAAGTCTTTTCTGTTTTCACCGACTCCTCAGGGAAATATGTGGCTGACTCCACTAAATAGCCCACATATTTTAACCTACCGGCTGCTTAATTTGTTTATCTACGAATAATTCATGGGAAGGAAAGTGTTTGTATGGGCTGAGAGTGAAATCAGCAGTAAAAACAGAGAAAATTAAAAAAGCAGTGATGGCTGAAGAACTGGGACAATAATCCAAAAGGTGTTCAAACAGAGGCGGCGGTAATTCTCTCTGTCACTACAAAAAAAAAAGACGATAATGAGATCCGCTGTTACCACAAGATTATTGGAAACAGTTTTTATCATTGTGCCTCAGTGTTCCTCACTAACAGGAGCTTCTTCTTCTTCTTCTTCTTCTTCTTCTTCTTCTTCTTCTTCTTCTTCTCCTCTTCCTGCCAACTGCTCCCTCAGAACCTCCACAGGGTCTCGGAGACGAGAGCGGGCAGCTGGCAGATGTGCTGTGAAGTCTCATGGACCGAGTGTTGAAACGTCAGAGCTCAGAGCTGGACCGATACTAAAGCTTTCTATTTCACACAGGCCAACGCCAGACAGACGTGATTTTAAAAAAAAGTTATAAATACAAGTCCAGATGATGAGCTGCAGCTGGATTCAAGTCAGGGCTGCAAAATCAGACAAATCAGCTGATCAGGCCGAGTTTCCTTCATTGTCAGTTAGACGGCTAATCGAGCCGAGATCATTAGACATCTGCTGAGCTTTAAAATGATGAATCCTCCACACTTATCTTCAATAATCAGGTATTTAAATCTGGAATCAAACCTGCACTAAAACAGGAGAGATATCATCAGCTGAGCGATACCAGGCGACCGATATCAGCCTCTCAGTAATCAACGCCGATAATCAGAGAGCAGGAAGGACGATAAAACCGATATATCATTGTTTTTCTGATGAAATACAAACATGCTACATTAATACTCTCAGATATAATCACTGTTAATACTTCTATGAATGGAGGACGAAACTGATCGAACATTTTTTTAATCATGATATGAAGATTTGTCTCAATAAAACTTCCTGTCGTCTGTAATCGTCCAAGAAGACACAAAACAGGATCAACGATATTTGAGTTTTAAAAGGCATTTAGTCACATACCTTAATGCGCATTATATTCTTATATACATTAATTTATATGATGTCCTGATTAGTTTATGGAGAAGAAAAATAAACTGAGTCAAACTTTTAATTTCAGAGGATAACTGATATAAAACTGCCCTTTGTATATCCTCACAGATGTAGAAAACTCCAGTTTCAGATTAAATATGCTGTCATTTAAGATGGAAACCACGTGTGCTAGTGTGATGCTGAGGATGTCAAAATACCGATAATCAGCCTCATAAATGATCAGCTGATTTATCAATCTGTCTTTGGTCTAATCAAAGAAGAGACGGACATCAGGAGCTAAAAAAGAGACTCTTATTTTGAAAGGTGACAACATCAGCAGTGAAGTTATCACACTTCCTCTCAACAAACAGACTGAAAACCATAAAGGTGAAGGTTTCCATGTGAGTCTTTGCTGAGTCTGAAAATCCAAACACACCACGGGTTCCCTCCTGACCACAACAGTCTTGGTTAAGTGTTTTCTAATTTCAGCCCGGCTGTTCAGGAGATACCTGAACCCCGGTTTGAGAAGCCCGGCTGAAAAACTCCACTCTGGTCCTGAGGGGGGGGATAATCCCAGTTGGAGGGCTCAGATGTGAGAGCATTCTGGAGGAGCTGCTGGACTATCTCTGACGGGTAAAAATGGAGCACAGGGTCGTACCACAGGTCCATATTTGCATGATGTGGTTTAATGTTGAGATTCTGGGATAATTCTCGTTAAATTTGTTCCATTAATTACCAAATGGAAACACGGTTCTGCTTCGTTATGCATCAGAGGCTCAGCTTTTAAAACGCTCCATAGCTTAGCCGAGTGGCGTGCCAAAGCTTTCCCAGGAGCAGACAGCGAAATCCCCGTAAAGGTAAAAACAAGATTTAAGACGAAGAGAGGAGGAGGAGGAGGAGGAGGAGGAGGAGGAGGAGGAGGAGGAGGAGGGAGAGCTCTGCCGGCAGCAGAGTCTGAGCTTTACTGGTGTGACGAAGGATCACTGAGAGCGAGGGAGTGTTCCGATGGACCACCTCAGAGTATGAATGGGCTGTGATTGGTTCATGAGTGACTGAAAACAATATCCAATCAGCTGCTGATTGCAGGTAGGATGGATGTACAGCTGCTCCACAGGACGACATGAACCAACGTGAATATCTGTTAATGGATCTGCTGATTATTCACAAACTCAAACGATGAAACTTTCACTCAAGAAATCTCAGAGAGTTTGAAAAAGTTTTGAGTTTAAGTTAGAAAAATGTCATAAAAACAGTTAAATCTTTAATATCGTAAATGGACTGTGAGTCTAAAACCCGTCCTCCAGTCTTAAAGCTCTTTTTGTTATTCGCCACATTCATCCATTCACACACTGACGGCTGCTGTGACGAACACCTGTCAGTATTTGACTTATAGACGGTGGAAAGTGGGGGTTAGGGGGGAAACCTCGTAGCCCGGCTGGGCCATCCAGTCATGTGAATCACCTGCCGTTCCTTCCCACAACAGTCTGGACTTCAGCCCATTGGGAGCCCTAAAAGTGGGCGGGAGTACTTTCCTTGATAGACAGACTACTGTAACCAATCACCGTGACCAGTGAGCAACTGTGTTCTGCTGGGCTCAAGCATCAAGTAAAGGTTTGGTAATATTTCAACGTGTACGAGTGAACAATGTCTTTTACGTCTTTTTCTGCGGATCTAAACGATTTCTGACGACTTTGCAGAGTCAACTGCAGAATTAACGGCGTTCTGAATAAACGGCGCTTTAAAAAGTCCCGCAGCATGTGTTAGACGTCACCATCTACACATGGACCAATCAGGGGCTGCCTTTCCCTGTTGTCTGGGGAACAGTGGAAACACAGTCACTGATTGGCCCGGTTATTTTCTGATCGGGAATACACGCTCCCAATTGGCCGAAGTCCAGACTGTTGTGGGAAGGAACGGCAAGTGATTCACGCAACTGGATGGTCCAGCCAGGCTAGAAACCTCAGGGCAGAACCAGATTCATGAGAGACAGTCATCTGAGGGTAGACGGAGACGAAGAGAGAGAGAGAGAGAGAGAGAGAGAGAGAGAGAGAGAGAGAGAGAGAGAGAGAGAGAGAGAGAGAGAGAGAGAGAGAGAGAGAGAGAGAGAGAGAGAGAGAGAGAGAGAGAGAGAGAGAGAGGAGAGAGGGAGAGAGAGATGGACGAATGAAGAAAACACTTGGAGCAGCTAACACTAGCAGAGCTAGCACCACCAGTTAGCAGTCCTTCTTACAGACTCATATTCCTGTTTGTGCTGGTTATGGATCCTCCATCTGCGTACTTTTGTCCTAGTATTTCTACACACACTTTACTGCCAAAATACACCGTTATACTTCATCTATCATTGATCATGTGTGCTTGTTTACATCCAGGTCGTAGAGTATTACAGCGGTATGAGGTTAGCTATTCCAGAGCTACAGTCCCACAACATGACCTCGATCATGTCAGACCTCTGAGAACAACATTTGGACTCATTTGTTTCACAGACTCTGATCCTTTCATCGACATTCTTTCACCAGGACTGAAAATAAAACAGAGAAAATCTGAGATAAAGAGGCGGACAGACACAGCGCAGTGATTCGGCTGTTTTCTCTGTCGTCTTCGGTTAAATTTACTTCCTCCTGCTTTCTTTCATTTTATTTCCTCTGCATACTAATGACCACGCACTCCTCCGTTTCTCCACCTAGATCAATCTCTCCGGCAGCAGCGAAGGACTCGCAGGTTGTCCACAATCAATCCTCTGATAATCACCACTTATCCTTTTTCTTCCCCGGAGCTCAGCCAATTAAATCATCACTGTTGTCATTCAGCGCAAACACACTCGCAGGCTGTGTGTGTGTGAGTGTGTGTGTGTGAAACAACAAAATGAAGATAACAAAAAGGGTGATTATTGTAACCATCCTCCTGACAGCGAGAAAAGACTCTTCCTTCAGTTCACCGTGAAAAAGCAATGATCCACGGCGACTTCGTTTCAGCTTCATGTGAGGTTACAGCCGGGTCATCGGGGTTAATCGTCTTCGTTTACACGAACACACTTCTAGTCTCTTCCTCCCAAGGAGAAAAACGTGAAATAATGAGCGGTGTGCCTTTGGTATGTCCAGCATGTAGAGCTCTGCAGAAACGCTGGATTAAGTCGGTCAGTTAGTCTCCATTCACAACTGTTGACATTGACTGAAAGACGCAGCATTGATTATTCCTTTCACTGACTCGGTGTGTCATGAAAACCTTTCAAAATGATAAATGAGATTCCCGCCAATGTCACATGAGATTTCAAACGTACCCGAGGAGAGAAGAAAGGAGTCCGGGATGGACCCAAAGGCAACAGCGTCTGCACATCTCATGTGATTTACCTTCTCCCGTCTGACGACATTCAGGGAGCGGAGTCTTATTAACTTCTCAGAGTCGTGGATTTATGCCCAGGAGGGTCTGAGATGTAAAGAAAGAGACCGTCTCTCTTTTCTTTTTCTACTTTACGAACAACATTCACCTTGTTTACCCTCATTCACACACTAGAATAAATAAAACCTGCAGCACAAGAAGAAACTGAGGAGAGTTTGAGTTTAAAACCATCATCAGTTTATAGATACAGAAACAAACTATTTCCTGTTTTATCTGTTATTAATCTGACGTTTTTAACTTGATTTCTTTTACTTCTAATGTTAAGAGGCTTTTCATGCAGAGTTATAAGGGTGACCATACGTCCTCTTTTACCCAGATATGTCCTCTTTTTGGGGGGCTGTCCCGGTTTGTCCCGGTTTGTCCAGCTCTGTCCAGGGAAGTTTATAAAATCCTTCAAACGTCCGCGGTTTTGTACGAGAGTTTCGATTTTGTGTCATATTGACTTCCTGAGTTAGAAGTGCGTAAAAGACGCTCGATTCAACCCGAAAACTCTCAAAGTTAACTTTGTGCGACTCCATGACTCCGCCCCCACGCAGTTGCGTCCTCTTTTGGGAAGTCAGAATATGGTCACCCTAAAGTTATAGTAATCAAAAATCTATTTTAAAAAAATCTATACAGTAAATAACAAATGCTTATCAAAAAATTAACCAGTTGATGTTCATAATTTCTGTTCAAAGACAAACAAATGTCATAAAATGTTTGTTTGTTAGTCTTAGAAAAATGGACTTATCTGGAAAATTTTACTTTAACTACTTTTTTATTTGATTCAGGGGGGGTTTGGAAAAAGGGGGGTCTGGCTGCAGAGCTCCACTGAGAGGACCTGAGGTGAGGTTTTTTACTCAGGCGCTCCAGTTTGTTTAAAGGTCATCCTTTTTATATTTTCTCTTTGTTAAACACATGAATATAAAAAAAATAAACAATCATATTAACATTATAAACATGAAAAATTCCTGGTCTAACCGCTTTTATTTTGAAAAGCTTCAAGTCAAACTTTCCGACTTAGAAAAATGTACATCTGGTATATAATCTTTTATTTTGAAAGGCTACAAATGAACTTCCTCTCAGTGGAGGTCTTCAGCCTGACTGCGGTGAACAAGGTGACCTCCGACCTCTTCAGACGCCTTCGTGTAGATTTCATCAGGACAGACGGACTAAAGCCGGTTTCCCTCTACAGGATAATCTCACCGTGACGATCAGATGGTTCTTCGGTTATTTTGGCGGATCAGGATCAAACGGTTCTGGATTACATTTTGGCTGCACGCCGTTTCCCTCCAATGTTACAAGAGTGGAACTCTAAACCGGCGTAATACCCCTTTAAGTGAAGATTTACGAGCATGCCCACATCAGCGGCTGTCAGCAGAGTGAAGAGGTCAGAGCTGCTGCTGCTGGATCTGTTTCTGTCCTCACACTGATATCTCTCTGTTACCGCCGGATCCATAACCCGCTCTGCAGCTCTCTCCTCGCCCGTCTCTCCTCCTCTATCTCCTCTTTCAGCTCCGGCGCCCGTTATAAAAATATTGGATGAAGTTGTAAGAGAGAGGACGGCTGATGTAAGAAAGTGTAACAGCATCTCTGCAGTGTTTCTGACATCAAACATGTGATTGCACGAAGCTTCGGCTTTCCACGCCTGTTTCTGTCACCAGAAAACACTAACCTTTGGAGACGAGAGCGAGACGCATTTAACGTCCAAACAAAAGCCCGGCGCGGTGTGTGTGCTGCAGGTGAGCGCTCTGCTCTTTGCCGTGTTTGTTTTGAGTGTTGAACATGGAAATAGGAGTTTGCCAGTCAGCGATACGGTTGCTGATTACGCCCCTGCTGACACAGGCAGCTCGCTGTTTTGATGTTAACAGTGAGGGCTGAGAAACAGGCCGCCACATAAACAGCTACACCTCCATGGACCGCCGGGTCACATGACACTCACTCAGCCAAGGACAAAGGTAGAGGGTGACAACACGGGCCTGGACGTTCACTGACAAAGACTCAGACTTTCAGGATATTTGATGATGTTTTAAAAACTTGAAGCTACGCCTGACAACGAGATACATGGAAATCAGGATAATTAAATAGTTAAAATACAAACGTATTAAAGTTTAGGGCCTCATTGAGCCGTCCAAAAAACATCAAATATAGAGGAAAACCTCACTCTTATTTTCTCACAGTTTATGAGGCTTTAAAAATCACATTTTTGTTGATATGAGTGAGTCAGAGTCAGTGCATCTCAGGTTATGATGCACAATCTCGCTGTTTGACTAGATCACCCTTTTAAATATCGACAATCACCGAAGCTGTCTGCTAAAATAGACCCGTGTTGGACCAGCTGATGTCCTCTAGTCCAAGCCTGACTGAACTAACACCATGCTCAAATTTGTCATGTCAAACAAAACAGATGGAGATGATTTGCGCCACATTCCCAGAGCTAAAACCAGACCAAACCATCTGACCCTTCACTGTTACTAATCAGAACCAGAACCAGAACCAGAGGAGGAGAAACACGTGACCTACCATCGACACAGATTCATCTCTCTTTTTCTCAAAGTAATTAGTAAGCAAACATACATGACATTAGCTAAGATGCTATAACATCACAAACATTGATGGTTTTAGAGATTTGATGCTAGATTAGACGCTAAACCCCCTCGGTCAACGCTAATCACCTGAAAATGGGTAAACAACGCTTAGCATTTGGCGTCTATAACATCAACGCTCCTGTCTGTTAGCGTCCAGCTCTGAGGACTCGGTGTCTGAATAAAGATAGTTCTGGTTCTGATTGTAGCTTCGCTTTAACTGAATAATTATCTCAAATATGGAAAGTTGATCGTAACTCTCAGGACGATATTGTGAGTATGCCGAGGTATTTTAAAGAATCCTTTTTAAAGCTCAATATTTCATTTTTATCCGACCCTCAAACTCTGCGTGTCTTTAACAAGAAGCCCGATAGTTCCTGAGAGTATCAGATAAACTGGGCGAGCGCACACTGTTATCGATCACTCTGATATATCAAATGGACTTCACCCACAGCTCGGAGATTTTCACTTTCTCTCTCTGCCTGGAAGAGACACAACACAAGAGTGAAGCATTAAGATATTCAGAAAGCGCTCTGAACGACGTTACATGTGAGAAATCAATGCGAGATGGAGCTAAGTGTATTCATCAAGCTTTCTATGAGAGCAAGGACAAAGAAGTATTAACACAGACGGCGAGATCGTCAAGAGCACTTAAATAATTATCCTTCATCAGCTCCCTTTTCCTGCTGAGCTGGATCTAAACAGGCTGCAGTCCAACCTCTGCACCGTTCACTGCAGAGGCAATAAAGCTCCATGTGTTTCCAACTGGGACTGACTTTAATCTACAGGTTTTTTCATGTTTATTCCTGTTTTTTTGTTGGTTTTTTTGCAGACAGATGCTCTCATGCCGGCTGGTTTTGGGCTGTATGTGGATCCACTGAGGTGGCAGTGAACCAGAATCTCTGCAGCTAATTTAATTTTAGAGCTCACATCAAACTTTTTAACATAATTTGACTAAAAGGAAGTGACAAGCGAAGCCTTCAGGGATCAGCAGCATTTGGCTGGTTTCTGGGGAAAGAGGCAGCTTGGCGGCACCCCGATAATCTGAAGGGTAAACATTTAAAGCTTCTAGAAAATCCTGTGAATACAGCTGATAAGACGAGTCGGCGGTTTATAACATCAATGTGGACTTTAAGTCGACAAAAAGATGTCTGATTTTTAGGGTTAGGTTTTTCTGCTGCTCTACTGATTGACCACAATAGAGGGGGCGGGGCCAAAACATTAAGCTCTGCCCTTGGCCAGCCTCCAGAGAGGTGGCCAATCAGAAGATACAGTGGCTCAAACAAAGTGTTTCAGACCGAGGCTGAAAAAATGATGTTTTAATTCACCAGAGAGAGAAACAGGAGGCTGTTTTTAACCTGAAAATCATGTAAAGATATTAAAGAGGTATTATAAAGAAAATATAATATCTTCTCTTAAAAAAAACACAGTAATTATGTTGACGGTATCACATCTTTTTATATAAGTTACAAAGGAAATCTCATCCTTATTAAACATGACAGCATTAGTATTAAAGTTCTGATGACTGAGGGCCGATTGTATTGTTTCACTGTATAGTCAGTTCTCTATTATAGACGGACGCATTAGTGTGGGAAAAGGGTTGAATGTTGACATTATGCACAAAGCACTTAGAGTGATCGTGAGTCTAGACTGACGGACAAAAGCCGACATTTGAGCCTGTAAAGAGAGAAAAGAAAGAGCATTCGTCGACTCAAAGGACCTGAGAGAAACAAGTGCACAACCCAACAACGGAGCCTGTACTCGCAGGGTTAATAATCCACCCAAATTAGGATTATATGAGTTTTATTATTTCACATAAAGCAGATCTAAATATCTGTCGTTTTCTGACCTGTCAAGGATAGAAGTGAAGATCCACAGAGTCCCGGTGAATCAAGACACATAAATCACAAAAAGGACTGAATTTCTACCTTCTGATTCATGGATGTTTAACATCATTAAGAAAATTAATATTATAGGAACTCAAGTGGAGAAAGTGATTAAAATCTTCCTATTAAAGACACTGAGATCTGAACGCAGATTAGGGCCGATTTCCATGAAAATATAACGTTCTCCTTTTTCAGTTAATGGACTGATTCGGTGGTATTTTGTTAATACCAACCGCAGTTTATTAATTTAGATCTGTTTCTGTGTCACTCCAGCGACTCCAAAGAAAATCTGAATAGTTTTAGATTTCAGAGGCTGGAAGCAGAAACGTCTGGATCCCCGTAAACGATTCAGATCTGTCTAAGAGGACGAATCACTGCAGCTCCTCGACAACCACCTAAGATCAGAGCCTGTACATGCAGCTGGACTGATGCACAAACACACCATCCTCCTCCTCCTCCTCCTCCTCCTCCTCCTCATCACAGCATCAGGTAGGAACTTTACCTGCGAGGCAAACTGAAATAGAGTGGTGAGTTATGTACCGTCCTCTAATCCTCCACTAGGCTGAACACTTGCCAGTTGTCTTCAGGCTTAACTCTGACTTTACTCACCAGCAGGGAACCAACAGGCTCCATTATTGAGCCCGTGGAAGCGCCAGCATGGTGGGCCAGCTTTCTCTGAATCTCCAGTTTACAATCACAACCTCCAGCTCAGAGAAAAGCAGGTCACCCACATCAAACACGGCCTTTCAGCCGGTGTGCGGGTGTCCTGCTCTGCTGTTTACAGCGGGAATACAAGGACAGGTAACTGAATATTAGGGTAAAAATAACCGCTCCTAACCGCTCCTT